GTTGACACTGACATTGAGGGTAATCCGACAATGACATCGAATTCTATCTCAATATAAACAATGCGCTATGAGATTTTATTCGTATTCAATAACTTTTCAACGCAACATTTAAAGACATATGTAGTTGGATTCATTACTTAAAACACAGGCATCAAATTACATAATACGCCGTGATGAAGTTTTCCTAACTTTAACAACATGTTGCCAACTTTTTTCTGTGACCATTTAACTAATAGAAAGATCTATCACAATTAAAACGAAATCCTTGCTGACGTCACTGTGCAAAAACACCTATTTACAAAAATACATTTCTGTTCTGAATATAACCATAACTTACAACTGATTATACAAATTACGCACGATTAATAACACAATGATTCCATTAGGATAAGACAGCAACATCATGAATAAAAACACTTACTTTATTGTTAACTCTTTAACGGTAATTGTGATTCCTGAGTTTTTATTATTTGCTTATTTTTAAAATTAACGGCGAATTCAAATATGCACCCAAAACGTTCGAGAACAAACCTGTCCAAATTGCGGTGCATCTCAAATCCGTGACCGAACTGCGGTGCAAAATTTTGTTACTACCTGATACTTTATACGAGACTACGGTAAAATTCTCAGTTCGGGGTTAAGTACTCGAAATTCTGAATAAAAAACTTACTAAATATTTTGTAAATAACATATCTATATATGTACTATATATTCTATTATTTTTAAATTTACTGTCAATAAATCCACTTTGTTAACTTTTCAATCATGTTGTGTATGAAAAACGAACCGTTGATCAAATACATAAATATTAATAAATTGCAGTGATGGTAGATGTTATTGTTAGTGATCTAATTCCGAAAGATATGATTATGATAATAAAATCAATACAATAAAGTCATCATAACTGTTTGAGAACAGAAAATATTGTATTACATATAAGATGCATACAGTATCTTATAAACTAAAATTATGATATGACTAGTAACAGAAAATTTGTAGGCGACACATTTCACAAAATTATATCCAAAAATTGCATGATTTTTATAGTGGGCAATTTTTGATTGAATGAACATCTGTCTATGAAGCAGTCTTTTTCAATACTTATCGAAATATGGTTTTTCGTTTTTATGCAAAAATTTCAATTATTTTTCTGATTTCCCTCAAGATTTAAACATTTATACAATAGTTTTAAAAACCCCTACTGTTTCAGAACGAACCGCAATTCGAAATATTTGAGCAAAATTTACACCGCAGTTCGGATACGACCGGACAAACTCTTAATTTAAACAAACATTTTAAAATTTGTTTCACGAGTGAATAGAATTTTATATGTTTAATGACTGTTGTGGGTAAGTTCGTATAAGAAATTACCTTAATTTAGTTTTCAATGATAAACACAAAGAATGAATATTGTAAATAGACTGTATATACCGTGTGAGAGCAATAAAAAACACGATGAAAGACAACCATGTTTGAAAATTTGTTTTTATAGAATATTCGTCTCGTCAGATTACCGTCAATGTGAAAGTTTGAGTTAAAAATGCAGCTATCATAGACAAACTTTCAAAAATCCAAGGCTGTCTTTGATCGTATTTTTTATTGCTCTCTTGGTATGTAATTGAATAAAAAGTGACATTTTATTAAATTATCCTACAACGAGAATTTTCAAGTTTCTTACAATTATTTAGAAAGAGAGAAAGCAAAAAAATTGGTCGATGACTTCGACAGAACTTCCCTCGCCCATGAAGTGCAGCCAAATAAATCCCACTTCTCTGAAAAATTATCTTTTTTTTTGCGATTTTTGTTTTCTGATAAGCTCTATAAAGTAAAAACCAGTGGCGTAAATAACGCTCCTTCAGCTAATTTGACCTGGATTTTTTCTTCAATTTTTCATTTTTTTGTTCCTCCATTTTTTCGATTTGCATTTTTACTTTTCAAGCTTCAGCTCATGATGAATAAAACATTCATCACAATTGAGAAGGGGTGGGTGGGTGGGGCTTATATTTTGTCCATTTTTCTTAATATACGAAGTCTTCTTCTCCCAACAAGAAACTGATAACATGTTTAACTATCCTGTTGTTGAAAGAGAACTCCATATATTAAAAAAAAAAAAAAATAAGGACCACCCACCCGCCCCGATCTCAATTGTGATGAATTTTTCATTCCTAATCAGACCGAAGGGCGGAGTTTAACTGCAAAATCCTCATTTCTCTACAAGAAATTATCATATAAAATATGTTTTTACATCAATATTACTCTAAAAAATTCTACCCTTTTAAAAACAAATTTCATATGGCAATTTCTTGTAGAGAAATGATGATTTTGCAAACTAAACTCCGTCCTTCATCTCATAATGAATAAAACATTCATCACAATTGAGAAGGGGTGGGTGGGCGAAGATTTGAACCTTAAACGAAAAAACTGAAAGCGGATTCGTATACTACAAGTGTGTGGGAGTATTTTTGCATAGCATTCAACGCATTTTAAAATAAGGTTCATTGAGATGACGTCATCAAATTGTTGGTGGGGATAATTAGCCAAATTTTGGCTAGCATTTAACCATCTATATGATATTTCTAACATTCTAACATACAAAATTTGACAACAATCGGTCCAACAGTTTCGGAGATTATATGCCTAATAAAAATGGATACAGACAGACAGACAGACAGACAGACAGACAGACAGACAGACAGACTACTTTTTTCGTACTGTAGGGGTCATGAAAAGTAGAGAAAATATAAAAGTGGCAATTCGTCCGATCGACTCGATTACTATACTTCCTTAGCTTACCCTCGGGAAGTATAGTAATGGTTTCGCATTTTTTTATGTTTTCCGCTTCCAAAGTTAAATTCTCTCCCAACACGGATTCATAAATCGCCAGGTCCAGGAGTATGTTATTTTATAAAATTTAAAGAACGTTCTTTGTAAGATGACGTAATCAATTTTTGGGGGACCGTAAACGGATAAACTTTGATTAACGATTTATCATGCTTCCGATAACGTTAAAACGTTTGAAAGATTTCGGTGCATTCGGTTTTGCAATTTCAAAGTTAAATTCTAAAATGTCGTTATACAATTTTGATTTTATTTCCAAAAATCTGGATGCCTGGCGTAAAAACTCAACACGGACTCATAAACTACAAGTGGAGGAGTAAGTTATTTTATAAAATTTAAATAACATTTTCATTTACTACAACAGAAGTGGAGATGATGTCATGACGTTGGTGGTGGTGATAAGACACATTTTGCTTCCGTTCTACCGTCTACACGATATTCCCAATGTACACATAAAATTTGATAGCAATCGGTCTGGTAGTTTCCAAGATTGTCTAATAAAACTTGACACAACTGTTAAACAAGCAGACGGAAACGGGGACCTATTTTTTCGTACTTTTGGGATCATGAAACGTCATGAAATCCATAAAAACAGCCAGTCGCCTGATGGACCCTTTTACAATACTTCCTTACGTTACGCGCGGAAAATAAAGACACGATCAAAGACGGCCATGGATTTTTGGAGATTTGTCTTTGATTTTCAAATCAAGCTTTCAAATTGGCAGTAATCTGACAAGAGAAAAATTCTATCAAACATAGTCTTTGATCATTTGATTTTTGTGAAATTTTTACTTCAAGATCAATATCTCAATTATTGACGGAAACTTCGAAACGCGGTTTTCAGCACTGTTTTCAGCTTACAAAACTCTAGAAATCATACTAGATGCGTTGTCGACTTTTTGGTTGAAAATGTGTCGTAGAAGTTGCTACAAGCTTTTTATTGTACCTCACTTCCAACAAAAAAAATGCGATTTCAAAAATTTTCGAAGCTACTAAATTTCCATAATAAATAAATCAGACTGTGATTTTTAGAAATACGTGATGCAAAAATTTCAACAAAATTTAAAAATGTATACGATAATAAATTGTTTTAAAAAACTGCATTATTATAGTGAAAGTTGTGGACAGATTATATATAATATTTCAAAAAAAAAAAATCGTTAGATAATGGAGATCTTACATTCTGAAAATGTACTGAAAATCTGAAAACGTAGCAACTTGCCTTAAGCTATTAAAGCAAACCGGGAGATGTCAACGATGTCAACAGTGTCAACGTATTAGAATGTACAGAACACAAAGTAAATTGGTAATGAATAAACAGAGGGTGGCACAGGGAACAATTAAAATTTGTAAAATACACAAAATGAATATTTTAGTAGTATGCTCTCTGAAAATGGTTAAAAAAATTCAAAGATAAAAATTCCAACCTGATTTACTAAGTTTTGAAACACAAAATATTTTTGCTATTTTATTATAATCCGAAATTCTGTAAAATTTTCGCTGTTTTTTGATTATGTTAACATTTTCCTAACGGCAACCCTTTAAAACTTTCAAATAACAATTACGGTGGTTTATACGCGCTTGGTAAATTTTCTTTCTCAATAAGAGACAAAGACAAAAAATACCTACAAAATAAGTAAGATAACAATTAATTTTCGTCTTTCCACTCCACGAGATTGATTTTTTTTTTTAGATTTTCCCCATTACGTAAAACTTAAAAAGGCGTCAAGTTTACAGACCGTTTGTTCGCCTTTTAATCATCACGCCTAGGGAAGAAACTGGAAGTGATGAAAGAAAATTATCCGCGATCCCTCCAGCATAACGCTCCAATTTCCAAGTTTCAATTTTGAAAAAAGAGTGATTATAATAGCTACAGCGTTCCATTTTTAATCGTCCATACTTCGGTCTTTCCGCTAGCGTTTTCGTTGTTCATTTCACTAATGGTATACTTATCAACACCTCGCAATCTTTCTGCCTTAATTAAACAGTTCACCTATGAGCTATAATAAGTAATTTAGTCCAAATTTGGCAAATTTCATTGTCTTAAAAATGATTGCGTGAGTTCTGGTAAATTACCCACCAATCCACAATTCTTTGCGGAAATAATTGTCAAAAAAAGAAGTCCTACTTATGCATGAACATAATAATACACCTGAACTTACCTTCTTGATTTAGCGGGGTAATGGTGGTGGTTGAAGTAGGAGCCAGTGCAAGAAAATTGGGGCACAACTAGCCCCATCCAACGCTTTAAGGCCCCCTGATGGATGTCGGCGAACACCTGCACAAAAAATTGATGTAAATCCATGAATAATGCTTTTCCAAGCGTTCACTGGACATAACGGGTTTTCCAACACAATGCACAACGTAGGTGGAAAAGACATAAAGCCTACGATTTAATTTCTGGCTATTCGTGCACACTCAAAACAATCATCAAAGCCAAAATGAGGCAAAAACGACCCCCGTAAACGCGCCAAGGGGGCTTTTTTACCCCCATTTTGGCCAGTTTGACAGTTGTCGTTGCAGCAAACAAAAGCCTCCAACTGTGACACTTACGATGTGATTTTGTTGCAGAATTCGGCTGGATATCACACTAGAACATGGTGCAAGTCGAAAAAGAGCGCAAAAAACGACAATAAACAACAACGAGGGTCAATTAACTGGTCCCGAATAAAACAACGAAAAAAATGAGTTTGTCTGGCGGTTACACGACGGGATGAACCGGGCACTTTATCACAATTTTCTATCACTGCAAATGATTGATCAGATTTGAGTTAATCTCATGTTTTCATTAACTTTGCTTTATTTTCGGCACAATAAACAAAATTATTGTCAAGTATGAACGTGATATATTGACTGGAATTTGACACTAGCGCCGCGGCGGAACCAATGGCAACCAAGCGGCAATACCACCTGTCACCGGCAGGGGGCATACGAGTACGAAAGCTGACAAAAGCTGTCAAGTTTGTGTAATGTCAACATAACCCTAATTCGAGTGTAAGGGTGCATTTTTTTACAAATAGGACGTTTGCTGAATCATTATCGCAAACAAAATTCAACAATCAGAACGCCTGAAAACAAACTAAAACGTAGTAAGTGAAAATGGACATCTTCAGCAAGACTGTTGAATCTAGGAGTAACACCCCGAAAACCTATGAATCTGATGACGACTCCAACTCAAATACTACAGCGGATCACAACGTCAAACAAGAACAAGATCTAACTGAAACCGACCATATGGACATAAGTCATCAACTCACGTCTGAAATTCACATTAAAGATGAACATACCTCATACCTAGATTCGGATATAATTATGCCAGAAGCGTTACACAACAGCAGTTCCCAGTCCAGGAAAAAGGAAATAAAGACTAGAAAAGAAATGGAGGAGGAGGAGCGTGAAAAAATGCAGTAAGTAACGACACTAAAACCTGATTATAAAGTAAACAATGAATTTGCTAGAGTTTTAGTGTCTAATTTTACTGAAGACCAGTTAGATCGCTATGAGATGTACAGACGGTCTGCGTTTCCAAAGGCCGCAATTAAAAGGTTAATGCAGACCATTACTGGTTGCTCTGTTTCACAAAATGTTGTTATCGCAATGGCAGGTATTGCGAAGGTGTTTGTTGGAGAAGTTGTAGAAGAAGGTAAGAGCTTTATATTTTCGTTTCGCATCATCGTTATTTTAAAACGAAAGATAAACCTCAAAATTTAGTACAGCTTTTTTGAATTATTGATCACAGAACATTTTAAAACGGAAAAGTTAGGCGGCACGCGAGGTCTATGATGCAGTCTATCTACAATACGGGAAGTCGTGTCTGAAGGCAGTAAAAAGTTTTTGTTTTTTATGTCATAAAACTTTTTCATTTAAGAAATTCAAGTTTTTGGTCATGTCGTAACTTTAATTATTCAAAAGTTGTGGCAGCGAATCCGTTGTTTGAAAGATTAAAACAAACTTTTTACGCTTATTTTGAGGTAACTGTCACCGTACTTTGTGTAGCATAGTCATTTGTAACAATTTGAGTCCAAGTAAGACCACAGAATGGTAACTCCTGTTCCTCATTTTTCATCGCAAAACCCTACACCTTTTCCAATGCATTATTTATTATGGCTTCTAAACTTTTTACAATTAAAATGAACACTCGTGCACCTGATCACGAAATTTTCGTAGATCCCAGGCAATATTGATCTAATATAAATTGTCCGTATATCTTCTACCGTGGCTAACAGTTTGGTTGCTGTCTCTGTGTATGACACTTTTTACGGCATTATTAAGCTCGTTATGCCTAATGTACTTTTATTATAGTAGAGTCATTAAAAGCAGAAATCTCTTGCAATTGACCATGAATTTGAAAAACAATAAAAGATCGCTTCATAAATATCTATACATGAAGTATGTCATAAAAATGACCAAGACTAATCCGGATAAGAAAGAAAGCATCAATGTGAAATTTAAATTACGTTTCCGGCGAAGTGAATCAAAATCGCGGCCCAATCCGAGAAAAATTTTATATGAGCCATTATTTTTAGGTGAATAACGTGATCATGCTAATCCTTGTAAAATTAATTTTGAAAATTAGATGAAAACGAGTAATCAAAAAGTTTTTAGATTAGAGTTGGCCAGGAAAATATTTGTCATGTCTTTGATTAAAGTGCAAATGTCAAAAATCCAAATTATTGAAATACAAATGAGGTTATGCATGACACTTGCAGTTTAAGGCCAGTCGCTACGTTTTCGGTCTATTTTCAAAATTTAATATCTTCGTTATTAACAGACCTACGATTAGGAAATTTTAAATATATGTTGTCCCTAACTTTCGTTATATAACGCAAGGGCAATTTTGTTAAAAATAGTTTGTGATAATATTTTTCTTTTAGTTTTAGTGAAATTTTTGCATAACGTATTTTTAAAAATCAATATCTCAATTATTAAAGGAAATTTCAGAACACGGTTTTCAACACTGTTTTCAGCTTACAAAACTCCAGAAATCATACCATATTCAACTATTTTTGTTTGAAACGATACACAGCAAAAAAAAGCTTGTGTCATAGAAGTTGCTAACTTTTATTTTTACTATATCTCAGTCCCTACAAATAAAGTCAAAAATAGACCTAGTACGATTTCTAAAGTTTCAAAATTTCCATAAATAACTGAACTATTGATTTTTTAAAATAAAATTTAAAAAATGTATGATAATAAATTGTTTAAAAAAAACAGCCCTCACAGTTATGTAGTGAAAGTTGTGGACAAGTTACACTTAAAATTTCATAACCATATGTGTGTTAATAATGGAGATACTACATTCTGAAAACATATTGACAACACCACAAAAGCCAAACGTAGCGACTCCTCTTAATCAAAAATATGATAAATATTTCCATGGCCAACTCTAATCTAAAAACTTGTTGATCACCCGTTACAAATATATTCAGTTCAGAACTCGTATAAATTTGATTTTTATGCGATGTTGAGTATTAGAAAGCTTGTCGAAAATGCAGTTTTAAGTTTTGGATTTGATGTGAATTTTTAAAATTTAGAAGTACATTAGCCACCTGTTACCTTGTATTTTTTCCTTTGAATTAGTTCATACTGCTTGCGACGGTGTGTGTAATTTCCGAATAATAATCTGAGCCAAATTTAACAATTTTATTTTTTAATAATTAACAGTTAGGTTTCAACTATTGAGTCTATTTTACCATGGTTCCTGTGAGCTCCCGAATCCGCTAACTTCTGATACGTTTCTTGTTAACTGAAACTTTTTTATTATTATTATTTTGACTAATTTCATAGTTTGAAAATTTTATGGAATCCGTTTCCATCTCTTACCGACTTCATTAGACAGATAATCCGAATTCACTGAACTCTTGGTTTGAAATTTTAGAATTACTTTAAGATTATGGAATCTATGATAAAACACTATTCAACGTTTATTTACCTATTCTCGCTGAAAATTGATCACTTCACATCATTATTTTGTTAAACAATCCCATATGATCGAAAAAAGTTGGTTAGTCAGCCATGGAATTAATTTCAAAAAATTGTGTTGGCAAAATCTGCGCTGTCACTCTATTCGTTTTTGAGGTTACGGGAAATTGTTGGCAAAATTTTCTTGTTGGATAATCAAAAGTTGCAACGACCTGTACACTAACAACACAAATGTCAAACTGACAGGCAACTTCAATGGAAAACAAAAGTATTGTTACCACAGTTTAAAAAAAATTATATGGCTAACTAGACGACGTTTTTTTTTCGATTATATGGTATTTAAATCTATTAATATTTTTTAACTTTGGCATACAGTATATCCTAAAAACATACAGTTTGCAGAACACAATTTTACAATTTATTTTAGGACCAACATGTGAAAATTTATTTATTTACCCCTTTAGAAAATACTATATGATTTGCAAACGTCTTCTGAAAAAATATTAAATAAGTGTTTGTAAACAATATAACATAACACGTGTGTGTTTTATTTTTTAGAGCAGCTTGTACAAAGTGTTTCAAAAAAATTAGACAGAACTTCCAGCACCTCTGCAGTACAGTAGAACAAATACAGCGTCTCCGAAAAATTATAAAATTTAATTTTACGAATTTTATTTTTTATGATAACTCCAAAATAACGACATGTGTCGTCTGTTCGAGGACAGTTACAAAATCATGCTAATTTTTAGATGACGTCATCAATTTGCTGAGAGGGGGAGATGTGTTAAACGGATACATTTTGATTAAACATTTACCATCCTTACGATAACTGCAAAACGTTTACAAGATTTCTGAGCATTCGGTGTTGCCGTTTCGAAGTTAATTCTGGATATTTTGGGTAAAAACTCAACACGGATTCATAAATCGCAAGTCTAGGAGTATGTTATTTTATAAAATTTAAATAACATTTGGAGGCTTTAAACATTTTATTAAATCCAGTTATTAATGAACTTGTAACGTCAACGAACAATGTTATTTGTTCTCAAAGTCCCCAAGCTGTATAAAAAAAAAATGAGTCAAGTATTTCTATAACTCTTTTGGTCTCTCTATCTTGTTAACGTTAATAAATATCAAGTTATCTCTGTGGCGGCGTAATAATAGGTTAGTAAGCGAAGAAAGATAAACCGCTCTGTAGTCTAGTGGTCAGGGCACCCACCCGACAAGCAGGAAACGTCATCCCATTATTTTTGATGGGGATGATCAGACACATTTTGGTTAACGTTGTACCATCTACACGATGTTCCAAATATACATATAAAGTTGGACAGCAATCGTGCTGCAGTTTCTAATGTGTCTAAGAAAAATAGACACAGGCAGACAGATGAAAACGAGAAAACATGAAAGTAACCAGTCACGTAAACATTAAAAATAAATGAATAAGTACATCAGAAATGAAACGGTTTCCCAATTTTTATCTGTATACAAGAATTGAAACTGATTTTAGTGAGATTTTATTACCCTTAAACTGATGAATTTTTGTTACTTAACATTGACTTCAATTGCTTATTCCACAAGTAACATTTTAAGAAAACATTGTAATTAATCCATTGCTATGGTAATCATAACTCGCTCTATATAATTTACGCAGTGTAGGCAGTTTAATTAGCCAGCACTGTAATTATTGTGTTATCAAAAGTGAGATATTTACCCTCGCGGAAAATTTAATAACGACATCACAAGATTTTAATGAATAAATCTAAATTGAAACATGTAGCAGAACGTGTAATCCACCTCTATATTTATTTTATTGGTTGCTCGTTTTTGTGATTCCAAATATTACTAATTTGTAATTAACTGATTTTTAATAAACCGTTTTCGCAGAGTTCTTTAAATTTCAAAAATGAAAGGGCGAATAATTGACTCCTTTTGAATTTGTGATCACTAATTAATATTCAGTAATTGTAAGAGATTAAAAGAAGTTTTTTTTATTCATCTTCAAAAAACTGATAACGTCACTTCAAAAACTTGTCTAATACAGGTGATCAAAAAATGGCGCACTAAATCTATCACTCGTTCTTAAGCACTGTTTATTGAACAAAGAAAAAACAATTTAAAAATTCATTATTCAAAATAATTTTGGTGTTGTATTTTTTCCATCGTTCTCTCCATTTTAAAATACACAAAAAACCTTCAAAATTGTTCAGAATGAATCTGACAACAGTGCCTAATTTTTTCACTTTTAAATCTAAATCGGTATTTCGTTTGAACGTCAAATGAGGTATTTGAAGCAAAGTGATCTTTCTGGGAATTTGACTCGTACGGTTGAGTTAGTGCGCCATTTTTTGATCATCCTGTATATGTTACCGAAAAATATGCGTTGGAACACAATCTGGCTTGTCATTTTTATTTTCCCAGTTACTTGCCCCCAATGTCGTAGTTCATGAGTATTTTTTTATTTATTTAAAGGTATAGATAACAATTACATTGTCTATATCAGAATTAACATGTTTACACCTACCAAAAACTTATTATGATCTTACATAACCAAGAGATTTTTTAATAATTATCAATATCAGTTGGTATTATTGCTTGTCATTTTTCATTGACAAGAGAGTTATCTGTAATTAAGCAAAGCTTCTCTAATTTTGGAGCTAGAATACTCAATTTAAGATAACTTAAAATATGTACACCTTATTTTAAAAATAAATAAAATAAATATCGTACGTAATATAAAAATGCGAACTCGCGGTTCTCAGTCGTCGGGGCTACAAAAAAATCATCACACCCAAACATTTTTTACGAATACCTAGTTTCTGGCCTTGCAAATGAAATAATAAATTCAACGAACTTATTCTTACTATGGATAAAATTTTATGTTCTTGGAGCATGTTCAAAGAGACCCAGTTAAATAATAATGAACAGCCAAGAGTAGCTACGCAAAGAATTATCTCAATTTCGGTTTCATCACCAGAAAAATTTTATTTTGGAACATAATTTGACATTAATAGGTGTTGTAATATTAAAGAAATAAAAGCAAAAACACACTTTGTCTTATTGTTGCATCCAGTTACACTTACAAAGAGTAAGAAAATATTTTTCCTCTTTTTAGATTGTCATGGATCTAAAACTCATACACTGGTAACAGAAAATATTAACTCGAGAGACAAGAACTTGGATCTTCGTCAAATGATCGACAAATCTACAAACACTCTCATTACAGGAGATTATTTTCCTTTAAATACAAGTATGTTAGATCCGCCAGAACTCCCTCATATTAAAGAGGAGCCTCACAGCGCATACGTTTTTGAATATCTCCCTCCCAAGTCTCCACGTTGTGAAGACACCAACCCAAATGTAAAAACCTCACCTGTGCAACCTGACATTTTGACTATTCAACTACCGGAACAAAAACCAAAACCCGAAAGAACAGCCTCTTCAAGTGTGCCATTTTTTGAAGACCAGCCAAAGAAAGAAGACAAAGGACCAAATCTAGAAAACGACACGAAAAATTTATGCCGACGCCAACCAGACTTTTGTATTTACTGTGAAACCGATGTGTTAAATTTCGCCCGTCATCTTAGAAGAATCCATGGGTGTGAACCTGAAGTTATTAAAATACTCTCGGTGCCAGCGAGTTCTCCCGAAAGGAAGCACTTAATTTCCGAGTTAAGGAAAAGGGGCAATTTTGTCAAAAATTCACACATGTGCCTGAAACCCGTGAAAAGCGGAAAAATGGGAAATGGGGTCAGATATGTACCGTGTAAACACTGTTTGGGCTTCTATTCCTCTAAACAATTATATCGCCATGTGAAAACGTGTAGATCGAGAGAAACCGTTCGGACTGTGTACTCACACTTAACTGATGCACAAAACGTGCTGCTGAGGCACAAACAGATAGATAAAGATTTAGTGAACATCGTTTTTCCAAAAATGCTTGCAGACGACATATCAATGGAAGCAAAATCGGATCCGTTAATTTGCATGTTTGGTGCGAGATATATTAAGTGTCACAGGGAGAGACATTTTGTTAATATCTGCTCGAGAAAAATGAGAGAACTGTCGAGGTTGCTAATTGAAATCAAGAAGCAGAAACCTTTGATTCAATCTTTGTTTGAAGCGCTGCGCCCGGAAAATTTTCAGTTATTCGTTCAAGCCACAAAAGTCATTGCAAAGTATGATCCAGAGACAGATAAATTTGAGACACCGACGTACGCATTGAATATTCAAAGTTCGTTAAAACAGTGTTGCGACATAGCAATTTTAACAGTTTCAAAAGATAGCAGTGTTTGTGATATAGAAGCGGAGGAAGAGTATAAAGCCTTTAAACAATTACTCGAAGATGCCTGGAAGTTTGAAATTTCGGCTAAATTTACTGTTAGCAACAACACTCAAAAATTTAATAAAGTTCCCTTAATTCCATTGGTCGAAGATTTGAAGGCTTTGACAGACTATCTGGAACAAGAAGGCGAAAAAACCTATTTAGATCTAGAAAGTAACCGAGATTTACTCTCTTATAAAACCCTTTCAGAAATTGTATTTTGTCGTTTGTTATTGTTAAATAGGATGAAAATTGGAGAATTGGAAAAAACACGTTTATCAATTTATGTGTCTGAAGACACCACCCAAAACGATGATTTGTCGCATTTCGTTACACTGTGCGAAAGAATATTATTAAAAAAATTCAAAAACATAGTTTTAAGAGACAGTCAGTGTAGAGACATACCGGTCCTGTTCAGTTCAGAACTTCAAAAATACACAGATAAGTTAATTGAACTGCGGACTAACTTTATTAGAACTGAAAATGTCTATTTATTTGCCGACATATATACAAATAATCCCATTGAAGCCCACAAAATATTTAGAACCCACGCCCTCAAATCAGGCGTCAAAAATTGTAATGCCTTAATATCCATACGTTTAAGGAAGCATTTGGCCACTGTAGCTCAATTACTTACCATGTCAAACTACGATCTAGAACAACTTCAAACTTTTATGGGACATAACCAAGATACTGAAAGACCATTTTATGTGCAACCTCTTGACATACACCAGGTTGCTAAACTTTCAAAAACACTGTTATTCAAAGAGAGAGGTAAGACTGGGGAGTTAAAAATCAAAACTTTAAGTGAAATTGATATGGAGATCGACTCCGAAAACGACGAAACAGATAATGAAGCGCAAGAGGATCTTGAAATTTTATGTGAATATAGTTCTTCACGCAACAAACCAAATAAAATTCCTCGGAAACTGATCCCATGGACCGTTGAACAAAAAGCCGCTGCGAGAAGTTTTTTTGCGGAGAATATTGCAAATAAAAAACCGCCGAAGAAAAATGATGTTGAACAGTTACGAATAAGATACAACAGCTTATTTGATAATAAATCTTGGCCACAAATAAAGGTTTTCGTGCAGAATATTTACAAGAAAAACACATAAGTGTGCATTTCACTCAAAAATTTTATATTTACGCTGTTTTCCTGATTTTTGAATCAGGGTTAAGTGTTTTTGTGTGTTGTTTTTTATGTAAAATCGTGTTATTTAAATAAAGATTATTTTTTTGTTACTAGTTTCCAGTTAGAATTGAAAATAACTATAGAATATTCATCATACTTTTACATGGTTTTAATTATATTCAAAAAAGACAATATATGATCTATTATATAGTCAAAAATAAGAGTCATAAGGAAACTTGTATATTTTATACTTTGTGATATAAATTTAAGGACTCTATGAAAACCTTGCAAATATTTAGGTTAATATTTTCCAATGCAACTCAAAAATATTACAAAATATCAGCCCCTCTATAAAAAAAAAATCCTTCAGAAGTTCCAAAAGCATACAATAATTAATAATAGACGAACTGATTGATAAATTGTATGAAAATCTTACGCTTACTGTGATATCTAGTAGTATTACAACGTTTCTGTTTCCATTATTTATTTTCCAGAAAAAAAGTGCAAGTGCTGATTTAGTCACCGTGAATCGACAAATTTTAGTTTATCTTTTATCTATGACCTTCAATCCAGCAAATTCAATCTCTGTTTATGTAATTACAGAATATGAAATGCGGGATTCCCCTACCATCCAAGTGTAGTATTCTAAGCATTATCTTGGTCAGTTAATTTGTGCATCCTGTACGTGAACATCGTTATTTAATTGATTAATTAATTCAAAGAAGAATTTTTGCTCCCTGAAAACAGAACTTACAGTTGTGAATTTGTTGTTAAATGTGAGAACAGTTATTTACCATATATGAAGAAAGTGTGCTCCGTGAACATCAGTTATTGTCTTGGTATAGTTTTTTCGTGATAAACTTTGTGATGAAACCTGGATGAAATATTCGCCGAGTCCCAACGAAAGGACGCTATTCTATCACACTTTTTGTCAAGTGTTGTCGTTTGTAAGTGATAAAAATCATAGAAAATCATGTGATCGTATTTTTTTATAATTTAAATATTGGTAGAAATAATAAGACTTTGGCTAAATTTTTACATGCAGATTGAAAAAAAAATGGTTGGAAGTTATTTCGCTAAAACTTCCCTCGCTTCTAGAATACAGTGGAACAAATGCAGACTTGAAAAATGATAAAATTTAAGTTTGAGATTTTTTCTATGATCATCTCTATGAGCTGAAATTAATATAAATGTGAATTGTTAAAGTACGGGTAAAGACGCATAGTGTGCACAGGTTTCTAGTGAGTTTTTCCATATAAAAACTTTTTGATGACGATAATTTTTCTGAGAAGCTATAAACGGATAAGTTTCACTATGATTACAATAACCGCAAAACGTTTGGAAGATTTCAGAGCATTCGGTTTCGCAGTTTCAAAGTTAAATTGCAAAATGTGATTATACAATTTTGATTTTTTTTTAATCTGAATGTCCAGGGTAGAAACTCACCACAAGTGCAGCAATGTTTTATTTTATAAAATTAAAAACAAATTTACTATTGACGTCATCCGATTGGTGGTGGGGAAGATTAGCCAAGTTTTGATTAGCGTTCTACCTTCTACAATCGATCGATAGTTTCGGAGATTATCTGTCTAATAAAAATCGACACAGACAGACAGACGGAAACGGGAGACCACTTTTTTCTACTCTAGAGGTCATGAAACGTCCAGAAATTATGAAAAAAGCTGACGCTCAGAAAGTAACAATTTTTTTGTGTTATCTTTGACCGGAGAAAAACTAGTACGTTTAGTTGATAGGAAAAGTATCTTTCTGAACTTCTAGTAGTTCTTTAGACTTAGCTGTCGCCTTGGCCGGAACTTCTACCAGTGTCCGGAAATATTAAACTTTCGTACTAATTACGCAATGTACTATTCTTGCCCAAAAATTTTAAACCAATTTATGTAATATGCACTTACAAATTGTACTAGGTTTAATTTATTTTTGTTACAAAAACTTTTGAAGCCTTCTCCTGGAATTTTTGGTGTTCCCTGGACACTACGGGCCTGAAAATACAAAAAAACCTTCAAATTTTAGCTAGAAATGATATTTTAGTCGAAATTTATGAGTTCTGAGCTACATTTCGGCTTGTTTTGACGATTCTGAACATCTTGAGGCACTTATTTATGCAAAATCAATTTATTTTCAAGATTCTGTTGAAAAATTTCAGAGCCGTCTCTTTTGATTTCTAACGCTTTTTGTCGCCGACAGTGATCTTTTGGCGATTATTAAATAAAAATCTGAGCGGGATTTAGAAGTTGAAATTAGCTTCGAACTAATAAATAGAATTATGTCTATTTCTTTTTTTTTACCCTATAATGCTACTTGAAGTTTTTATCCAAAGGAATTTTCAGTATATCCTTCTGCAACACGACCTAAAACAATCAAACATTACAATATTTATTTAATGTAAAGATTCATTACCTTCGATCCCATTGTTCGCTTCTTTTAAAAATGTTTCTACTTTTGATCTTGTGAGAACGTTAGATTTCTTAGACTGATGTTCTGTTGTTACAAGATTCACTTTTTTTTTCACAAAATATTTTACGTCACCAAAGTGAAATATTTTTTCAGGCATTCGTAGAAAAAATCATGTGTGCAGCACTATTGGAAAATCACGTTTTCTATCTTATTAAACCAACTGCAGGGAGTGAGAAACCCAAGGCATACGAATTTATTTAATAATTCACAACTTCAAGTTCAGCTTAGTTTAATTTTATTGCTTTATTAGATGACAACAAATACACAAAGACGACGTTAGTCCAACGTGGCACCATTTTTTTCTTTTTTTATCGTCATATTCCAAAGTTACATTACATTACATTATATACACTCATAGAATCTTGGAAATTATCATCTGTTAAATTAATACCATTGTGGACTCAAAATGGTAAATGTATTTTATGTTAATATTGCCTTGTGCTATTTTCTTACGAGCCCAATTATTTTCTCACAGCTTGAATTTGAACATTTATTCTGAAAATACTATTTTAATTAAATCATTCACTTGTCATTATTAATAATTTAATATCATGTACAGTCAAGCAAAATGTAAAAAAATTGACCCTGACAATTAACAATCTTCGTGAACAAACTAAATTCTGATAATTCAAAATTCCACTTTTTGTTGAAAAGCCGCAATAAAAATAAAAAAGGACGACGCTAATTAAACTCTAATTCTATGCAAAGTTTATATATCTAAGTTTTTGTAAATTAACATAAATTATTCATCCATTTTAACAAAAAAAAAATACATATTTTAAATGGCTGACTTTTATACAAGTCATTATTTTAAAATTGCAACGTATTCTACGTACTTCCAAATTTTTGAAGAAAACAAATTATAATTTATGTTAAGACAGTCGACCTTTTTAAATTTTAAATTGTAGTATTAATGAATAACATCTACCTTTTATCTCAAACTTAAGAAAATTATTCGCTGGAATAAAGGGGCGGGTGGGCGGGGCTAATTACAAAAGGCATGATCATAAAATTCAAAGAATTTCGTGGCTCCTGGACCCGATTTATAGAAAGCGAAGTTAAAGTTAATTCGCGATTAACTTTTAACTGAGGTCCGTTGCCAGGCAACGCACATATTTTAACCAATCACGGGCTCATATTCCACATTTTAATTCTCTGTTAAACTAATCGAGGATTAAATATTTAACTCGATGTTCTATAAACCGGCCCCTGGTGTCTTATTTTTGAAAGAATCTTTAAATGTTAAAGAATCTCGGGGGTCCCTAATGTTTCATTTTCGAAACAATCTGTAAAAATCTCAGCCGCCCCTAGTGTTTGATTTTTGAAAGAATTCGAAAGAATCTTTAGGGCCTCTAGTCTTTTAAATTTTAAAGACCTCGGAGGCCCCTAATGTTTTATTCTCGAAAGAGTCTGTAAAAATTTCGGCGGCTGCTGGTGTTTTAAGTTTTAAAAAATCTCGGGGGTCCTAAGTTTTCCATTTTCGAAAGAGTCTGTAAAAACTTCGGGGGGGGGGGGGGGGGGGGGCTGGTGTTATATTTTAGAAAAAAAAATAAGAATCTCGGGGCCCCCCAAAAATGTTTTTCTTTAATGTGCAAGAATGTCCAGAAGTCCTGGTGTTTTGTTTTAGAAGAAAATTTAAAGAATCTCGTGGCTCCTGGTGTCTTTATTTTTTAAAGAATTTAAAAGAATCTTGGGACCCCTATTTTTTCTTAACATGCAAGAATCTTGAGGGCCCCTGGTGTTTTAAATGTTAAAGATTCTCGGGGGTCCCAAGTGTTTGATTTTCGAAAGAATCTGTAAAAATCTTTGGAGCCCCTGGTGCTTTATTTTGGAAAAAAAGTAAAAAATCTCGAGGGCTCCTGGTGTTTGGTTTTTGAGAGAATTCGAAACAATCTTTAGGGCCTCTAGTGTTTTAAATTTTAAAGAATCTAGGTGGCCAGCTAGTGTTTTAAATTTTAAAGAATCTCGGGGGTCCCTACTGTTTTAAATTTTGAAGAATCTCGGGGGTCCCAAGTGTCCCATTTTCGAATGTCTGTAAAAATCTTGGGCGCCCCTGGTGTCTTGTTTTAGAAAAAAAATCTTTAAGGCCTTTAGTGTTTTAAATTTTAAAGAATTTCGAGGGTTCCTAGTGCTTGGTTTTTGAAAGAATTCGAAAGAATCTTGAGGACCCCTAGTGTTTTAAATGTTAAAGAATCTCGGGGGTCTCTGGTGTTTAATTTTTGAAAGAGTGCGTGAAAATCTCAGGGGCTCCTGCTATTTTAAATTTAAAAGAATCTCGGGAGTCCCAAAATGTTCATTTTTGAAAGAGGCTGTAAAAATCTCAGGGACTCCTGGTGTTTGGTTTTTGAAAGAATTCGAAACAACCTGTAGGGCATGTAGTCTTTAAAAATTTTAAAGAATCTCGGAGGTCAAAAGTGTTTCATTTTCGAAAGTTTGTAAAAATCTTGGGGGCCTCTGGTGTCTTAGTTTAGAAGAAATGTAAAGAATCTCGGGGATTCCTACTGCTTGGTTTTTGAAAGAATTCGAAAGAATCTTGAGGGTCCCTAGTGTTCTAAATTTTAAAGATCTCGGAGGTTCCTAGTGTTTCATTTTTTAAAGAGTCTGTAAAAATCTCAGAGGCTCCTGCTATTTTAAATTTAAAAGAATCTCGGGGGCCCAAGTGTTTCATTTTTGAAAGAGGCTGTAAAAATCTCAGGGACTCCTGGTGTTTGGTTTTGAAAGAATTCGAAAGAATCTTTAGGGCCTCTGGTGTTTTAAATTTTAAAGAATCTAGGTGGTCAGCTAGTGTTTTAAATTTTAAAGAATGTCGGGGGTCCCTACTGTTTTAAATTTTGAAGAATCTCGGGCGTCCCAAGTGTCTCATTTTCGAAAGTCTGTAAAAATCTTGGGCGTCTCTGGTGTCTTGTTTTAGAAAAAAAATCTTTAAAGCCTCTAGTGTTTTAAATTTTAAAGAATTTCGGGGGTCCCTAGTGCTTGGTTTTTGAAAGAATTCGAAAGAATCGTAAGGGCCCCAAGTGTTTTAAATGTTAAAGAATCTCGGGGGTCCCTGGTGTTTGGTTTTTGAAAGAATTCGAAACAACGTGTAGGACCTCTAGTGTTTTATATTTTAAAGAATCTCGGGGCTCCCTAGTGTTTTAAATTTTTTAAAATCTCGGGGGTCCCTGGTGTTTTAAATTTTGAAGAATCTCGGGGGTCAAAAGTGTTTCATTTTCGAAAGTCTGTAAAAATCTTGGGGGCTCCTACTGCTTGTTTTTTGAAAGAATACGAAAGAATCTTGAGGGTCCCTAGTGTTCTAATAAATTTTAAAGATCTCGGAGGTTCCAAGTGTTCCATTTTCGAAAGAGTCTGTAAAAATCTTTGGGGCCCTGGTGCTTTATTTTAGAAAAAAATATAACGTAAAGAATCTCGGGGGCCTTTAGTGCTTGGTTTTTGAAAGAATTGGAAAGAATCTTGAGGGCCCCAAGTGTTTTAAATTTTTAAGAATCGCGAGGGTCCCTAGTGTTTCATTTTCGAAAGAGTCTGTAAAAATTTTGGGGGTCCCTGGTGTTTCATTTTTGAAAGAGTCTGTGAAATTCTCAGGGGCTCCTGGTATTTTAAATTTTAAAGAACCTCGGGGATCCCAAGTGTTTCATTTTTGAAAGGGCCTCTAGTGTTTTAAATTTCAAAGAATCTCGGGGGTCCCTAGTGTTTTCTATTTTGAACAATCTCTCATTTTCGAAAGTCTGTAAAAATCTTGGGCGCCCCTGGTGTCTTATTTTAGAAAAAAAATCTTTAAGGCCTCTAGGGGCCGGTTTATAGAAACGCGAATTAAATATTTAATCCTCGATTAATTTAACACTGGATTAAAATGTGGAATGGGAGCTCGTGATTGGTTAAAACATGCACGTCGTAAAAATCTTGGGGGCCTCTGATGCCTTATTTTAGATTAAAAAATGTAAAGAATCTCGGGGGCTCCTAGTGCTTGATTTTTGAAAGAACAGTAGTATTTAATTTTTTTCCATGATTGAAACGTGTAGAGTCACACCGTGTGATTTTATAAATTTCTGCTATAGTTGACCATGACAAAACTTCAAATCAACAGTATCATGGCCAACTAGAGCAGAAATTTAAAAAATAACCCGAATTAATAAAACACGTAATCAAAAAACCGCCAATATGTATGTCGTTATTAACAAACATATTCGATTCGACTTATTTACTGACTTTATTTATACTTTATAAATTGGTACAAATATTCATCTTCTTTTAGACATCCTTAATGGACCATTGTAAAATTAAAAACATAAATAAAACACCACAATCATACATATCAATACAAATTGGTAATTGTTTGGAACGGGTTATTATTTTATCATTTTCACAATAATTTTACTAAACTAATCACGGAAGAGATGGAAACGGGAAATTTTCATTGTCTGTGAAACGCCAAGAAAACAACAAGAAATTTGTTATATCGAGCGATCAACATAATTTGTTACCGAGTCATCCTTGGAAAGAATGACAAAATGTGAAAGAAAAATGACAGACACACATAATAAAATGTTTAGTGAAATACGTGTGAAGTTACAAGGAAAATAGGTACAAGAATAATTATTTTTATTAAATAAATTAAATTACAATAAATGCTGAAAATATTTTGTTGTAAGCATAAATAAGCTCCTCGTTGAACTTATTTGATTTCTTCTGTTATTCTTAACTTGAATTCCTCAAAATTATTGATAGGTGTTCGATAAATAGCGTTCTTTAAAAAAAGTCACAAAAAAATCTGCAGGAGTAAGATCACAAGATATTCTCTGTATGATTCGGCTGGCAAAAAAATCCTACTTAGCTGTAGCCCCATCTTGTTCAAAATAATCTAGTTCCATTTCATCGTTGTGAAATTGTAAAATAAAATCTGACAAAATTTCTCGCTGATATCTAACAGCAGTTAGGTTAACTTGACGAGGATTACATAAATAAGCTAATTAATCTCAGAGCTAGTTATTCGGAAAGTATAGAACGATATAATTTCGCAGTCATTTCCAAAAATTGTTTATTACCAAATTCACACCTAAAACTACGAAATGCGCATATTTGTCTTCGAGATTGTTTCATAACTCAAACGTCAATATTCGGTATCAGTTACCTCACCCTGACCCTGAAAAGTACACATTATCCAGCCGAAATCGAATATACTCAGCGGTTTCGCAACCGCAAACATTCGACGCCGGCTTCAAATATCCACTATTTTGCAGCATTAGACGTAATGGAGGAGCAAGGAGACACCGGCCCCCTTCAGCCGAAGCATCTGCGGGAAGCGGTGAGGAGGATGCGCTTACAGGGTGCGATTCCCAGCGGAAGAGACTACAGGTCACATTTCCGACTCTAGATTTACGACTGTAAAGTTTTATGTTCTGTATACAATGTAGCATAATAAAATCTTTTCTATTTTGATCGTGTTTCACTAAAGAACAAGAACGTCATTATCAGTGTAATTGAAGAGAGTGGGAAGCAGAGGCCAACGACTTTCTTATCACAAGAGGAAAGGCATCTTAGTTACTGTAAAGAATTTCTGGTGGTTATATGGTTGGTTCTAGTGCTGGGTTATCTTGATTTAGACTGGTTGTGGACGTAGGTTAAAATGCTAATAAAAATTATTGTTGTGGTTATTCTAGGTGAGTAGGTCGTTTGAAGGGTTACTTTACATGCTGCTCAAAGGGTTTTATTTGAAAATATTGAATTTAAACAAGGGTTGTCGGGTAATTTTTAAATTTAATTAGTAGTGCTCTTCTGATTTTATTAGAACTTGAATTAGTTGCTATTATTTGTGAATGTTTGAGGGTAAATGAACTTTTCGGCTGTTGCTTCATTTGATGATATCCGATATCGTCTTTGATCCAGGAAGAAAAATGTATTCTTTTATCAATTAATTGTTAGTTTCAATGCCATGTTTATTTGGAAATAAACATTCTGATTATAGTTTTTTCAGAACGTTTTATGTATTTATGTTATTATTCCATTCATTTCTGTTATCTTTGGGTAATAGATTAAAGTCTAAGTTCGTTGTTAATCGGAGTGTCACTGTATTTATCCAATAAATCAGTACAAATATAGAACAAAAAATAGTTATACGAAAAGTTGTGATATAATTCGTCTGTGTGTCCAAATTAATGAGTATTAAAAGGGATTAAACACACAACTAAGATTACGTTTGCACCTAGTCGCAAAATAACAAAATTTAACTAGTTTTCGTCATAAATTTTAAAGTTCGAGTGAAATTAAATTTGCTTTAAAATAATAATAAAATTGTGTTGCAAATTACACCTTTGTTTTTTGAACAAACATTCACTTTAAATTATATCTTATTGTAAGAATTAAAGAGATTTTTATAAAAGTTATTACAAATTACAAACATAACATAAGAGATATATTTGACTGAAAATAAAATAAATTGTAACTAGTTGGCGTTGACTGTCAAGCTTTACCCTTTCACTGTATGGCGAACGCAACTTTACATACATTTGTCATGCGAAAGTCTGTAACCCAAATTTCTAGTTACCTTGTCTAGGCAAACGTGTATATACCGGGTGACTACTAATGACTGAAACAAATTTTTGGGTTGGCAGTTCTGAATTATTGGCAGCATGTGAGTTCACAGTTGTCAATTTTGACATGAGCGCGCCTGAAAGCCAATGAGAAGATGGCAGTTACTGAATTGGTGTCCAAAATTTGATTAACATCAGGTGTGCCATCATAAAGCGTCAAATATCTGCCAACCTGACAAAAAAATCATAAACATTAATAGTCACTCGGTATTTAAACAATGTTAGAACTTATTTACATAGGATGATTAAATTTGCTGCAATTCTGTCAATGCAATATTTTTCATTAGAAAAAACGCTTAATTTTCCAAAATTAGATTGTTAAAATGATAATTAAAATTTAAAAATATGTAATAATGAGAGAAAGGTACAAGTTTTTCGGTGTTGCTCACAATTGAATGCTATTACAGAGTAATTTTTTAGGTCTAGAACTATGCACAGCCTGTGATATGGATCAAACCAAACAAGGCTGTCGTATCCAAAACAAAGCTTGCTCTTGCGGTTTCGGCTGCATTTCAGAATACCGCTATGACACGATGGCAGAGTGCCAAAACGCCCTTCGAGGTACGCAAACACCGCTAACTCTAAACATTCGTAATTTGGCAAGCTTCCAGGCAAACGACGAGACATATGCAACCCCAACCCCTGTCTCCACGGTGGTTCGTGCATACAGATATCCCAGCGGCCTAAATACAAGTGTCGATGCGAAGGAACTGGATATTTTGGTCTACGATGTAGCAGAGGTATCGTTATCGAAAGATAACCCTTGACACTGCACAACAATCAGTTCGTATAAACCAAACTGTTCAATTTTTCAGTTTTGATAGTGATTTCGCCTTAAAAATGATTAAACTTGATAGTATTTATACGCAACCAGAGATATGGTTTTTTGAGATTTGAAGGTCTTTGCGAAATTACAACGTTGCTATAACTTGAAACAACTTCTTTCCCGCTTTGTGTTTTATTAAGTGAGCAAATCCTAAAAAAATATATATGTATACCTTCATTCTTTTTTTTGTGTCTTAACGAGAATTTGTTATTCTGTGCCCACGCCTCATTTGAATATTATTTTTTTCTTTTTAAACCTTCTAATATCCTCCTCTTTGAATCGTTTTAGAAAAGCTTCCACATCAATCTGTCAACAGTGCTATAATAACAATTAATAATACCGTAATAATGATACAAAGTAATTATAGTTGACTGTGATCTTTAAATAGTATCACATCTTTCAACATGTTTCAATGAGCCCGCTAACCTCTGGTGATAATTAACACAATTAACATTGTCCCCCATAGACACCAGCTAAAGAGAAATTTTTCAGTTAAAAATACAGTAGGATTAAGGTACAGGTTCAGTTAAAAAAATGTCACGATATATCAATTATATCATATTCCATACCTACGATAAAAAAAAACTCGTCTAGTAGACCGTGCAATTAATTTTTAAAATAATTATGTTGGCAACACCGAAGCGGTTCCTACTCAATTTGACAGTTACGGTCAAACAACTGTCAAATAAAGGGTTAAATTGCTGCAATGCCAACGTTATTATTTTAAAAATAAACTGCTCGGCCTACGAGTTTTTCTTTTTTTTTTTTTCCTAAATCAAGAAGGTTGACGTAACATTCGCCCAATGCACTGATGTGTTTTTTAAAATTGAACATAGGGATTTAGGCGATACTAGTTTTTATAACTTTATAACTGGTTACTGGAACAAACCGAAATATAACTTTTGACCAGCTTTATGTTTACTTCTGCTTTAGTGCGTTTCCCAGTTTAGAACTCATTTTGTGTCTAAAAACTGTCTAGTTATACATATAATATATAGAGTGGGTCACTAAGCACTCGCTCCTCAATATCACATTAATTATTAGAAATAAAAAAAAAGTCAAAGACCAAAGTTGCACGGTTCTTTGGGGACCACCATACATTAAAATTATTTTCAATTATACTAGGTGTTCAGTTTAATTTTGAAATTCGGATGCGACGTTGACGCGTTATTCCAATTTCCTTGAAATATTTTGGCGATGAAAGGGTTTACAAAAAAATCGCAATAAGGTTAATTTTTAAAATTTTCTAAGGAGATAAGGCTTTGTTGTGTCATAATGAAGCCTTAATATGCAGTGTTCATAAAAAAAATCTAAAATATTCCAATTTTCAAATATCAATATTTCAGTTTTTCGAATAGAACACCGGTATTTTCTTATTATATCTTATTCAGTCTCTTGTACTCTGTTATTTGTTAAGTATTTTCTATTTTTAAAGTTTATAGGTACTGCGATTTTTAATCTTTTTAATAGACACAGCCACATTTTGGAAGAGAACAAAAATAAAATAAGATGGAGTAATAAAATACAGGACGTTCTAGTTTTATAACATAAATTTTAAAATTTAAAAGCAACCCCTTTTGCGAGTTTTTTGTGAACGCTTATATTGCTAAGAATTTCAAGAAAATTGGAATAACGTGGCTATCTCACATTGGAATTTCAAAAGTAAACTATGGTTATAAAGCCTAAGAAAAGACTAATCAGAATATTTAAAAATATACGAGGTGTTCTATTAAAAAAAAGTTGTCTGTTATGCCTCAAAAACAAAACAGTCGAAAATAATTTTAATGTAGGCTACCCAGTGAACAATACACACTTCAGTCCGTGACTTTTTTATCTCGAATAATAATTAATAACACATCGAGGATCAGCCGCTTAATGACTCACCCTGTATATTGAAAATGGACAAAAGCTTAAATTATTTTATGTTTAATGTTTTATTGCAATTTTTTAACGTTTTAAAGTTTCAAAATTAAAAATGAAAAAAAAAGTACAAATGAAGTCGGTTTAAATAGCCACGTCATCTTCAACTGAATTTACATGTACTCGATCAAGTAGTTTTCGTATTTACCTTTGATTTGATTTATTATGTACTAGCTTTTCGCCCACGGCTTCGTTCGCGTAGACGTTTCATTGTGTTGAAAAGCGTTATTACCAAGCTTCAGTAAAAAAATGTGTTGAAGGGCATTAATACAAACTTTCCAATAAAAATTGACATACAAATATTTTTTCTCATACAAACTTTGTCAACCCCTTTCATCTTCTTAGGGGTGGAATCTCGAAAAAACCTGAAATACGTGTTTCATTATTTGGGTCGAAGGGTACTAATACCAAATTCCACGGAAGTATTTTTCCCCTGCAAATTTCGCCACCACTATTCACCCCCTTAGGGGTTGAATCTCGGAAAACGCTTAAATACGTGTTTCATTATGCATTAGTACTAAATACGACGTCAAAAATTTACAATAGAAATATTTTTTGCATACAAACTTAGCCACACCACTTTTCACCCCCTTAGGGGTTGAATCTCGGAAAATGCTCAGATACGTGTTTCATTATTTGTGTTGAAGACAATTAATAGATACAAAGTTTCAGGTAAAAATTAAAATTTACAACAGAAATATTTTTCCCACACAAATATAGCCACCACTTTTCGCCCCCTTGGGGGTTGAATTTCGGGAAATCCTTAAATACGTGTTTCATTATTTGTGTTGAAGAGCATTAATACCAAGTTTTAAGTAAACATTACCATAAAAATATTATTTCCCATACATTACCCCTTTTCACCCCCTTAGGGGTTGAATCTCTAAAAATGCTGAAATACGTGTTTCATTATTTGTGTAAAGACCATTAATACCAAGTTTCACGTAAAAATGTAAATTTACAGTAGAAATATTGGCCCTATACAAATTTACCAACTCTTCTCACCCCTTTAGAGGATGAATTTCTAGAAATCCCTTCTTAAACCATGCCTCCAGTATAAAATGAACATCCTCTACAAATTTCAAATTTCTATCATTAGCGGTTTGGGCTGGGAATTGATACGTCAGCCGCAACATTGCCTTTTATATACAGGTGTTTCTTCTATTTGATACAACCCCTGTAACTGTTTTATTCTTAAAGATAAACCTGTAGTTCTTGGAGCAAATTTGTGTCATTTTAAAAGATCTATGTGATGGCAACCTCACATTTTCATTATCGCTTCCGGTAGAACCGGAAATAACGTTAACTTAATTTTTTTTAATCGAACACTTGGTATATTTTTTCATAAAAAAGTTACCCGACTGCAGCGAATTTCTTAATCACCCAATGTGAGGGTGCGGCACCCTTTTGTGAAGCCGAGTCTTATATAATTATAGTTTGTAAAAATTTGGACTTGAGACTGTCAACATCGTACAAATATACACATTCAAGCGCCACCGTATTTTTATTGTATTTATTACAATTGGTCCTTGGAGTTATCGCAACACAATATGTTTTAAATATCTTGTGAAAAGAAGATTACGTATCTACAGGAAAGAAAAGAATAAACTTAGGCCCCGCCTCTCCTGACTCACGACAAATAAAGAAAAATCATCACAATTGGGATAGGGTGGGTGGGTGGTTGGGGCTTACATTTTGCACTTTTTTTTTTCTTAATTGCATAGTCTTCTTTTCACAACCAAAAATTCAAAACATGTAGAAAATGGTAAATCTTATGCCCCACTCTTCTCTATAATTTACCATTTTTACGCATATTTTGAGTTTCTTATCCTGAAAAGAAAACTACGAACACATTTTAGGAAGAAAAGCAAAATACAAACCCCGCCCACCCGCCCTCATCTCGATTGTAACGACCATTTTTATTCGTCGTGAGCCGAGGGGTGGAGCTTAATTGCAAAATGCTGATTTCTCTACAAGAATCTACCATGTGAAACATGTTTTTAAGTGTCATGTTGAAAAAAAACTATATATGACACGAAAAAAAAGTAAAAAAATAAGGCCCACCCGCCCGCCCCAACCTCAAATGTGATGAATTTTTCATTCGTTGTCAGAACGAGGGGCGGAGCTTAATTGTAAAATCAGTATTTCCCGACGAAAAATTACCATCTTCAATATGTTTTAAATATCTTGTGAAAAGAAGATTACGTATCCACAGAAAAAAAACTAAGCTTAAGACCCGCCCCTCCTGACTCACGGCAAATAAGGAAAAATCGTCACAATTGGGATCGGGTGGGTGGGCGGGGCTTACATTTTGCTGTATAAAATGGTAAATTTTATCCCACACTCTTCTCTACACATTTACAATTTTTACACATATTTTCAGTTTCTTATCATGAAAAGAAAACTACGTATATCAGGGAAAAAAAGCAAAATACTAAAAACTCCCTAACCAATATTCTAAAATCAATACTTAAAAAGTTATTCAATAAAACAGACGATAAATTCATATTTATTAATGACAATCTAGTAGCTTGAAAAATTGACACTCATGTCATTTATTCACATAAGTGATCTTTTAAAACGATACAAATTTGCTCAAAGAACTACACATGTTTATCGTTAAAAATAAAAAAATTACAGGGGTTGTACAAAATAAAAAAAACACGTGGTATATATGTAGATTTAGAACATAACAACTTCGGCACTGCTTACCAAGAAAGAATTTACAGCTGGTCCCAAGTACGTTATATTATTAACAACGTCCTTGGCTGGTCTTGAAAAGTTCGTTTGAAGCAGGTAAATGTCAGATGGACATCTTGTATAATATAATAAGTAATAACAGGATGATAAAATTTTCTTGGTATTTTTTTAAATCATTTGAAACTCAATAAAACACACGGCCAACGAATCGGTTTTTTTCTATTTTAGCTTATTTATAGTCTTAGCAATGATTTTATTAGTTATAACCATTACAGATGGCTCCAGAAAAAAACGGGAACTGAATTTTTGTACAATGTAAAATGGACCTATCCCTTACTTGTCAATTTGACAAATCTGTTACATATTTGTCAACGTTTGGACACAAACTTTTTACAAGGTCATTATTGTTCTAACCTGTTTGAGAATAGTCCCGTTCCCCGTTTAAACTAGAAAAATTCACACAGTAATCTGTCATGCTAACTTTTGACAGTTTCCGTTTTTTTCTGGAGCCAACTGCACAAAAATTAAGGTACCAAGTACGGTGAACGGCATAGTTGCGGTTTTAGTACAAAATTAAATTTAAATTTCTGCTTAAATAATCTCAATGGTCAGCATTCCAATTCACAATGGAAACCGAAAACAATGGACCTCTTCCTTTCCTCAATGATGTGTTAGCTAAACGCTTATCCAATCCGTCTATCAAAAAGCCTCAAACATATACAGACCACTTCTTCATGCTGAATCTAATCACCATCTGTCCCAAAAATCTTTTGTCATAAATTCCAATAACTCATACGGCATTCACGATTTCAATACAAACTCGACAAGCCGATAGTGAAACATCTCCTGCCACCTGTAAAGTAACCGACTTTCTGCTTTCCAACGACCAACTTCTAGTCATCAAACGGTATTTATCGTGCTTCTGTTCATGTGGTATAGTTTACATAGGTAAAACTGGATGGAAACTCGGGCACCGCGCTGACACCCAAACGTGCGTAACTGCGTCAATCAGTCTTAGAATGCGTTTGTAGTCACAGATAATTTATCAATTTGTTGTAATTAATGTATAAAAATTCCGAGAGTCAGTTAAAACTTCAGTTTTACCCAAGATTAAGGTCATAATTTTTCGATATATCACCATTTTTCTTTTTGAAGCGACGAATAAAATATTGATTGTGAATAATAATTTGTTACAAAAATACACAATGTTAAGTATTTTTCTATAATTACTTTAATTTGTTCTGCATTCCCTCATAAAAACTCGAATCATCTTAGTAAATTAGATATACTTCATTTATCCCAGAACTAACTGCTACTTAACTTGCGGCTGCACTAAATCCGCTTTCTTGGGAACACCTTCTGCTACTGCAAGATTGACAAATAAAAAATATTTTAATAGGACACGTAGTGTACCTAATTGTCTGTGTAATGGTGAATTTTATAAAAGAAAGGACCCGTTGAAAAATGCTAATGAAGTCAAGTCGTACTGTAGATGGCGTGGGTTTTAGTCACTTTTAGACGGAAAAATATGAACTCCTGCGCATGGGCGGCTTTTAACCCCACTTGAGGCACACTGTAGCGAGCCGACCTTGTATACAAAATAACTCGTCCAACTGTGGTATTTATTCCCGCGCTGTCTTTTAATCCAGGTTTGCTCACACTTAATGTAACACAACTTTCTCTTTCCTGTTGGATTCAATGTGCGAATCAGTTGTCTTCTTGGTTACAAAATTAAAAAGTGACGATGACCTTTTGTTACAGCATGTCCGACGCCCGGAGTAGGTCCTGCCGACACCATATTCCCTTACGAATGCATAGTGATATGAATGAGAGGACCAGTGTTGAATTTACTCTACTTGCCATGTACTTTGGCGTTTACGAATAAAAGACGTTTTTTAATAGTATTACTTAGTATATTCCTTTTGAAATTAAAACAATAATTTACAAATAGAAAGATAATCCACATTTAATATTGTAGTTAATTTGAAAAACTGCATCACAGTACCCACATCAACATTTGTAAAAAAATTCACACCCAAGTTTTAAAAAAATAACGCAAAAACATAAATAACTGAAAAAAACTGCGCAAAATTTAGGCACTATAATAATTAAGAACGAACAACTACTTTGGTTAACGACGAGATTTGTGATTATCACAGAAGAAAAGCGAAGAATGAAGGCGGAGAGACATTGACAACTATATCCATTACAAATATGGGATGTTGCGGGTACTGCAGAGACTGCAAACTAACATTACACCTAAATGGAGTTTAAATAAAAGTTACAAAAGGTCTTATAATGTAGAGTTTACTTATCGATGCAGTCTTCTCTAGTTCATAATCTAATACCTTAACTCTGTATCCTAATAATAAATTCATTGTATCATATTTGTCAATGGATTATCAATTTTTTTTTAATTTTTTTGGTTTGTAAGCAGTGTTTTAAGCACAGTAAAACTGCGAACGACTTTGTTCAATTCAACATGTATGAACATAGCTACGACTAATATTGGTGTGTAATACAACCGAAAAGGTTTTTCCTTGCCCTAGTTTAGACATCATTTTTTTGTTATCATAACAATTTTGCAATTCGTCAATAATTTAATAAATATTGTTCAACCATACGTAGTAGGACTTATATAAAATACAGTATAGCCAACTCCACTGCTAAGACAAGAGTAAGTTAGTTGCTACGGTAGAATGACATGAATGAGAATGACTTAATCAATGACTATTTCTCGTTATTCGACAACGATCCCCGGCAGACGTACCACACGTGCTTCTGATGAAAAACCTTTAGACCCATCGGGCCCTTTCGGCTGACGAACCACCATCAATCTGGGACCAGTGTCGTCCAAGGATACTGTGCGTAGCCTGCTGATGAGACGTTCCGGTCTAGCTTGGACGTCACTGAAAAACACCCTTTCTTGACAATTCTGCGGTTATATCAAGCCACATCGAACGAATTGGCATCCAAATTCGTGGATTTGTATTATCAGAAATGGACTGAGCTTGTGGAAGAGATATTTTAAATATATTAAAACGGCAACGAAAAACGATAAAAAAATTATAACAGCTGTTAATACGAAAAGTTTAGGACTTCAACACAGGGAAAAACCACGACATTCACAAAAAATCCTTTGTGTACCTGCCTGAATTGGTACTTATTTAATTTTTCAGACACTGAAACGATGAACCAACAGAAACGTAGACGCGGAACATCCTCAATAAATTTACCCAAGTATATATTTCCTGTTTCTAATACCTGTTAAAAATAGTATTATGCATTAAACAACTGAAATTACATTACCTTAACATGGTTACCTACCTGTACTGAGAACGTCATTTTGTTCTTGTTGTTTGTTTCATTTATTCATCCCTTCCAGTGCGCATTACTACATTTTGTTACATTAAAATAGTTTCTTAACATATATCTTGTTTTCTGGTTAACAATCGTTTTACATTTTAATTACGACCTACTTTCGCGCTTATAAAAGCTTACAAACCCATGCTCTGTCCACTTCTGAGTGCCTCGAATTATAGATATAGTGACTTCTAGTCAGGGTTCCAAATTGTTATAAAATAACTCGCAAAGAAAACAAAAACTTGTGTAAGATTCACATATGGTAGGTTTTTGGATAACTAACAACACTGCAGCGAATTCTCCCATTTAAAATGCATTACGGTACGACGCCTGTGGGTTTTCTAGTATGTGCGGCGATGATGGGTGACTCCAGAATAAGCCTAGAAGCGGTGACGGCGACTATTTAAGAAGAACCGCGTGGCTCTTTAAATGGAAACAACCATGTTTTCAGCTTGTGGTGTCATAATCACATAAAAAAAATAAATAACGTTCTGGATACATTAGCTTGTAGTTTGCTCCACGAGTAATTTTACAACAGTTTGCACTCTCACATCTCACCAAATTTTCTCCTACAATGAAACCTACCTGACTTTGACAACACTGCAGGCAGACGACTTTCCGCTTCTATGATTTGTCACCAATACAAACTCTACAGTGTCGCCAACTTGCAAATTGACATTATCTTTAACTTCCGTCATATGAAAGAACAATTTCTTCCCTTCCTCCACTTCGTACGCCAAAAAACCGAAATGACCCTTAATGGCGTCCACTGTAGCTCTCAATTTTTTCCTAACTGCCACGATATTGGCGGCCCTGCCGGTCGAATCCACCTGCAATTGCACATGGTCGCCCATTTGCAGCAATTCCCGTTTGTTCACCAAGCCCATGATGCCGAACTCGTACTCCATCGGTTTTTCTTCCGGATCTTCGGTTTTGATGCGGATCAGTCCGGAATATTCCGTCTGGTCGGGATTGACCGAACGCAGAGGTCGCACTACAGTGCCGTCGAGAACGTCGCCCATGACAGGGGGTAGGTTGATCGTTCCTTTGGGGATGATTTTGACATTTTCGGCTGAAGAACAGGTGCCCGAGTTACCGCGGCTGCCCAAGTTGTACTCGACCTCTTGGCCCAGTTCGAGGCTGTTCGGGTCGCCTTCGAAGTTACTGAAGTGGAAAAAGACTTCTTTATCATGTTGAATAGTTTCAATGAAACCAAAGCCATCCTTCAACGCTGCTACAAAACCTTGATACATCTGACAGTTATTACTATTTCTATGTTTAATCCCGTTTGTTTGCGTAGCCTGTTGCACCACTTGAATGTCAACTGCTATTAACTCTTTGTTTCTCTTGACTTGATTAATATTAAATTCGATCTGAAACAAGGGAGATGTGAAATGAGCGACTTACGATTTACGGTGGTCGTTACCTTGTCCCCAAGTCTCGGGTAATGCTTCATATCACAATCTTTCGAGTAGAAAGCAATGGTCTTTTTGACGCCGTTTACTTGATAAGATATTAAACCAGATTCGGGAGTGTGTTCGCCGTTTTGGTTTTTGGTTGGACTTCGGTTGAGCCACATAGTAGGAGGTATTTCTTTCAACACGGTCCCTGTTAAGCTGTTCTCTACTCTCGTCTCAAACTGCACCGTTCCGTGCGGCAACCACTTCATTCTAATGGCACTTTGTCGACTATTGGAAAACGTACTCGTTTGGTCTTGAACCACGGTAAATTCGTATTCATCATTGACCGCCACCTCTCTGTCCACGTCCAGTATCTCATTGAAATGGAAAAATAATCTAAAAGAGAAGAAAAAAACAATGAGCGTTTTTAAAGATAAAAGAAATAATTAATAAGCAATGTCGGAAAACCAACAATGTATATAAAAAGTGGTTTAATTTACAATTATACAAATCCAGTCTTCGGTAATTTATACAATTTCATTTTGAGAATTTTAATTTTTATGACAGCCCCGCCCATCTGCCCTCTCTTTTCTTAGAGGGTATCTCATTTGGCGAAATCAGTCCTATCTTAGCAGGTACAAGCCCCGCCCACCCACCCTCTCTTTTCTTAGAAGATATATCATTTGCCAAAATCAGTCTTCTTTAGCAGCCAGTAGCCCCCCCCCCCCCCCCTCTTTCGTCAGAAGGTATTTCATTTGTCAAAATAAGTCGTATATTAGAAGCTACTCACGAAATTTATCCCATTCGCTCACTACGCTCGCTCATTCTTGTACAATAAGTAATTATTTTTGGTATATTTGTTAATGAAAAATAAGAGCTTGTTTTATTAATAATAACGATTAATGACTGCTGGTTATGGTTATTGTCCTAAAAAATTTCAAAAGTATTGTTTTATTTTTCTGTACGAATCGTTTACGTGTCCTGTTGGGATTATGATACCTGGTTGGTCCCCACCAAGAGAATAAAATTTTATTTTCGTATTGTATTGAGCGTAAAATTGATGAAGTGCGACAGTACAGTATTCCAGAATGTCTTGAAAATTTAAGGAAGCAATTTCCTGAAACTGTTTCCAATTACAGGCTCCTTTCATGAGAAAAACTGAGGATAACAAATATGAAAAATTTATTTTTTTGGATGCTTCACTTCCAATCGGCAGCCATTAGATTTCTGAAGTTGTGCCATTTTCAAACTCTCTTATTAATTTTATTTTACTGTCCAAGAAGGGTGCTTTCAATAATAAATGTAAGTACTCTATCCGAATAAGTACCAGTGGGTTACTAAAACTTCGTTATACTTTGCCGATTTTCGCGACTTTCAGCTGTCTCCTGAGTCAACGCTATTGACCTGAGAAAGTTTTTTTTTTCCAGGCAGTTAGTACTTACACTATAGAAATAACGGAAGTTTTAGGTTCCTAGACTATCATTTTCTTGTATTTATAAATTTGTAAACTTTCAAATATAGTCAATTTTGGCACCTGGAATTAGGTTGAGGAAAGAATACAAATTTGAAACTTTGAATAGGTACTTTCAACCAGATGGAGCAACAGCTCACTCTACACAACAAAATTTGAATGTTCTCTGAATTTTTTGGAGAACGAATTATGTGTAAGTTAAATGTGCCTGTCAATTGTCCATCGAAATAGATAAGTGATTTAATTCCCTATGATTTATTGTCTTTGTAGTCTTAAAAAAAAATCAATGTTTCGACAACGAATCGAAAATTTAGATGAACTTCCACAACAAATAAATGAAAACATGTTTGAAGCATCCACAACTGCTTCAGAATGTTTTTAAGGGCGGGTCAAGAAATATTGAGAATCCGATGGTGGGCATTTGCATAATTTGTTGTAAATTAATTAACTTTGTTATAATCTCACATTTTTAAACATAAATGGGGCATACGTTTTAGTGACAAAAAATGATCAACAAGTAGCTAGGTCTTTTTTGATAACTCGATACTGATAACGGTTCTGTATTCTCACAATTTCAGGAAAACAAGTTAAGCCGTTTTTAATTAATCACATTATTTTACCCTATTTTCTTGAAATACGTATAATCATCTTGTCACAACAAGGAGGTTTAAAATGGTAAATTTTTGGGAAATATGGATTTTGCAATTATGCTCCGCCCCTCAGTCTGACAACGAATGAAAACTTCATCACTGTTGAGGTGGGGGAGGTATAAAATCCTTATTTCTTTACAAGAAATTATCATGTAAGACATGTTTTTGAGTATCGTGTTGTTCAAAGAATAATAATAAAGACAAAATACGGATTTTGCAATTAAGCTCCGCCCTCTTGACTCACGATGAATATAAAAAATCATCACAATTGAGATAGGGTGGGTGGGCGGGGCTTATATTATACCCTGTTTTGTTGAAATACGTATAATCATCTTGTCACAACAAGAAAGTTTAAAATGGTAAATTTTTGGGAAATATGGATTTTGCAATTATGCTCCGCCCCTCCGTCTGACAACGAATGAAAACTTCATCACTGTTGAGGTGGGGGAGCCATAAAATCCTTATTTCTCTACAAGAAATTATCATGTAAGACATGTTTTTGAGTATCGTGTTGTTCAAAGAATAATAATAAAAACAAAATACGGATTTTGCAATTAAGCTCCGCCCTCTTGACTCACGATGAATATAAAAAATCATCACAATTGAGATAGGGTGGGTGGGCGGCGCTTATACATATTTTGCACTTAATATACGTAGCCATCTTTTCACAACAAAAATTTAAAACATGTGTAAAATGTAATTTTTGTAGGGAAATACGAACTTTGCAGTTATGCTCCGCCCCTCAGTCTGACAACGAATGAAAGCTTCATCACTGTTGAGGTGGGGGAAGATATAAAATCCTTATTCGTCTACAAGAAATTACCATGTAAGACATGCTTTTGAGTATCGTGTTGCTCAAAGAATAATAATAAAAAAATAAGGATTTTGCAATTAATTAAAAGGTCCCGTATAAGCAATTTTTAAAAATATAAATGTATTGACAAACCACAAGTGTAGATTCGTAACATTCGACACATTTTTTCCAAAAAGCTGGATGTTTAGGATACAAAATAAGGGTGGATTAATAAACCACACGTACCGAAAATAACATTAAGGACATTTAATTGCGATTACAAAAAATTCGAAGTACCCGTCAAGCTGTGACATTTTGAAAACCAATTTCATGCCGACCATAAATTAATTCACATTACCGTGTTTACGCAACAAAATCAACTTTGTAAATGTGGCGATAAATGAACACAGATTGCTGAATTAATTTTAGTAAAATTGGTAAATAGCACTCCAGTACACACGAATTGATAACAAAATTTAGTTATTTTGTAAGAACCATCTACATTTATGGAAGTATTAAGCAGTTCACATTCGTCAAAATTGACTGTGAATCAAGTGGAATTTTTCTATTTAGTTTAAATTAGTGTCTCATGGTTTTATACCGACAATACTCAAGCATTTCACTCTTCAACATGAAAATTTGTCAGAGTATACAAGTTTAGAAGAATATATGCATCTTATAACAGTGATTTTGCTAATATTTATTAACCACATTTGAATAATTTTCAAATCAACAACGCGCAAGATTAAAAACTTATTTGATCGTTTTTAAAATGTGACAAATTCCATTTTACATGCTACTCAAAAATTTAATAAGATTTTGTCAAAAGTGACATTGAGGTCAATACGAAATTATGTATGTTTTTAAAAACAGTAATGTATTTTTTAAGTACGGTTTGCCAATTAACAATGGTTACAGACGGAAACGTTAAGAATTATGCAACAAATTCTTTATGCTTGATTTAAAAAGTGTGACTTAATTTAAACCCTAACATTTTTAAATGCGGCATACAATCGCAATAGAAGCTTGATTAAAGCAATTATTACCAAATTAAAAAAAAAGTATATAGTGTGGGTACTAATCAAACAAAAAATAACTGTAAACTCGGAACGTTATTTTTGCATCCACAAAAAACTTTTTACTTTGTATTATCATGAGTCATTTTACGATCACCACTAACGCTGCAATTTAACTTCCGACGTACTTCAAGGTTCAGTAAATGGTGTATTTAATGATTTAAAAAAAACCTGAAGCGCTGACGACACCAATACAAGTATTTTTTAATTCAACCTAACAAATTTGAAACTAAAACAATTAAACTGTTGTCACCGTCAAGGAATGGTTTAGTGCCAATAAACTAATTGAACCTCAATAATTGATAAGGAAAACATGTGGTATTTTCTTTTAAACAAGTTGCTAAAACTGACTGGACTTTCTTGGAATTTATATTGCTTCACCTTTTGTTATGGCAAACATGGTGATCATTACAAAAACAATATAATCTCAAATAAAATGCATATTATAGGACTTGCAAAACAACGCATCTATGCAATACTTAAACAATCGTCTTCCTGACACAAGTTACGAAGAACTGCGATAAGGTTAATAACATTTAAAATAAAAAGATTAAAACTTCCTTAGTTAATAATATGAATTTTTTACTCCTATTTTGGTTTTCTCTGGCGTTCTGTTTTTATTATTAATTGATTATTCACAATTTATTACTTATGGATGATGTATTAATTTGGAATAAACAATTTATTTTTATAAATTTATTCCAACATAACATGTGCATAATTAATAAAATTATATACATACTGTTATTAATAGCTGGATCATCTATAATGTTTTGATTTTTTTTCCGCTGACAATGTGATTAATAAAACGTTTTAATAAACTGAAAAACCATTCCCGTGTAAAACCAGTAATTTTGGTCTTTATTCACCTGGCAAACTTTTAATCTACCTATTAAACTTATTTAAATCTCTAGAATTCTGTCAGTTACTCCTAAAATCATGAAAGGAAAAATGTAGATTACATAGTGTGACGGTCGCCTTCGGCTCTTGAATTAACTGCCATCCTCGGCAGAAGTGGGTACATGAACATGAAGTTCGTAATTAGAACGCTACCTAGAAAGATAAGCTGACGGCAATTAAATTTTAACTCTTCAGAAACAACAATGGAGTAGATTAAATTACGTAACAGTCGGTGCGAAGTCATTCCCTGATTATGGGAGCGTGACATACAGTCCACAAAGTACGTAGAGCCCAATTTGACTGAAAATGTGTACTTGACGCAACACGATTATGTCATTAACGATTTGTTTTCAATAACATCCAACATCATTAGAATTTACAAGTATAATCAACAAAAACCGTTTTCTAATGGATGATTAGCGGTTTTTTCATCCCCATCACTAGAGGTTGATTTTTTTCATCGCACCTTCAGCTACAGGAAAAATGTCGAAAAGTGTCACAAAAACTGCTGAACCAACTAAATTACAGGTGTTTCATTTTGAAGGAAAAGTTCATATTCAACAAGCTCGTTTGTTTGGCAAACAGTTTATCGCAACACGTACTCGAAACATCCTTGAACTAATTTTTTAATGCATTGAATTAAATTGAGTAACTTTAATAACCGTAGCTATACAGTAATTGCGTTGTTTTTGCACATCAAAAATTTTAAGTACACAATAAAACCTGTGTAAATTGTGTGAAGTATTGGTGTTCTGAATATGATCTTTATGTTCAGCTATTTTTTAATTCAAACGGTGATGGTAGGCGTTGATATAAATATATAATACAGTAGAATTCTTTAAATTTTGGCGAGGTGTTGTAAAACTGGAATGTTTCTATCTTCGTCAGACACACTGTATTTATGCAGACCAAGAATGCACACACTTCTCAGCATTTATTTTAGGGACCGAAACATATACTGTGTAAATACAATAATTAAAAGAATTCTACTATAAAATCACAGACCACTAAAAGCATGTTTAAAGAGTTAAATCAGTCGGTCCGTAGTTTCCGAAATTATAAGCCTAATAAAAATCAATAGAGACGATAGAGAGACAGACGGAAACAGGAGCCGTATTTTTTCACTCTCTTGGGGGTCATGAAACGTCGAGAAAAAATGAAACTAACCATTCGCCGAGTGGACCCTACTACAATATTAGTAGTAAAAAAGTAAAAAGGAATTGTGGTAACAGATCGATCGATAAAGGCTAGTGCCGAAATTGTTCCAAACAATATTCTTTTCATTTAATAAAGAAAAATTCCGCACAGTAAAAACGTGATAGTAAAAAATGGGATCAACTAACCTGGCCTCTCGCTCTACGCATTTTAAAAATCCAAATCCCTCCTTCACTGATGCCACCACTCCTTGCTCTCTCTTCTCGCCCGACACCAGGAAGCTCTCGTCCAACAACGAGATGTGAGTGGCTCTGTTAAGTCCATCTCGACGATCAGTAGCGACTTTAAACTGCACCCAATCACCATGGCGCAATGTAAAATCGCCCCTTTGGTCTTTATCGCCAAACGATATTTCCACTTCTGAATGATCAGGGGCACGGTAACGAATACGCCCAGGTAAAGCGTCGGTCTGATGACGCGCATTCGGACCTCGGTCTAATGGTTTCAATACTTGGCCTTTGAGAACTTCCGGTTTGAGGTCCTCGAAGATCACCGTGCCGGGTGGTAAGCGGGTTATGTTGCAGGCTACTTCTTTACCCTAAACAACAATAGCATATCGTGTAACATAAAATGATATTTAATGCGTGTTACACAGTATCATTTTTCTACGATCAGCAACCGTCATTGAACACTCCGAGTCGTAGAAAAATGATGTTTGTACGTAGAGGTCGTTACTTACGTTACGAGTTTGAATGGTGAACTCGACGTCATCCCCTAACCGCAATTCCTCTTTGGTTTTGGCTTCGGAAAAGTGGAAGAATATCTCTTTGACAACATCGGCCCTCTCAATGAACCCAAAACTCTCCTTCATCGAACAGACAACACCTTGGTATTTTACAGGATGTGCGGGATTTTCAAGTCGAACATGGCACGCTCCCAAATTACCCCTAAAATTAACGATACATTGTCTATACTTCTCCAAATGAGAATCAAACGATCTTTTTTAAACTAAATGTGATCATGAACATCAGAAATTTTTGCTTTATTGGTTTTCTGGGTTAAAACTAGAGTTTTAGTTTAGTGAATACTTTGATTTATTGGCTGCAAGAAGGTCGTTATATATTAAAATATTAAACTATATAACGAAACTAATAATCCCACTTACAGAAACTTCGATGTATGTAAACGATATTTCGAGGTTATCCGTCACAATCGTTAATAATAATTAATGGAAAAAAATCGCATAACCATACAACCTGACCAAACTTAGTAAATATTTAAAAATCTTATAGCTTAGCAAAACCTTGGAATATTGTATTACCTTTTGTAATGTTTTAAATTATTGCCATATTCAGAAAAATAAGTACTCGTAAAGTATGTAAACAATTTCGACCCCTCTACATCACACATTTGAAATGAGTTAGAAAAAACGAAAACCGAAAGTGTGAAAGTTTTTATATACCAGACTAGCTATTCATGGTATATAAAGTGAGAAAGAAGTGTCAGTTACCAGAGTCACAAAAATTTCTTATTTTGTTATCAATGTTAGTTATTACAAAAGTTTGCAAAGTGTTAAATTTCTGTGGAAAAAAATATGCCATAAGATAATTATACACTTATACAGAACTAAGACAATTCTCAAAGTCGGTTGTTTTTAGATATGCCGGATCCCATTGAACTATGAGAAAGTTTTTGCATAAAATTACTCTAAAAATAACTCTTAATTTACTGTTGTGATAAATATTGCGCATGCGCGTTAGTTTTACTCACACCGTGCTACAAACGGACTTAGGATATGCTATCTTGCGTATTGATGTTACTTTTTATAATTTCCTCAAAGGTTAAAAGGCCAACATGCATCAAGTTGAAATTTATCTTCTTACGAAAGTGTTTTATTCTTTCGATAATTTTTTTAATAAAAGTATGTCGACGTCGTAACGTAAATAAATGATATTATCATGAATTAAGCGATATTCTTGAAGAAACTGTTTAATATGTGGGTGCTGTTAGTAACAAAAATAAGAAAAAAACACTATTTACTGTCAAAATGTAATTTACGTAGCATTGTTAAAAATTAATGTTTATACAATAAATTATTGTTACATATTTTTTAAACTGCGCTAAGTGGCGTGTGCCCGTGCATGCTAATACAGACAGATGATTACTATTATTAGTGTGCCATAGATTCATGCTACTACACAAGTTGTGCAGGCGATAAGATTTTTGTACTATTATTAAAATAAATCTACATGTTTTTTTAACCATGAAATATATCTTCTTCACGCAACAAAAAAGGACAAGCAATCGTCAGAGGAATTTATAAAAAATATACCAAAAAATAGGCAGTGTGTTGTTTTTTTTAAATATATTAATAAAACCCTTGTAACTTTTTTTATTTTTAAAGATAAACCTAGTTCTTTGAGAAGATCTGTATCATTTAAAAATATATGTCTGAAGGTAAGCTCACCCTCTTGTTATCAGCTCCACTAGAACCGGAAATGACACCAACTTAAATCTTTTTGTATAGAACACTCGGTATATTTTTTTAAAAATGGAAAACTTGCTTTTTACTTCCCGAGCGTAAGCAAATGAAGTATTGTAATCGAGTCCGTCGACCGACTCTCTACTTTTACATTTTCTCGACCTTTCATGACCCCAAGAAGACGAAGAAATAGGTCTCCCGTCTCCGTCTGTCCGTCTGTCTACCGTCCGGGATTTTTATTAGACAAAAGTACTGGGCCGATTCTTGTCAAATTTTGTATTTATATTAGGAATATCAATGTGATCAAAATTGTACATAGTAAATCGGTTTTAAAACAAATAACATAGTCCTACACATGTAGTTTATGATTCTGAATTGAATTTTTACCCGAAACGTCCAGATGTTTGGAAAAAAAATTAACATTTTGCAATTTAATTTAGAATCTACAAAACTGAATGCTTTGAAATCTTGCAGATGGTTTACAGTTATGATAAGAATGATATATGTTCAATCAAAGTATATTTACTTGTCCCCTCCAAAAAAATGATATCGTCAGCTCAAAAGTTTGCCAAATAAATCTTACCTAAAATGTACAAAATATGATGATGATAAGTCTGTGCTTGTAATTTATCATTCCATTCATATTTTTTGGATTAGCATATACAGGATAACTTAAAAAATTAATGAATGCGTGAATTTATTTTATTGATTTAATCAGGAACTACAAAACCGAATGCTTTTAAATCTTGGAGATGTTTTAAAGTTATCATAAGCATGGTAAATTTTTGATCAAAATGTATTTGCCATCCCCGCTAAAAAATTGGTGACGTCACCCCTAAATTTTGCTGAATATGTCCTATCTAAAATGTATGATGAACGTATACTTGTGATCAATCACTGCATTAATATTTTTTAGATTTGCTTATACCGGGTGTCTGAAAAAAATTAATGAATCAGTCAATTTATTAAAGAAAGTGAAACCAGAAGCGATGGAAATTCTGTCGAAATGACTTTCCACCAATTTTTTTTACTACAGGAAATCCAACAGATATGCGGAAATGTGTATCAAACAAAATGCAGATATTTTTGAAAATTTGTTGTGAGAAATACTCGTACTTTTGTTGTTGTATTCAAATTTACTTATTCTTTTACATCTATTTTAATGCGGCATATACAAAAAATAATTCTCGTTTTGAATTTATTTAATGATGATTTCTATAGTTCAAAAGATTTTTTTTTTTTTCATTTAAATTCAATGAAATTATGCGAATAAAATCATACTTTTTCAGATTACTAGATTTTCATAAAGAAATATTAATTTTTCATATGTTTTACTGAATAACTGCAAACGATTCATTTATTAAGAAATATTCTGGATGATTCATTTATTAAAAAATATTCTGGATGTTCCATTTAAAAATATAAAGTTGATGTCATTTCCAGTGTTACCGGAAGCGAGAATTAAAGAAATGTGTTTAGCATCAAATGGATCTTCTGGTACAGTACAAATTTGTCCAAACGAAAGACCTATCTTCAAAAATAAAAAAGTTACAGGAGTTGTATGAAATAAAAAGGAAAACCAAATTAATATCCTTCATTTTGTTAAAAAAAAAAAAAAAATCCCAAAAAATTGTTATATATGCTAGAAATTAAAAATTCAAGCACATTCGGGTACACCTGGAGTCCACTCAAAAATATCACCTAAACGGTCTACTAAACCCAACAAAGATTTTCTCCAAAAACCACTTTGGTTGTCTATTTCGTTCAAAGCGACGAAGAATGTGTATTATTAATTCATGTATCTAGTTTGATCATAGGTAATGAGACATTGTCTAGTGGTAATTACTCTGCTTATTTTATGCTATTAAATTCCTAACTACGTGTCATTAGTTGCTATTAGTATTATCATCCATGTCCATGACAATTTTATGTTATCTATTGTACTGTAGTGTTTTATCATAAAAACGAAATATAATCTGAAAGTATTCACATTGCAACTGTTATTATTTAACCTCAATAAAACCATAACTCCTGAGCCCAAGTACAACAAAACGCACTGTACCGTACAGAAAATAAAGGACACGTGAAACGCTTTTGCGTATCAATAACAGTACTGACGTCACACATTCCAACAGCAACTTTGGTTTATAAACACACTCCTGAGCCTCTGAAGAGTACCAATATTGATAAATTCGACAAAAGCTATAATATACAGAGAAGTAAATGAAAAAGTTATGACGCGTTGAAATTTTGTTCGAAGTTTCTTACAACTCAGTTGTGACTGAAATATATTTAAACCTGACCGCAGCGCTTCAAGAACTACTCATACAACTTCAGAAGTTTCCCACAAGATTCAAACTTACGCGTGTACATTCAATCTCTTAGTCCGAATTGTCTATACTTGACTATATTAACCTACCTATTGTTCGTCGCTATTTGAAAACTGACTTTGTCCCCCGATCTCAGCGTCACATTCCCTTCCACATCGTCTTTGGTGTAGGGTAAAAAGAAACACTCCCCTCTGTTCTCGTAACTGATCCTGCCTGTGGTGTCGCCCCCTGAACCTTCACCTCTCACTTCGGTTGTTACTGTTCCCGTTACTCTTTCTTCACTCATCACCTGATCGACAACATTGCTATTTTAACAAGAAACGATCGAAATTTGAGTACTTACCACTTCTGGTGCTATTTTCGTCACAGCACTAGCTATTGGTTTGCCGGTCCGTCTGTCGTATGTCATTTCGAATTCAACGGGATCGCCGATTTTCAAATGTTCTATGTTACCGCTGAACTGACTAAAGTGGAAAAAGAGACGGGCCTGCCTTTCACAGCACTGAATGAATCCGTAAGAGTGCTGCGGAAGAACAATTAAATTACCGTTTTGTTCGTAAGGTGGAGGTCTCACAATTATCGTAATTAAATAAAATTCGTCTCACTTAACCAAAAGATTACCAACAGAAGATTTCTTTTATCTGGATGTATAAATACGTTACAGAAACAACCTGTGTGTTAAGACTTTTAATGTTTTCGAGATGACTTAAGTCATTTTTGGTGGGGATAAAAATATTCATTTGGATATATAAAATGTAACACTAACACGTGCAACTACAAGTTGTGCACTTCTAAAACAAATAAAATTCGCACAATTTGTATTTGTTGAAAAATTAATTAATACTATTAACAGTTAAGATTCCTTAATTTATAAATCGATATTAATATCACACCACTTTGAACTATCTTGTATGCATGTTGAGATAAACCATAAAAATGGATGGTCCACTTGCAAAGTTAAAAATGGTGTGGAGTGCTGAAATACACTTCTACTTTGGTTATTTTTACGACCACTTAAGGTCCACTCAAAATTTCAAAGTATATCAATCACAGAACCTTGCATTGTTGTATCCTTCGGGCGACAGGAAAATACCAAACTAGAAATTCGTAAAAATGATTCCAAAAATATTTATAACTTAATAAAATAAAATTTTAATCATGAACCACGCAAATAATTTCCATTAAAAGTATATTTTATGATGATCGAGTATAGTACACAACTGTGTTACACAAGAATTTAAACGATCTTATTTATCAGAGAAAACAATCGTTTTAATCTAATAAGTTAATCTTTTTGCTTCCCGATCAACAATAAGAATATGAAAAAACAGGTGTCTCTTCATCCCCACCAACAATTTGACGACGTCATCTCCAAATGTTGCTAAATAAATCCTATCTAAAAAACATGCAAAATAATGAGCTTTTAAATTTATTAATACAGCTTTATTTCATCATCCTCTGCGTAGGTTTTCCGAAAAACGATCAAAATTATTCAACAAAATTTGCAATTTATCTTTGAAATTACAAAACCGATTGCTCTTCAATGATGCACAAGCTTTAAAATTATCGTGAACACGATAAACCAATAATCAGAATTTGTCTGGTTCATTAAATCACCACTGCCAGGATGTTCAACTTTTAATAACTTTAAGCGGAATGTTCTTTAGTTTTGTATTGTATCGTAGTGTTCTGAGTTTGTTTTATGTTACATTATTATCATTATTTTTTCTATTATTATCCCTTCTAAAAACTTAATGACGTCATCGCAAATTTTGCAAAGTCAATATCATGAAATGTTAATAGCGTGCTTCTACGGGGTGATGAAAAAATGACGAATATATTTTTACGGATTTAATTTATTTTTTATGCAGTGGCGTCAATTACACCTCCGCAGCCCCTACGTCACTTCGATTGTTTATGCTTATGAATCTAAAAATGCAGCGATAAAGCATGTAGCAAGCTACCTGATTTGAATGATTAAAGTCTTCTTCAACTCTTATTTTATTATCATTAAATATAGGCGGGCACAACATTATTATTCTCAACTTTTCTGGAAAATAGGGTAAATCGTTTAATTGATTGATAAAGTTTCCAGGACGAAAGAAGTTAGTTCTAAACAACTTTTAGGGCAACTTTTTCAATATATTTTTCGTTTAGGTATGTGAAAAATTTGGTCTTTATATTAAAAAAAAGTATATCCAATTTACACAGATGGTAAATAATTTATGCATATTCTTTCCAAGACTGACAATTATATTTTTCGATTCTTGTTATTGTATAACTATTGTATTCACTTTGAAATTACTTACGGTATACTTTTTTTTGTTAATTTTCAACACTGGCCATTTAATAATATAAACAATTGCAAAGAGATATGCGTCAGACAAACAAAAAGAGGTCGAATTTCGTTTTACACAAGCTATGGCGAGAACACAAAATATAGAAATTCGTCAAAATGACTTTAATTATTACGATACGTTGCAATATTCAGCTTCTTCTCCAGAAAATGTCAATAAAGCAAAAAAAGAAAACTCATTAAAACAAATTCGTCCTCGAAATAATTTTAATCTTGGATACAACGAGCTGGAGGGTAAATAAAAGAGACCGTTTTGGAGTCTTCTGAAAATAGAATTAATATTCTAGAAAACAACGCTTGCACTGTCGTAAACAAAGTATAAACAGACATTTTCTAACACATAATATTTAAAAGCGTTTAGCTGTAAATTTTCTACATAATAAACTAAATACAACAAGAATTATGACTTGTTTTCCAGTTGAATATACTTTTCCATATTTTGAATATACTTGATAAACGAAGAGAATAAATTGAAACGTTGTTACATTAACAATACTTCAATTAAAATGCATGTTTCTAATTAGAACTGCAATTGAATAACAAAAAGAAAAAAAAAACCGTGTCACTAGATATGAACTCACCATGAACTCATTATTCGAGTGTTGTAATAATGGCAAATTTTGACACTTAAATCCCTAATTAGCCAATACAATACATTATTAGACAAATCAAAATCGGTCAAGCATTTAAACCCAAAAACACGCCAGATAAATCACCCTTTAACGATAAATCTGGTAGAAAATTCGTGTGAAACTCCACATTAACCAAATCCACGTCAGTCGACGGCGCTATGATAAATCAACTTATAAAACCACTTAATTCGTATTAAAACGAAACAGCACTTACAGTAACCAACTGGCAGATTATAATCGCGATAAAAAAGAAATACGAACGTGAACAAGCCGAGAGGACTTTTATACAAACGATATTTCTGGCAGCTTATCGGTGGTTTGCTTTTACGCAGAGTTTTGTGTATCTGAACACGATCCAGTAAATTATCATAAAAGACGTTTGGGGAAGCTGCGATTTATTTGCTCTCAGACTATTCCGAGGGTCTGGAATCGTTTATTTGAAACTGCTTTAAAGTGCCACTAACCACATTGGTATGGAAATTTTGACAGTGATGGTGAAATATCGATTGGGACCGGTTTTCAATGAGGGGCGGTCAGCGGAGTTCAATCCGATGTCATATTTTATAGCCGAGTTTAACTCTTAACTGATGTGGGAACAAACAGAAGTTTTCCCTTTTTTCGCTTCCCTACGTAGATATGCGTGTTATAAAGTCACTGGGATGAATATTTAACTTCGAGTTCTGTGGGCAACTGAAGAATCCATTATTTTAAAAATGTACAGATATTACAACGGTAGCCAAAATTTCTTACGTGCTTCCCCTGTACAAAAGTGGAGACGTCATGTTGAACTGCTTTTAAGTAAAACACAACTAAAATGTGCAGTGTGGCATATGCTTTTCCCTGGGGTGTAATAACCTCTCGCTTTAATGGTGTGCACATTAGAGTAATGTGTTTGTTCAGTGTTACATTGTAAGTCTTAAAATTAATGTATTTATCCCCACGAAAAGTTGTTGACGTCATTTCAACAGGTCATGATAAATCGTTTCAAATGCATATTTATTCATCACTTAATATTCCGCTGTTGTTTTTTAAATGCGACCACAGACGTTAAAAAAACAATACTTATCATGAAATATTTTAATGTATCAAAATCTGCTCATTCGATCGTCATGGAAATTTTGAGTCAAAATCAATTTGTAGACAATTTACTCAAATTTAACAAAAGCATTTTCAAAATACATATATAAATTGTGGCATTTTTTTTAATTGCGATGTTTCAATGTCATGTCGCAAACTTGTGTCACCGAATTACTCTGATAATTACTAGCAAAATTAATGTGTTTTCCACATATTTTACCACGCGACTTCTTGTCGAGTTTTGAGCAATAAAGGGAATTTATTTTCATTTATGTTGCTAAATAGTGATAATGTTGTTTAGTTTACAATGTTTACTCGAATATTTTTAATTAATGTTTTGTTATACCTATTCTTAAAACTAAAATTTTTTTTGACCTCTTAAATTAAAAAAATCGAGGCGGATCCACAAACCGCAAGACAGGAAATATGTTATTTTATAAAATGTAAATAGCATTTACTATGCAAAATTTATAGGTGACGCCATCAAATTATTGGTGGGGATTATCAGACAAATTTGGTTAATGTTTTACCATCTACACAATACAATAGACCTAAAATACAAATAACACTTGACAACAATCAGTAACTTCGGAGATTCTCTGTTTAATAAAATCGACACAAACGAGAGACAACAGACGACAGCAAGATAGACGAAAACAAGACCTATTTCTACATACTCTGCAGAGAAATCTAAAAACGTGAAAGTGGCCGTTCACCGGAAAATAGCAACAATGTATAATATTCATTTGGGAAGTAAAAAAAATAAAAAAATTATAATTCAGCGTTTTATTTTGTTGGAAATATTTTATTCCAATTCGTATTTTTTTTTTTGTTTTGTTTTTAAAACTGTAATCAAAAGGTCGTAATATGCATCAAATTTTCGTGATTAAAAAAAATTTTCTGAAAAAAATCATTTGATTAAAATTATTTCAATTGGGACAACACTAATAAATAAAAATATATTGCTTAGATTTGCAAATAATAAGATGTGCTCAAATTAATGAGCGTTTAACTAAAAACTCCGCCGCTCAATTTTCCAAATAAATATAGAAATATTGAAATTCTGTAAACGCCATTATTTTCAGCTTGAAGGGGGAAGGTTAATTTTGTACTCTGCAATATAACGCATGTACAGCGTAGGAGTAAATGATACATTATGTAAACGAAGAGATCTAGTTGCCATTATTGTCATGAAACAAACTTTTTTACCACTGCTAAATTTTTGTCAGTATGGTAGTCCATACTGTTTTGCGATCTGGGAAAAAATCTTTACTTTCCGAGCGTAAACTAAGAAAGTATTGTAATAGAGTTTTGTTTCAACCACAGGATAGTTAAACACGTTTTCAGTTTATTGTTGACAAAAGAAAACTTCGAACATTAAGAAAAACTGGACAATATATAAGCCCCGCCCACCCACCCCTTCTCAATTGTGATGAATGTTTTATTCATAGTGAGCAAAAGGGCGGAATTTACTTGCAAATCCTCATTTTTCTGCAAAAAATTACCATATGAAATTCATCACAATTGAGATTGGAGCGGGTGGGTGGGGCTTAATCTTTGTTTTTTTTTAATGCATAGAGTTTTCTTTCAACAACACGAAAAACACTGAAAACACGTTTTCAGTTTACTGTTGGCAAAAGAAGACTTCGTATATTAAGAAAAAATGGACAAATTAATTAATTAATTAATCGCCGTACGATACTGGAATTTCAATGATAATGAGTGGACGAAATATTCCAGGGTTCGACCTAATTTTGCATATCTCTAGTTATGAATATCGTGATATTAAACGTTAACAAAAATTTGTCTAATCACCCCCACCAACGATGGGATGACGTCATCTTCAAAATTTACAATAGTATGTGTTATTAAAATTTCATAAAATAACATACCCCTACATTTGCTTTATGAACCCGTGTTGGGTTTTTACCCTTGACATTCATATTTTTGGAAAAAAAAATTAAAATTTTGTAACATTTTGCAAACTACAAAACCCAATGCTTTGAAATCTTGTTAACGTTTTAAGATCATCGCAAGCTTGGTGAATCGTTAATCAAAATTTACCCGTTTATCTAGTAAATTCAAAATCAAAATTGTATAACAATATTTTAGAGTTTAATTTTGAAATTGCAAAACCGAATGCTGTGAAATGTTGTACGCGTTCTAAGGTTATCGGAAGCTAATTGTGAATTATTATCTCGAAATTTCGACTCGCTAGTGCACTTGGAACGTACATATTTTATACTAAAATTTCGATTTAGTTGTTTCGCAATTTTGATATGGTGTCCTAACATTTTCACTTCATTAACTCAAAATTTTATAATTCTTAGCTGAAAATTATGGTTTTATTATTTCAAACTTTCGATTTGCTACTTTGTAATTTTGACTTATTTTTTTACTATTGTATTTGACTAATGAAGATCTCATTCTACAATTTCGACTTGGTTATTCAAAAATTTTAACTTTTTATTTCTATATTCCCCCATTATGAACTTTTGGGCCGTTTTTGACAACTTTCGAAAATTTTCCAAAGGGATCTTTTAGTAAATTCTGACATCTCGAAGTCATTTTCGATTTCATTTCATTAGAAATTCCTGTTACTTTTCCACAATCGCCAAATAAAATATGGAAAATTTTAGAATGTTTGCAAAATTAGAATTTGAGACCAAATATTTTGAAAATCTTAGTTCGAAAAAACAAACTACACGCTATACTGTTAGAATTAGCAGATCGAGATCTACATCCTAGAAATGTTTGTGAATTTTTTGTCAATTTTTCCAGAATCTGTATTTTTCAATACTCCTGTCCTATGAAATTTTAGATCATTTTTTAACGATTTTTGAAAATTACCCAAAGGTTTTTTTTGTAGATTCCGATTTCTAGAAGTTATTTTCGGTTTCAGTTCTTTAAAAACTCCTACCACTTTTGCAGACCGAGTATTTTGAAAATCTTGCTCTCAGATCTCAAGCACGCTATATTTTTAGAATTACCATGTTGAAAATTCTATTCCAGAATTTTTTGTAGATTTTTAGGCAACATTTCCAAAATCTCGAGTTTTCAATACCCTAATGAAATTTTCAATCGCTTTTGACCATTTTCGAAAATTACCTAAAGGGATTTTTTTATAGATTCCGAACTCTAGAAGTCATGACCGGCTTCAGTTCTTTAGAAGTTCCTACCACTTTTCCAGAATCGCCAAATGAAATATGGCCATTTTTCGAATTTTTAAAAATTCCGAATTAGAGACCGAATATTTGGAAAATCTAAAACTATCTAAAATTGTATTTATTTTTTTCAAATTTTTATCAGTATCTCTAATTTCAATTTACATATTATCTCGACATTTTAATATAATTAACTCGAAATGTCAACTTACTAATGTTGAAGTTTTACGTTAATTAAGTAAAAATTATGACCAGATTCCGTTTTGCTATTTCGAAATATTAATTTTTTTTAGTAGAATCATATTTCCTCAGAATTTTTATAAATTACAAGTTCACTGGACAGAACTTTTCTTTATATATTTCGTGCGTCTTTTTGAATCAATATCCCGACATTTCCACAGGATTGTGCTCTTGAAATTTGCACATTTTGTACTAAAATTTCGACTTTGTTGTCTGGAAATTTTGATTTGTTATTCTAAAATCTTCATTTTGTTAACTCAAAATTCGTAATTATTATTAAAATTTGATTTTTCATTTCAAGACATGCATGCTTATTATTATTTTTTTTTATAATTTCCGAAAAAACTGACTGGACTTAAATTGAATTAATTTTTAGTTAATACTTTTGCACTTGTGGTTTATGAATCCCGGAATTTTTACAATAGAAGATGTTTAGAAAAAAAATCGAAATTGCATCACAGACATTTTTTTTTCCCATCCAAAATGTGCAAAACATTTTGAGTCTATTCTTGTGATTTATTAATGCATTCATTTTTTTTTTTTTTTAATTTATAGAGGTTATCACAAAAAAATCACAGAATTTTATCATTTTTCAAAAAAACAAAATTTGTTGGACTGTACTTCAGGGGCAAGAAAAGTTCTGCCGAAATAATATATGACCAATTTTTTAATTGAAAAAAAAAATTGAACCGGGTGCTCGGTGACCAGCTTGCAACCCAGATTTGAAGCCTTTAAATTCAATTTTGTGGTGATACACAAAGGATTTTACGTGTATTTGCAACATTTGCGTGATTTATAGATTAAAAAAAATTGAACTAGGCCTATTTGTGCCTCTTGTTAACACGTGATAGCTCCTCCAGGGAGACAAATTGTGAACTAATAAAAAGTTTTGTGTTCAGTGTGAATGGTGACAATTACAACATATGTATGCTTAAATGACTGTTTTTGAAAAAGATCTTACCAATTGTTTGCAAAATAAAAGTGAATTTATTAATGTCAAACCTTCCGCTTTTAAAAATTGTTCGTTGGCAGCAAAAACTTGGTTTAGTAAGAAAATAAAATTTGAAAAAAATGTCTGAAAAATTTACCAGCAGCTTTTCGATGATGCCCGTCTCTCTCGTGCCCAGATTCGACGAATTGGAGTCGTTGTAGCTACTGTTGTTACCATTGGAGAAAACGTTGTTGGTGAGTGTGCTGTCCCCGCTACTATTGAACATGTTGTTCGAGTCTAGGGAGAACGTGCCGATGGGGAAACGAGAATTTGTGTGTGTTGTACTCGATGATCCGTACAGACCGTTGCTGAATGAAGACGACTTGTCCTGCAGCAAAGGAAAGTCTTGCCCGAACCGTGAATTTGTCGTGGAGCGATTTGTAAAATTAAATGCTTGAGATGATTTGCCTGAAATAATAAACAATTAATTCTCGCCTTGGCGGTTTTCGCGCCGTACTACCGTTGCTGGTCATAGGTTTGAAATCGATGATGGCAGAATCTTGACTCATGGTGTCGGGCGGCTGGAAGGATTTCCACTGAGGATTGGTGGACATAGTCTATCAGTACAATGATTTATCTTTTCACTTCTTATCGTTTCTTAAGTGTAGTGAATATCACAGAATGGTTAGTGGTATATGTAAATACCCCACAAAGTCAATTATGGCAGCCGAGACCGTACTAATAAAATTATCACTCCTACTTTGAAACCAAGTCACAAAGGTACAATATGATCAACAAACTTCACAATAATATATTGTTATACAATGTTACTAGAAAAACAATCCAATATGTATAAAAATTACTATCCACAGTCACTCAAAATTTAATTATAACAGAAATATAAATAAAAAAATCCTCAGATGTCTTCAATGCGTGCTGGGTGCGTATTGTGCTGTTATGCTCATAATTTGTCAAGGCCAGTGGTTGCGCTGATACTGGTTTACTTTAAATTTTCTATGCTAATTTTGAAGGTTTCCTTAGTTACACAAGCTGAAAAGAAAATTAATGCTGTTAAAATACAATCCAAAAATTACTCCCTTCACATAAATACACACACAAAGCAGCCCGTACGACCCTGACATCGATTTCTTCCGGAGGTAAAATGTCTATGTATTGCAGAGACCCGGTAGGAAGTCCCTTTATTAAATATAAAGAGAAAACCTCTCGCGACGTCAGTTCAAGAAGCAAGTCTAGATTTACCGTTCCGTTCTTTTACGTAAAAAATTCACTCAAATATACATCATTAATAAAATCCAAATGTGACTTTCTGTTCCCATTAAATATTCAACAATTGTTTAAAAAATCCTCAAATGTTTTGCGACTACTCGACAGCCGTTTCGGCTTCGCGAAGATTCATTTCTGGCCCTGTCTCACAAATAACCGTTAATTCAAATTGTAAATTATATATTTTAGTGAACACAATTCGCTTATTGAGTGTGAAAACGAAGCCTGGTAAGCATCGACATGTATCATTTCAATGTTTAATCGATTTTATTAATTTGAATTATTTATATCTGTTTAAAAAGCAACCGTCGTCCAATGACAAACAAAAAGCCCATAATAGATTAGAAACGACTAGTTAACACTATCTGTTACTTAGTACTCTATTAAAATGTGACAACTACTATTGATTAACTACTTTAAACACTGTCAAAACTTCTAAACATTTTAAACTCGATCTTAGTACCCTGGACGTATTCCAATAAATTATAAATTTAGGATAAGGTCAAGAGCATACTCTATGTAAACAATAGAAAGCAGACCACCACCATAGAATTATTTGAAAAAGATGTTCACTCGGTGAGATATTGACAATTTATTCCAACAACCGAGACTAAACGTCATAAAGTCGGAAATTACCTAGGAAGTAGTAACTATTAAATAAAGTCAAATAAAAGAAAATGGAGCTTCTCGGAGCACTTCTACCTCAAAGCTTCATTTTCTTTCGCGTCAATGATTTTATACATTATATCAAATGAAACCAACTTCCTACGACACGTCGTAGACAGGACGTTGCGTACTCGATTAGATAATTAAAAAAGAAAGAAAGTAATTGCAATAGAAAGAAAAGTTGAGATGTTTTTAAATTATGAATGGATTTACCGTTCTTTACAAACTAGATAAATCTCACAGTACAATCTTTTTAGCAGAAAAGCAGCACATCGCATAAATCACGGGGTTTGCCAGTTCCAAAGAAAAATCACAACAAACTACTACATCAATAGTTGTTTTAGCTTGGGTAGAGTCCGAGTGAAGCAATGTAAATAAATACAGTAATAATAGGCTTAATTTCCTCCTTGAACTACGGAATCGGAAATTCTAGTAGTCGTGTTAATATTACTTAGATAGGTTAGGTTGCAATTTTCTTCTATTATTCAAAGGCAAGGACAGAAGGCAAAAATAGGTAATCAGTCTATGACGTCAACTTCGTTTAAAATTTACAGAATTTTAATTGAAAAACTTGAAGGTACACACGGAATCAACAAATATTTAAACGACCAAGTATCGAGTATTATTAGAGCTATGCTGATAATAGTAATATTGATACTAAAACAACACAAGTGTGCTCCAGGAAAATGAGATATTTTTTTAGGTTTTTTTCTTGTGAAAAACAATTTTTGTGCAGACTGAAAATTACATTGTTGCCATAAATATAGTCCATTAGCCAAACACGAAGTTTCTAATGTTTCCTGTGAACTGATTTTACCTTTTATCATTGTGTTTACACATATGGTTTATTGTTTATTTATTGTATCAAAATTTTGGTTATATAATACCGGTACTACTGATTATTTGTAAATTAACAATGGAAAATAGTATAAATAAACTCAACATTAGATTTGTAGGGTCAATAACTGCAAATCTAAACATGTATTGTCTATTGAGTAACTGATAGCAATGATTTGTGTAATGTTATGGCAGATAGAAATACAATAATCGTATCTTTGAAATTAAAATATAACGATCATTTCTGTAACCTGCAATGAAATATTGTATTTCTTGTTGATACTGTAGGCACTGGTGAAGTTCGTTACGAATGGTCGGTTCTTCAGCTCACCCTTGAGACCATAATATAACAAAGCTACCCACAAAATAAATGTAACCATCCTTCCAGAGGGACCTCGAACATTAAACGTTGAATTTTTTACGCAGAAAACCGAGCTATAAATTATTTCCCCTAAAATAACCGTATCCACAACAATACAAAAAACGAAGATTGAAAATCGAATTCTTGTAAATGTCGAACACAATCATAAACAACGAAAATCGCCGATTCGCAAACTCATTCTTGTTTATTGTTTAATCAAAAAAAGGAAACTCTAAACATCGTCACTTAGTGTTTATGTTCGCGATTATTAAATCAACATTTCCCGACTGAAAACCAATGCGGTTTTTACGGTTTGTTTTGGACAATGTGCAAACACGTCAAAAAATTAAACTCATCAAACACTAAAAACCGCAACGTAAAAATAAATCTTGTTCAATTATTAAGCGTGGCTTGGGTTAATTCAACCAATTGGATGTTCCACCGACATTATTTTCTGTTCGGTTCAATTTCTAAAGTGGTCTGGCGCTCATGTTTAGCGGAAAATGTAAATAAAACAACATTATAGTGTTAATAAATACAGATGCTGGTTTTTAATGATATTGGGGAATATGAGCTTATTTATTACTGTGGTTATTATCGTCATCACTGTTAATGAAAAAAGAGTTCGTAAGATATAAACTTTTTTTTCAACGTGCTTTTGCTCTTTCCAATATGAATAAGAGTTTGAAACGTTGCCAAAACACGCTGCAACTCTGTAAATTTTACAAACATTAGCCAGTGATTGCATTCACGCTTTTGACACTTTTAGAACTTTATTTATTATTCAAATCAAGCCATGACAGCTGAATTATCGCCAAGCCTCACATCTGAATAAAACAGAAATTTCGTTCGGCTTTTGTACACAGCGCAGAGATTATCTCTGGAAATGGTGAAAATTTTCAATAAAGCGGACCGTAGACTGTACTGTGGCATTATTAAAAATATCAAAGCTTTGCTAAACACAAACTACCACAGAGGGGAAAATGGCTTGAAGCAGGGTACGACAAAGTCAATTAAATGACATTTAAATGACTTTTATCCTGTCCAAAATGAGGTGAATATCACGCACTTCACAACGTACAATTTATTCCAAGCACCTGCCAATTTAAGTATCATTTTTTTATGTTGTGGAGAACGTAATTTGTTTTGTTGCCGTTGGCAATGGGAAAACATCAACATTTCAATTCGGTGTAATTAATACATAAACATCTAGGCTGCAGTTTATCTACATTTTCACCAAGTGGATGGAGTAGTAGATATAAAAATAAACAATGTTGAGTTAATTTTTACAATGTACAATAATTTAAGATTTTCACTGGATAACTTGTGATAACGTAAATTATCTGTTATCTTCCTTGACAAACATTATAATATTCGTGTTATCCCAAGTTATAAATTTCAATAAAACATCACACTACAAGCACTCTTTTCCCATGTCTTATTAAATTTTCAACAATTTCTTCGAGGTCATCATTACAAACCGATTTTTTCTCTCTCAATATAAATTCCTGTTTCTAGGTTAATTTTACGCTCGACAGGGTCTGATTGTTAAAACGAATTGTAACCGTCGTCGATTCCAAACGAAAGAAATTCGTATAATTTGTGAATCTTGCAACGATAACCTTATTATCAACTGCGACAGTGTCATCACTGAATACTGTTATGGAGTATTTTTACCGAGTACAGTAAAATAGAAGAAATGAAGCATGATGTCCTAAAAAGCGATGGAATTTTCTGATACGTCTCTGAACACTAAAAATAAATTTTCCGTCTTATTTCCGAAATTAATCAAATTTGTAATAGACGACGGCGAAAATTAAAATAATACAATAGAAGAATTGAGTAAATGGGAAACTGCTTCGCAATAATTTAAAGCGTGGGTAGAGGACTGTCACATTTTCAGCTTTTTTTCGATTTCTATTACAATGACCGAAGAAATTGGATATTCAAACAATATTAACCATAAGTAATAGCAATTTTATGTATCCGTCAATTATTTTAAATGTAAAATGACGTATATTATCCGTGAACCGGTGACTCGCGTAACACTGATGTCCTCTACGTTTGCAGAGCTAATTTAAAATCGCATTTCCCTATCACACTCTATCAAATCATTTATCCACTTATTATGTAACCACTACGAATAAATTAATGGCTTTGAATATTTAGAAACAAAACAATTCGAGAAAGTCGGAGCAACAAAAACAGTCGAGGTCTGCAAAATCATTTGGAATCCCACCGGCAACGAACACAGACTCTGTTGTATCTGGGTGAATTATTACGCTTTTAGAACAAAAATTAGGTCTAATTAGAGAAAACAATAGTTCCGACCTACGTTCCGTCTCTATTTTGTTATTTAATCAGCTTGATGGTGATTGCGAGATTGGCGCAAATTATGGAATCTTTATGTTTTGCGGTCACAATGGGCGTACTGATGAGCGAAACAATGACTTAAATCAATTGGTTGTATGTTGACGGAAAATATGGCATTTGAAGAAAAATCCAAAGTAATTTGTACTGCATTGTGGTTGTTTTCTGGCGATGTAAACAACAGCACAATCGAGAAAAAAATCTCGAGTGAGATGCACCTTTGTTCTGGCGGCTTTTCACGATGAAGTGTCCCACAATAAAAACTTCAATTAGCAACGGGGCCGTACGTTAATAAAAGAAGCACCCATTAGCTAATGGCCAAATAAAATTGTTCCGAATTTAGAAACATGTGCATTTGGGGCAAGGGGTAAAACAACGGTCAAATTATTGATTTGCTTACAATGGAACCGTTCAAGTTATCAACAACCGAACGGAGATGGATCTGAGAGAGCCGAGGGCCCCAAATCGGAGCGTCCCGACATCGAGACACCGCAAACCCGTCATTTACTGCGTAGATTCTGCGGCACAAAAGATATAAGAAGTTAGGGTTAGAGACGTCGCGAGACTGGCAAGTCGGGCGCAAAAAGTGCGCTTTAAGCCGCCAAAACTGACAATATTTAACGCATCGGTGGTAGTGAAGTAGATTACGTACTTTTTGGGGTGGTTTTGCTGTTAATAATACGAAAATTTACAAAAATTTCAACTCACCACGACACAGCACAGCACTGACGACATGCCGCCATGTTGAATGTCAACATGATCGGGAAAAACAAAACCAACCAAAAACGATGCGTTCTGATTGGTCCGCGTGATCACTTTTCATTTTTATTTAGTTGTCGAACTGTCAATTGCGTTTTTGGAAAATTTTACAATTTTTTATTTTCAGAACGCGGTTAATTCGCCAAATTCGACCGAGTTCGAAGGCATTTTTTCTACCTCGTTAACGTATCGGAACATCACGAAAAGCCTAAAATAATTATGACACGTTCAGCCAAAACACAGTACTTAACCTGATCTATTTTTAACCGAATTTTTTATGGATTACTCGTTCGAAAATCACCCAGTTTAGTCATGGACTCGATTTTTCACGAAAAGGTAAACCCTGAACGCGTTTGGGCGCTTCATAACCTCAAAGTTTGCAGCAAGAGGGTTCCCTCTGCGCCCAACACTGCCTCAACTCCCTCCTCCAAGGGCCCTACTTTACGGCTGTCGATTTGAGTGTTTGGGGCGAAAAGCTCGACGAAGAAGAGCGCGTTAGGATGGCCGAGTCGGGTGAAGAGAGTGAAGAATACCGCAACTTCCTTAAACAGCCATCGGGCAACATGGATGACAGCGGTTACTTTTCCATCCAAGTGATCAGCAAAGCCCTCCAAGTATGGGGGCTGGAAATAGTGCCTTACACCAGCGCCGACGAGCGCGTCAAAGACTGTGACCCAAGTAAAATGCAAGCGTTCATTTGTAACTATCAGAACCACTGGTTCACCATTCGAAAGATTGGTAATCAGTGGTTCAACCTCAACTCTCTACTCGCCAGACCTGTCTTGATATCGGACACGTATTTGGCTCTGTTTCTAGCTCAATTAAAGAATGAGGGCTATTCCATTTTTGTAGTGTTTGGTGAACTGCCCCCTTGCACTGCCGATGAAGTTATTAGACTTAATCCTGTTGTGCCACCTATAAATAATACTCCTTCGTGCGAGGAAGATCCTGAACTGCAAGCAGCATTAAAGTTAAGTTTAAGTCAAGAGTTTGAAGAGCCTGCCAATTCGGAAGAAGAAGAACTACAAAGGGCACTTATGTTAAGTTTGTCATGTGATAATGACGAAGAATCAAACTTGAGAAAGGCGCTGTTGATGAGTATGGACAATGCATGACGAGACGCAGTGTAGGTTGTTGTAGGTGATAATTTGAAAAAAAGTCATGTCACACGAGACTGTAGGTGTATTCAGTTTTTACTAACACACTGATGCATGGATTATGTCGTAGATGGAGAATTTTTTTCTAATAAAACTAATCGCAAGAGCTGTTGTTATTGACCAGAGTTTATTATTATTTTTTTAATATATTATGGAACTTCATTTTATGTTTAATGTTTAAAATGTATTTTTCAACTGTTTTATTTCTACTTGCTTATATGTTTATATGTAAAATGATGTACCTGCATTATATATTTTTAAGTTTTGGTGTTTTGTCATGTTTTATATGTTATATAATGATTCATGTGACATCTATTATGTACTTAATTAAATTATTTTGTTATCACTATTTGTGTCATTGCACTAATTAGCAAAATGAAAAAGCACTTCGTGTAGTTTGAGTTACATTGAATTAGTTTGAGGTGAAATAAGAGTTCATTAGTTTAATACTCTGTGGCTACAAATTATTTTTAATTTTAGTTTATGTACTCGTACATATGTTAACAAAATAACTTGTTGAAATTAATAATAGACATCACTTGTGTTACTTCTTTTTGTTCCTTTACAAAATTACAATACCAGAGTGAAGATGGGAAAAGTTGTAAGTATGTGGAGGAATAAACAGCAACACACAAGACAAGCAAATGTTTATTTTTTGTTTTATCACAAAATTGAACCCTAAATATAGACAATATAATAAATTGCGAAAAGTTGCAACAATTAAACAAAAGTTTTACGCTTGTTTCTGAATTCTCATTGTTTAAGTGCATTCAGTCAAGTCGTAGAATTGTTTGCACAATAGTAGCTAATTAATTTATCACTCCAGCGTTATCTGATGTGTAGCTATATTAATATCATATACAATTTTTTGTTAATGTGAAAGTAGGCAACCAATATTGCACGATAATATCAGTAACAAAATAACAAAGCTACAACCAGGGAGGAAAGAAATTATTTTCATTCATCCATGGCTACAACATACCCCAAAAATAACTACGTATACATATTCTTGTATTTCATACCGTGTACCGGAAGTTTGAGATTATTTTTTAATCTTTTATCAATGATATCTGCAACTACTTAAGATATTTACGGCACGTTGTGACGTGTATCAATATGACCTTCCAAGGTAATATTTTACCGTAAGAGAAATCAACAACATAATACAAAAATATTTATATATTTATATATAGATTTATACTTCATTCTGAATTTTTCTAGCGGAATATGTTTTTCTTAAATAAACAGCACGTACAATATTTTTTCATTTTCAAAACTCGTTAATTAAAATAATAATAAGTCATTACACATTACATTAGAGAATATGCCTTTAGTAGGTATTATTAGAGATTTTTATCTACCCTACCACGTTTAATAAACTGAAAAAAATAGAAGAAAAGCGTCTAAAAGTATGTCAAAACAAAATGCAAATTCATCATAAGATTTATTAAAAAATATATACACAGAGTGAGTCACTAAGCGCAAAGTTCTCGATAGCTCATTTAATTATTACTAGAGATAAAAAAAAAAAGGCACAGACCAAAATTGTACGGTTATTTGAGTAGTTTACATTAAAATTAGTTTCGATTTTACACAATTTTTTTTTAATAGAACACCTTATATATTTTTACGTGCATATTCTCATTAGCATCTGCCTACGCTTTATAACCATTATATTTTTTAAATTGCGATGCGACGTTGCCACATCGTTTTTAAAATTTTTTTCGCTTACGCTCAGGAAGTATTGTAATCGAGTTTGTCGATCGACTCTCTACTTTTACGTTTTCTCGACTTTTCATGACTCCTACAGTACGAAGAAATAGGTCTCCCGTTTCCGTCTGTCTGTCTGTCTGTCTGTAAACAATGAAAGGATCAACAAAAAATTGCAACAATGTTATTTTTTAAATCTGTGTTGCAACATTTTATGGAGGTATAAACTGAGGTACGCACTTTGTGTTACTCAATTAAATCAAATTTTAATCGATAGAGTATTTATGTATAAAACAATTTTAAAACGATGCAATTTTGAAATATCAATATTTCAGTTTTTCAAATAAAACACCCTGTATTTTATTACCGTATCGTACTCTATTTTTTGAACTTGAAATATAGAAAATATTTAACACAAAAAAAAAACGAACAAAAAAGAGTTGCAGTACTAAAATACGAGGTGTTCTCTTTGAAAAAACTGAAGTATCGATATTTAAAAATTGCAATTATTTAAAAAAATTACAAACACTTTGTATATTAAGGCTCAATGTTATTTATATCGTAACAAAGCAGGTACTTTTATTTTTTATCTCTCCACAATATATTATAGCACAGATTTGAAAAATAACCCAACGGTGATTTTTTTGTGAATCTTTCCACTGCTAAAAAATTCTATAAAATGGGAATAAAGTGGCAACGTCGCATTGGAATTTTAATAATAAACCCAATTAGAATATGTAAAAATAAAACATGCAGGGTGTTTCTTTTAATTTATGCAACCCCTGTAACTATTTTATTCTTAAAGATAAACCTATAGTTCTTTGGGCAAATTTGTATCATTTTAACAGATCCATGTGATGGGAAGGATGGAAATGACGTCAATTTTTTTTCCTGGAACACCAAGTATATTTTTTCATAAATAGAAATATTGATTTTTCTAAAAAATCAAAAGGAACCAATATTCTAGAATCAATATAATAGACGAAAAATTCATATTTATTGATGACGATCTAGTAACTTAAAAAATTGACACTCATGTCATTTATTCACATAAGTGATCTTTTAAAATGATATAAATTTGTTCAAAGAACTAGATGTTTATCTTTAAAAATAAAAAAGTTACAGGGGTTGTATCAATTAAAAGAAACTCGTGGTATATTGGATATTTCATGTGATAGAAGATGACTTGGTATCCTAAGTTTTATTTTGAAAATCAGGCCAACATAAAATTTTAAATATGTTACCAACCTGATAAAAAATCACAATCGTTAATAGTCACTCAGTATTTCTAATAATCAATCATATATCGTGCGTCTTTGACTCACATTGTACATTTTTTTTTTTTTTATTTAAAACTGCATTATTTCAAAAACAATATATTACAATTTTACGGTTTTAAAGGCCGATTCCAAATTTTCTTTGAACCTATAAACGGGTTCATTAGGGCTTTTATTTTGGTAAAACATGTTTTATCAGAAACTTTAACGAACAACATTTTTTTTAACTACAATTTTTCTGTGCTGATTTGATTTTTTCGTAAAAATATTGTTACGTTGAACGGGTAATTAAAATCGGCATGGCTAAAACTCAACAATCTATTTCTTAGTAACTCGAATTTACACGACTAATTACACAGCGATTATGTACAAAATAATTCCGGCGCAACTTGACTGGCGTTTCTCAACATTCGCTGGACTCGACTCGACTGGATAATATTCTCCTCTATTTAAATCCATACTTCCTTCTAGATGTTCGGTGATCGGGGTCTTTCTCGAATACCCATCGCGAGTTCCGCTTCCAGGCTTTTCTTTAGCGATCGTCGCCCGACCGCCGTCACCGACGATGAGTCACCCATCATCGCCGTACATACTAGAACCCATAGGCGTCGTACCGGGGCGGCGTATAGGTTTATTTCGTAACAATATTTATTGTTAAAATTCCCACCAAATTTAAATAATACGTGAAAACTGAAAACATTACATTATGCAAGAAGTCTAGTAAAATTTTATTAAATAACGCCGTAGATAAGGAATTCTAAATAATCTTAGAATCTCAATTTTATATTTATTATTTGATAAAAATAACACACCGTATGGTGACGTTTTAATTTAATATTCTGTATACAATAGCTACCCTGTTGTACCAGAATTTGTATCCTTGTCAAAGGGTGACAAAAATATTTGTAATCACTGATGAAAACTTAAAAAAAAATCTGTACCTATACTAATAAGAAATATGTAAATTTACATTTTGTGTTCAATTCAAGAATATTATTTGACTGAAGTACTCAGACAACAAGTCTAAGGATCATCACAAAGTTCATGGTGACCTTATTTTTTTTTATTATTTTATCAGTCTAATGAACGTTACGAGGATGCAAATTATTAAAACTTTAGATAACTTCTATTGACTATTTTTTTATTCTTTTTGAAATATAAACAACATTATAAAAATAAATATTAAAGCGACCTTTTTAAATCATGGTCACCTTGCAACGTTGAAGAGGTCACTTTTATTTAAAACGTAAACCGTATTTTCAATCTTTGACTAATTTAATTGCTTTTTGCTTGTATTTGTCTCCTCTTTCATTATTTTTTAGTGGCTGGTTTATCGTAGGCGAATTAAATATTTAATCGTAATTCAATTGTTAATAAAGTCATTGTTTAATTTTAGACATCATCAACCCTTAATTTAACATAAAATTAAAGTTTGATTGAAATTCACTTCCATTGCGAATTCATCTCAAATTTAATTTTTGATTAGTGGTTAAAACACCCAATTTTTAGTCGAATCAAGATTAATGGTAGAGTCAGTGCTACTAAAAATGTGGCAGCATCACTAAAAAATTTCCAGATTTGCTGTTAAAGTTGAAGACCATTCATTCATTTAACGTGTCGAAGCTCAGCAAGATTGTAAAGAAAAAAAACTCAGTCGTTTTCATTTTACAAATTATATGTTGCATGAAACATTATTTCGAAATAATAACATTCATCCTACGAAGTTTTAATTAATATTTTATGCCACAGATAGTTTTATGCACTTCAAAACAGTCCCACCGGTTAAAGGTTTCGATATGTGGTATCTTTAAAATTACTGCGAGACTCCGTAATAAAAAGTTTTACTGTTTTAATATCTTGACAAGCCCAGCATGGTTATTATAACGATGATGAGTTCTGTCAAATAAAGAATTTATTGTTCACATCACAATACTCCCATTTTTATAGGTACTTAATTTTATTACTCGTAAATCATAAAAAACAATGCATCAAACACATATATATGTAGGTACGTGGGTTTACGACTTTATTAGAATCTTAACAACCATCAACTTTGTCCAGCTTTTACAACTTAGATCTTTAGTAAAGTCATAGATGTCTTTAAATACTATTGGTTAAGCTAAGTCTGGAAATCTACAGATGCGCAAATATACGTCTACTTATCTTCAACGACTTTACAAAGGTATAAAAATCGCCAGGCAAAAGGTAATTTTTTAGCGCAGCTTTAGGAAGATTGACAAACCGAAAAGTAACATAAATGTTAAAGAACTAAACAAATATCTTAGCAAAATTAAAAAAATCCTTCAGTGTTTTGCAAAGATTGTACGAGTATTTCAAAAATAATTTTTGTGGTGTTATTTCGTTTGAACTTTTATAGCGTCAACAATAACTTTAATTTTTATTTGAACGGATTCAAGTGTCATTTTAGTGATCGGTGCACTGATAGATAAATGACGGATTAAATGCCGAGCGACAGCGAGGCGAATTAAGTCCATTCGAGTCACACAAAGTTACTTAAACTCCGAATAAAATACAATATTTTATCTTCAAACGATTAACTTTTTTGAAATGATTATTATTTCCTGTCTCCTGCTTCACTAAAAAATTGCCTTTCCATTGACTACCGTGGTTACTATGGTTGACAACCACGATGATTTTCACATAAAATTAATTTATTGTCAACATAATTCTGTTTTATATAACAACTAATTAATGTGAATTTCTTTTAGGACAAAAATATATTTTGGTTTATTTACATAAATATAAAATAAAATAAAATAATTCACAAAAGCGACACTATAATTTTAAATGCACATAAACATAATTATTATTACTTATGTTATAGTTATATGTAGTGTTAAAACTAGTGATTATTGTCTGTCTTTCTACACCTAAATACCTCATCGTATGTTATTTTAAATATTACTAAAATATATTATATTTGCTAAAATTTTGAACTCTGTGGTGACCAAATTTGAATTTGAATAATTTGAATTTGAAAAAAAAAAAATTAAGAAAATCGTTAAACATAGACAACCAAGTGCAAGTTTAGTTCTTTTCTGGTAGTGGGTAGCTCTCCTAGGGAATTTCTGGGTAGTATCTAGTGAGAGAGTCGGTAGAAGTTGGTTTGCTTGGTAGAGAGTGGAGATGCATCACTATGTTCTGTGGCCTGTGGCGTCACTGTTGTTTGTTTGGTGTGAGTGAAAGGACGCCGTAAGATAGCTAGATTAAGTTTAGTTGGTTTGGTAGTTAAAAAAAAAGGGGGAAGTTTTTGTTTAACGAAAATTAATCGTATCGATGACGACGCCACAGTTTCTCCGACACGCGTACTTATCTAATTCTTGCGGTTTTTCCAAGCGGAAATATGGGAATTTTCAACCGACGCCACCACGTGGTGTAAATTTGAATTATTGTTTGTAGATTCACAGTTCAGGTTAGGATTTTAATCGTTAACTAGTTCTAACACAATCTAACAGTCATGATATTGTTCAGATAAAGCACTTGCTAACCTTTGTTTGCCAAGTTATAAATAAAGTTTCTGGATGCTTATGCTTAAGTTTTACATTATAACACTTCTTAATTCCTCCCACAAGATTGCTAATAGTTTATTTACGGCAGTTAAATTAACCTAACGTTGTCCCACTCCGGGAAAAGGGACCGTGGAAAGTGCGGTAGAAATCATAATATCGTGGATTGAAGTACGGGAGGATTAAAAATTTCCCCCCTTTGGCAGTTATCATCATCAACATTATTACATCATTGAGACACAATTCTCGCAACGTTGCGTATTGCTGACAGTTCATACCACAACTAAATGCTTTCGGATCTAGGCGAATTAGGTAAATAGGAATTGATTGACGCATATTAAATTTTGCATATTTTGCATATATCAAGATTTTTCACATATTTTCGTATTTTTTGCATATTTTCACAGATTTTGACAATTTTTAGATTTTCAAAGCATAACGCGAACTTTTTTTTGCAAGTGTCGACGTTTTTAACTTCTAAAGGTCGAAATCTACAAGACAATGTATTTGGTTAAATTTCGAAAATTGTCAAAAACAATCGAAAATTTCAAAATGGGGTGCATTGAAAAACTGAGTTTTTGAAAAAGTTGCTTGAAAAATCCCAAACAATTCTGAGATATATACAGGGTGTTATTGAAAGGTACGTACAACAAAATGGACAGTTCTTCGCAAAATCTAAGAAGTCGGAAAAACTTATTTTGTGTTATCAAAATTATAAGGGGAAAATTAACCCTTATCCAACCTTTTTAGACGCTACTGAAGGATAAATAGGTAAAATTAATTTATTTTAGTAAATCCTAGCAACTGTCACAATAAAACTTTTGTCAAGACTAAATGTTGCTATAGAAACGAAAGATGATCTTTTTATCAGAAGCGTACAACGAATTTGGACATAAATTTTAATAATTTTTATCTCTAAAAGGAGTACACTTTTACCTGAACTTTTTTTAACTTTTAGCACCCATACTTCGAGACCAATTACCGATTTTATTTTGTACGTACCTTTCAATAACAGGCTGTATTTTGACATGCCAATTGGAAAATTGTAGCGTGTTTATGATACTGTATCGAGATTTTAGAAATATCCGGTGTATTTTTTTTTTTTTTTTAATAATCCTCAAAGTAAAATTGCCACATTTCAATTGGTGACTCTGGAAAAATGGTGGAAGTTACATTTGCCAAAATCGGCCTTATTTTAACAGGTACTAGCCCCGCCCACCCACCCTCTCTTTTATTAGAGGGCATGTCGTACGCCAAAATCAGTTTTATCTTAGCAGGTACTAGCCCCGCCCACCCGCCCTCTCTTTTCTTCGTGGTATCTCATTTGCCAAAATCAGTTTTATCTTAGCAGATACTAGCCCCGCCCACCCACCCTCTCTTTTTTTTAGAGGGTATGTCATTTGCTAAAATCGATCTTACTTTAGCAGATACTAACCCCGCCCACCCACCTTCTATTTTATTAGAGCGATCACATTTGCCAAAATCAGTCTTATCTTAGCAACTACTAAATTTAACTTTTTCTTACTTAGTTCTAACTTAGCAGATGCTAACCCCGCCTACCGGCGCTGTTCTCATTCTAACTCTTTGTTTTTGTTGAATATAATATAATTCCAAACAAACATTAAAAAAGTAAAAGGAAAAATAGGACAACTTATAAATAAAAAGTTTAAGGAAGCACTAGATAAGAATCAAGGTTACATTTTGTTATCAAAGGTAGCTAAAATACATAATGGACATTCTAGTAGTGAGGTTAACATAGAACTAAATTTAATTAGCGCTCTTAAGTATGCACCCATTACATTAGTGGATGTAGTAATTTTGTCTGATGGGCGATGTAATTTTTTAATTGAAAACATTGAGAACCATATATAGTTGCAAGTTATAACATTAATGCAGACATTTAAGTGTTCTTTGATGACAAATATTTGTTATTTAGTTGTGTTTTTTTTTTTTGTAAAATAAAGTTTTTAAAATATGGCATAATATTGTTTTAAATTAAACCTATGGACACACTACCAATTTATTGTACGCTCAATAAAAAAAAGTACAAAATATATTTTATAAAAATTTTGCATATTTTCGTAAAATTAAAACATATTTTCTTATTTTTTCTGCATATATATGCACATATTCCAAATTTCGTGCATAAAATTCCGGACTCTAATTATGTGTTTATTTGGGATAAGCCGGAAACAGTGCACGATGTAAACTCTCAAAGCTAATTGTTTTAAGTAACCAATCACTTAGATCAAAGCATAATTTAACATCATGTAAATTCTTTGTTTGAATCGTTGATAAAGTGTGGTATATTTTAACATCGTGTAAATTCTTTGTCTGAATCGCTCGTAAAGTGTGGCATAATTTAACATCATATAAATTCTTTGTTTGGATCGTTGATAAAGTGTAGCGTAATTTAATATCATGTAAATTCTTTGTTTGAACCGTTGATAAACTGTGGCATCATTTAACATAATGTAAATTCTTTCTTTGAATCGTTGATAAAGTGTGGTATATTTTAACAGCATCTAAATTCTTTGTCTGAATCGCTGGTAAAGTGTGGCATAATTTAACATCATTTAAATTCTTTGTTTGCATCATTGAAAAAGTGAAACATAATTTAATATCATGTAAATTCTTTGTTTGAAGCGTTGATAAAGTGTAGCATCATTTAACGTCATGTAAATTCTTTGTTTCAACCGTGGATAAAGTGTGGCAAATACTAACGTCATGCAATTTGGTTAGCTTTGCAATTTTTCACCTAATGCAATTTTTCTCTATCTCACAATTTTAGCCTCAGTAATTTTCTTTGCTGTATAATTTAAATTGAACGTAAATTTTCATGCCCTGTAGTTCCTAACCTCATGTAATTTTTTTTTGTCTGCACAAGTTTTACTTCACACCAGACCTTTTTTGTTTTTATAAATCTTTGCTAGTTTTTCTGACCACGTAAATATTTTGTTGATAAATGCTTCTATTATATAAATTGTCTGATGTCCAGTCTTAATCTCAGATAATAACTCTTTGATGTTTCAAATTTCAGGAGAATGTATGACCAATTTAAATGTTGTTTATTGGTCTTTTTGAAACTTTAATAATTGTTCGGTTGTAGTTTAATATCGGAGTTATAGGAATTGAACAGCAGAAGCGGAGGGCGCGGTTCCTAGTCGAGCTGGCGGGATTTATCGCGCCATCTGCACAAAAGACACGGATCCTGAATAGAAGTCAGGGGAGCGGTCTGGATGCCGTGACGCTCGCGGCTTATCTATAGCCGGGATTTCCAACCACGAGTTTGCGACCGTAATAATCGACGACTATTCCAATCTTCAAGCTAATATCAAATGTTTACTTACGTTAAAATAACATTATCTTACGTTTGATAAACTTTTGAAAGATATAAAATAAAGTCAACTTTGTTGATATGATGTTAAACTATCAAAATATGTTACCTAAGTTTGATTTTAGCAGTTATTCTCATGATTCAGGATAACAGGAAACATTAGCGGATGAGTACCTACCTACTATTTTGTTTTCTTATTCAGGATGCGAATGTCTAAAATTGACTAGTACACATTTCGTAAGAGATTCTCTGTAAGTATAAAATAAACATAAGTATATCGAACCACGTCCACACCCAGGGACAAGATTCCCATAATCAACTATAACGACCCTAAAACTCAGAACGTCTTCAACATAATCGTAACTTTGCTATAGAAGTGTAACATAAGAGTATTTCATTACAGCTGCTTAACAGTATACCAGAGAACTTGTCCTATAATTGGGTTTCCGTTCTCAGGAAAAATAACGTTTTTATATACCTAACTATAATAAAGCCACATAATTTTTATACTTATCTACGTTGTGTCTATCTATCTTAACCATTTTTAGTAAATTAGTTCAACAGTTTGGCAAATTATCTCTTCTAATATAATTTTCACCAGATGACGAACAGACAGTTGACTGACGATAAACGACAAACATTCGGAAACGGAGGACCGTCATTTTCGTATTCTACAAACAGTCAAACGTTGAGAAAACATGAACTTATATACATATGTACATTAAAATTACTATTAGAAAGTCCAGTACGATCACTGAAAATACATATTAATAAAATTTGAGATTACCGATATGTAGATTATCTGCAAAAATGTAAAATCTTAAGAGAAGAATGAGTTATTTTAGTGGTGTGAATCAGTGAACCACTTGTTGATTGTAAATTTGGCAATGTTCTAACTAAAAATCGTTCACAATGAAGCGAAAGCTGTTACCAAGTGTTAAATTTTTATCAATATCAACAGGTGATGTTTCAGTAGAAATGGTAAAGACAATGGAGAACTTATCACATGCTATCACCTTTTTTTATTGCTGACTATGCAATTTGCACCGAGTGTATTGTATTTCAAATACGTTCCGGTTGGTAACTTTCGCAGGTAACTAGTGAAATGTGACTCTCCCAGGTTGTCAGACACGAGACAAACAGACAACTTGTTTAGACGTCTGTCATGTTTTGTGTCAATTATGTCACCCACATGTAAACATCTGGTGATATTCAATTAAAAAAAGAGAAATAAATGCCAGCAAACATAAAGAATTTAACGACTGTACACAGCTTCCTTATCGCTTCGACCATTATTGTATAAATCTGTGTATAATTACTATTCAGTACAGTTAGTGAACGGAGTGAGTGACGTGTAGCGGACATAACCTAAAACCGACAACATGAAAGTGTTCGCGAAATTGTGTCTCGTCGCCGTTATTTTCGCCCTTTCGGCGCGTCTAGTCTTTAGTGCTTCCCTCTCTATTTACGAACAAAAGAAATACAAACAGTTCCTCGAAGGACAAGGGCTTTATAATCCCGAAGACGACGTGATCGTCCTCACGGTGCACAACTTCAAGTCTCAGGTGATGAACAGCCCCCAAGCGTGGCTCGTAGAATTTTATAACAGCTGGTGCGGGTTCTGCCAGCGCTTCGCCCCCTCGTGGAAGGCTCTGGCGACTGACGTCAAGGGGTGGAGCGACCTGGTGAAAGTTGCCGCCATTGATTGCTCAGAGGACGAAAATACCCCAATTTGTAGAGAGTACGAGATCATGGGGTACCCCACGTTGCGGTACTTCCACGAGGGGTACCAGCCGGGGCCGCAGAACGTGGGGGTGGCCGTACAAAAAGGCGAAGACGTGATGGAACACCGACGGTTTTTGATCGATCGGCTTATCACAGAGCAGAAGGAACGTAGGGGGGCGCAGTACCCGAATTTACTGCCGTACACGCATAACGCGCTGACGTATCTATTCGAAGGTGCACCCAATACAGTCGAGTATGCTTTTTTGGTGGTCGACAGACCAGGGAGTTATTTGGGGGCAGCTGTGGCTTTAGATTTACACAAGACGCATACTATTGTGGTGAGATATGTTAACAGTAATCAGACGAATTTGGCAAATTTGGGGGTTACCGTTGTCCCTACGGTTATTGCCATGGATAGGAATCATCGAAGTGAGATGTTTACTATTGTTGAAAGTAGAGACGAAATCCGAAATTCGATTAGCAGGTTTTTGAATAATAAGCGCGTTCAAGTCACTGATGATACCCCCAGACAAGAAATTTTCACCGGAAAGTGGCTGGATGTAAAAGTTCCTGATATGGCTACGTTAATACAGGAGCGTTCAAGACAGGCTTTGAAAGAACGGATTAAACGTATGGGGGATGTTGTGTTCCAGATGGATTTGGAAACAGCTTTAAGATACTCCCTCAAACACGAAGTAGCCACCACTAAGCTAATCACAGGTGAAAAATTGCGAGTTTTACGAGCTTACCTCGGCGTTTTACGCAAATACTTTCCTTTCGGGCGAGGGGGGCAACTTTTCTTAACCGAACTCGCTATGAAATTGTCTGAAGATCCAGTCCAAGGTTCAACGTTAGCTGAAGTGATTCAAAGAGCCGAACAAGAGGACAGTTTGGTATTTTCTTCCCCGCAGCAGTGGTTAGCTTGTAGGGGTAGCTCCCCTACGCTCCGCGGCTACCCTTGTGGCTTATGGAAACTCTTCCATTACTTGACAGTAAACTCAGCTGAGCAGAATATTAACGACCACCACGCGAACCCCCTTGAAGTCTTGGACGTGATGCACGGCTACGTCAAAAACTTCTTCGGTTGCTACGATTGCAGCCAACATTTCCAGGATATGGCCGCACGGAGGGAAATGAGGAACGTGTCTTCGCTCGATTCCTCGGTTTTGTGGCTGTGGATGGCGCACAATGAAGTAAACAAACGTCTTTCGGGCGATCAGACTGAAGATCCCGAGTTTCCTAAAGTTCAGTTTCCTTTGAAAGAGAGGTGTCCTGTTTGTCGTAACGGCGACAACACGTGGAATTTAGTGGAGGTGCTGCGGTACGTGAAACACGTGTACAGTAGTATAAACGTGAGGTACATCGGTGCGGACACTACAATTTTACACGTGGGATTGGAAGGGAGACCCGCCACTAGTGGATCCACCAGCATTTTTAGAGCTTTAGATATGAGTATGTGCTTTATTTTATATGTGTGTTCTTTTTTTTTACTAGCTATACTAATACGTATGTTTCTAAAGCGAGGATATAGGAAAAAGCCGTACGTCCATGACCTATTGGGTAAGGTGTGACAGTGGCACGCCCCTCCAACTAAGACAACGACGTCACATGTGATTTAGTTTAAGTTCCTTTTTGTTTTTGTTAATTATTTTACATCACATTTGTAAAAAAATGTTTTTATTTAACAAATTTGATATATTGCCAGAGGTGATCAATTTATCATCTAATTTATGTAAATATAGAAGTTATTTTCGGTTTTTTCGTAGTCTTATTTGTTAAATTATAAGTACAAATAATGAAACCAGTTATTTGTGTTGATGATTCCGTGATTCGGTGAAAAACGTGATAAGGTTAACTATCGACTGATACTTGTAAAATTATAAAGTAATGTCAAAGCTTGCTCTTTTCATGTTAATTTACCAGGGCAATTCACTGACAACTACTTCATACTGTAATCTACTTTTTTTATCATGTTTATAATATATTTTATTAGAAATTGAATGTTTTATGCATTTGTTACCTGTACATAATAAAATTCCATCTGCAGGCAATTTGTTTCTTAGAACTTCCTTTTATCCCAAATTTGACAAACATCAACACATTACATAAGTGGTGTTGTGCAAGTGTTTATAGTCCGTGCGATAAATAATAAACACATGATCAAGTTCGCTATTAAAATAACATAAGGTCGTAACTGCAAATTCCGTACTTGGGAGATAAAAACGTTCCAAGATTTAGCCATCATACTCATACAATATTTTTTCTATACAACAATATTGTTTTTATCATTTTCATTAAAAGTATAAATTATTGTTGGTTTCCGGTGGGAATTAAAAACAATACGATATCTTTTTAAGAATACATACTATAAAAGTTGTTCAGTCAAACAAGTGAAAAATGTGGACGCCGGTAATAAAAATCACGCTGATTTACGTATCGCATTGTGACGACAGAGTTGCGGCGGCTGCATTAATTAAATGATGTCCCCATTCAATGAACGCTTATTTGAAATTTACCCACGTTTCTCCTACTCAAATTTTTGCTTCATTTGTTGTTAATTATATTGCTTTGTTTCGGTAAAACCGGCTATAAGTTGGTTGCAATAAAGATAAGATTTCAAAGCCTTTGTTTGTAGCATTCAATAAATATGGATAGCATTCAATAAATATGGATTATTGCATATTTATTACATGTTAAGTCACTTGTAGAATATTTTTTACAGGGTGTTTTAAAATGAGTGATTGATATAAATAGCATAATTTGGTTAAGTTTAGTGTATGTCGCAAACATTTAGTAAAAAATTGACGACGTGAACTGATTAGATAAAAACAATTAAACGGTGTTATGGTGGAGGCGCCGGGGTAAATGTTGAATTGTAAATTTAAAAAACGAGCACACTTTTGTACCAGCGTACACAGTAAATGTACCTATAATCGTAAATCATTGAAGCTATTTTTTCGCCATTTGGTTTTTTATGGAATACACAGTTTTTATCACGTTTTAACGTGTGTCACAGTAAGATCAGGGTCAAACAAAAAATGTTGATAATTAGGTCTAACATTAACACACTTTTATTAAATCCTAAATTGCGACAGTGCAATTACTCACCAGCTAAATCCAAATTTTGTCAGACAATGCTATAATAAGGTTATCTCATACAGATAAAACAAGTAGCTGTGGTGTCATTTTATAACAATGGATCAACACAGATGGATCGTATAAATTAGAATATTTTTAAATTTGACAAACTTTTTACTTCCCGAGCGTAAGCCTGTCTGTATATCCGTCTGTCTGTCTGTTCGTCTGTATGTCTGTCCCTCTGGCGTCACGGATTTTTATTAGACAGATAATATCATGTAGATGGTAAAACGCTAACCAAATTTTGTCTACTCACCCCCCACCAACAATGTGATGACGTCAGTTGTATAAAATACCTAGTCCTACACATGTAGTTTACGACTCCGTGTTGAGTTTTTACTCGAAACGTCCAGATTTTTGAAAAAAAAAGTCAAAATTATAAAACAACATTTTGCAATTTAATTTTGAATCTGCAAAACCGAATGTTTTGAAATCTTGCAGATGTTTTAAGGTTATGATAGACATGATAAATTTTTAAGCAAAATATATTTACTTATCCCCTCCAAAAAATTGATGACGTCAGCTCAAAAGTTTGCCGAATAAATGCTATCTAAAATGTAGAAAATATGAAGAGTCTGTACTTGTGATTTATCATTCCATTCATATTTTTTGGATTTACATATACAGGCTGACTCAAAAAAATTAATGAATGCGTAAATTTATTTTATTGATTTAATCAGGAACTACAAAGCCGAAAGCTTTGAAATCTTGGAAATGTTTTAAAGTTATCATAAGCATGGTAAATTTTCTTCCCCCCTAAAAAATTGATGACGTCACCTCAAAATTTTGCTGAATAAATCCTGTCTTAAATGTGCAAAGTCTATACTTGTGATTTATCACTGCATTCATATTTTTTAGATTTGCTTATGCGGGGTGTCTTAAAAAAATTAGTGACTGAGTCAGTTTATTTTATTGATTTAATCAACAATTGCAAAACTGAATACTTTGAAATCTTGCCGACGGTTTGAAGTTGTAAGTATGGTAACTTTTTAATCAAAATGTATTTGTTTATCAACCCCAAAAAATTGATTACGTCATCTCAAAATTTTGCCGAATAAATCCTTTCGAAAATGTGCAAAATATGATCAGACTATACTTATAATTTATCCATTGCACTCAATTTTTTTAGATTTGCTTATACAGGATGACTGAAAAAAATTAATGAATCAGTCAATTTATTATTGATCAAATTAAGAACGAAGCACCCCATGTTCTCAAAAATGTGAGAATACGCTCGTCTTTATAACAATAATATAATGATAAGGTAAGAATTATAATAATAACATTCAGAATATTTTGTTCAATTGAGGCTTATGAATAATTTTAGTCATTTCTTTTTAGGCGATAAACTCATTCAGATAAAACAAATGTCTGCGTGACATCGGCGTGGTTAAACTCAACAATTTATTTCTTACTAACTCGAACTTACACGACTAATTACACAGCGATTATGTACAAAATATTTCCGGCGCAACATTCACTGGGTTTTTTCGACACTCGTTGGACTCGACTTGTTAACTGAATTCAGCTCTTGTTGTCCGGACAACATTAACTGTGCGTCACCGCTTGTAGACTTCTCTGGAGCACCCATTCGCGACTTCCGTTTCCAGGCTCTTCTCCGGCCGCCGTCACGGATAATGAGTCATCGTCGCCGTATACAGGGTGACTGCGAAATAAGTGCAAATATTTTAACCACGGCATCCCCCACCCTAGTAGAGCCGAAATATAGAAAAAAGAAATTAAAAATCGAATGGGGCAAAACCCCCATGAACCACCCTCGATACGAAGGCACTGAGCCACCTTGTAAACAGAGTTGGAAAAACGTTTGAATAAAAACGACCTAAACACTTTCAATTTCAATTAAAAGTAAAACCGACTTTTTGCTGCTTATCATTCCTTCATTCATTTACTCATTCATCGTTAAAGGTCAGTGTGAAAGTTTTTTGGTAATTTTGATTCTGACGGATGTTTGGTCCTTGTCACAACGATTTTACGTTGTTTATTGGAACAGAAATAAGAGCAACTTAGAATGCTACTACCTTTTTACAAGAAATGTTGAAAATGTTGTCCTTGACTAGCAATACAGGCGTCAGAGCGTCGCAAGAGGTTTGTTGATAGGTAAAAAAACACCGGAGTAGCGGGTGTCACTTTCACTTGTTGAAGCTCTTCGATAATTTCTGGACACTGTTGATTTCCACAAACGAACTGTTTCATCCAACTGATACACATTTATCGAAAACCGTCTCTTGAAATCGTACTTGTTGACGACTACGTGGAGTTCCATCGGACAAAAAGTGAGTTACACAAGGTGGACAATCAGCGGGCTCCAAACCCTGTACTTTGTCAACATGGTATGGATGTGGCCGTATTCTTTTAATGTAGGATGCACTACAAGCTGTGAAAATCCAACTTCTTCTTTCTGTCCTATCACGGCCACGATCGTGAGTTTGAGGTTGAAGGTACCATGATCTCGGAGATGCTGTACCACTGATGCACCCATTACCATATCGACACAATCTGCATGGGAAAACTGCACCATAAACCGATTTCACCGACCGCTCGATGCTAACTGGCCCTTTTCGTGTTTTTCACGTTGCGATTAAAAAAGTGCCTGATAAAGTAACTTTTTTGGTTCTTTAACCGACTCGCTCTGTTCCATTCATTGTAGTAATTATGTAGGTCACAAAACAGTCCAGCGGCGCGTACAACAATTTACATTGAATTTCAAATAATTTTTTCTAGACACTGCTACTACTTAGGACCGTGAATTTTACCCAGTGACATAATCATATTGTGAGCTATTCCCCATTTTTTTTTTTGCATGTATTTCGCAGTCACCTTGTATACTAAAATCCATAGACGTCGTACCAGGGGGCAGTTTATACGGATATGTTTGTGGTGCTGAACCATCAGGCACCCGAAAACCCCTTCTGGTCTAAATGTAACGGAAAATAAAATTTATTTCTTTTTAATTCGGTTATTATAAAAATACGATTTCGTCTTCGACTGACCATTTGTTGACACATATGTTCTCGAGATTATGCAAAATGCAAAATTGGCCACTTCCGGGCGTTTCACTAATTTATGACTTGCAGCCAGGCATCCACCTGCACAAAGAGCTGCCGCCTGCAGTATTGTTTTTCATTCTATTTTGCTTTTTTTATCGTTCAAATTTAAAACTTTTGAAATTATTGCATTTGCATTCATATTTTTTCGATTTGCTTATACAGGGTGATGCAAAAAAATAATGACTCAATTTATTTTATTGATTAAATCAAGAACTGCAAAACCGAATGCAGACGTTTTGAAGTTATTACAGGCATGGTAAATTTTTAATCAAAATATATCGCTTTATCCCCCAAAAAATTGATGACGTCATGTCATAATTGTGCCCAAAAAAATACTACCTAAATTGGCAAAAATTGATGGGTCTGTTCGGTCCAGTCAGGTAGACCGAAGGAGATGGGGTGCAGCAGACTCCACCCTCTCACCCACCACCACCACTTGTAATTATGTAAATTTAAATAGTAGTAGATTCGAATAAACCGTGAAGCAGAAAGGTTCGTGTCTCACTGAAACTATATTTATAGTTTCAACAACATCATTTTGGTCATCCATTGTGACCACTTAATTTTTTGGTCATCCATTGTGACCAACATTTGTGGTCACCCATTTGGTCCTCCGAGCCGAATCGTCACAATTTTCGTCAGGTCACCCACTTATGACCTAAGATTTGGTCCTTCGAGCCGGATCGTCACAATTTCCGTCAGGTCACCTACTTATGACCTAACATTTGGTCCTTCGAGCCGGATCGTCACAATTTCCGTCAGGTCACCCACTTATGACCTAACAGGGTCTATACTTGTAATTTATCATTACATTAACATTTTTTACATTTGCCCAAATAGATTAATTTATTTTATTGATTAAATCAGGAACGGCTGACTCCATTTTATTTTTATATAATTGGTTATTATTAGTATTACTGCATCAACCTAAGTTGAAATACGTGTTCTTGCAAAAATGATGATTGACGTCATCACAAAATTTTGTAAAGTAAAAACTTATTTAAAACCTACTCGTAGCATGCTTCTTTACATTTACTTTAGCATTACATATTTACATGTGTTTATTTCAAATTACAGGGGTTCCTAAAAAATATAAAATCCGCAAAATCAAATTTTATAATTTCGCGAAAATGCTGGATATGTTTCAGTGTACTTCAGGAGCGAGGTAAGTTCTGTTCAAACAACTTTCCACCAATTTTTTTACACCTATAGCCTATACATACTACCATATGATTGAAAAAAAGTCGTCTACTAAACTATGAAATTTATTTTTACAATAATGATGGTGGTATTGCAGTGATATAACCGTATTTGTCTAAACAAGCAAGGGACGCGTTGGTGTTGTCAACATCATTATTTTAAAAATAAATTTCATGGTTTATTAGAGAACTTTTTTCAATCATATGGTATTGACATTGACAATGGAGAATCTAATTTACTGAGAACAATTTCTCTTATGACTGTTTGGGTTCGTTAAGCACTTTTATTTATATATACAGTTCGCATCATTGGTTAGAGCTTTCAGAAATACAATCTTTTGCTGTTTGAAGGTAAACGAAGAAAAATGTTGCTGCCTCGGTGGGAATCGAACCACACGCCCCCCGCTTGCCGGGAAGGTATCCTGACCACTTGTTATTGTGCCGCCACAGGTTTAAGTCCGAAGCTGTTAAGCGTTTAAAACCTCTGCTTCATTCATTAATTTTTTTAAGTTAAGTATTTGAAAGGTATTTTTCTACATGCAGAATGTAAAACATTAGGCTGTATTAATAGACGACTGGCATAGAAGCATATTATTTTACACATTTTAGATGAGATTTATTTATTAAAATATTTTTAGATGACGTTATCCCAACGGACGATCTAATTTTTCATATCTAGGAGCTATAAACCGTCAAGAAAAGGCGGAGTTAGCTATTCGCCAAATGGGTACCGATTGGATATACAGATGATAATACAAAAAAAGTTAAAAACTAAAGTTGTACGGTAACTTAGATTTTTTTTATAGAACACCACATTTTTACATACTCTCATTAGTATCATTACATTAACCTCCTCCTGAGTTTTATAATCACCGTTTATTTTTGAAATTCTAATGCGACGTTGCCACATTATTCCATTATTGTGGTTTTTTTTTAGTAATGGAAGGATTTGCAAAACAAATCGCAATCATGTTATTTTTAAGATCTGCGTTGGAAAAAAAATTAATATACAGAATGTTTGTGATATGTCGGTGTGTCTCTTAAAAACCGCAATAACTTGCAACTTTAAATACAGAAATACCATACAAAAGAGAAAGAGAACAAAAAACAAAAGAAGATGCAGTAACAAAGTACAGATATTCTGTTTGAGGAAACTGAAATATCGATGTTTGTAGATTGTAATAGATTTTTTATAAACACTGTATATTAAGACGAAATTTTGTGACTCACTCTGTATATCAACAATCATAGAGAAATAGTGTAAGTACCTCTTAAAATTTTTAAATAATTTAATAATAATCTATTCAAGGTAAGTAATAACATTACACAGGAATAATGTATATGTAGATAAACAGTTTATTACTACCTCTAAGTACATTTTCAAATTAACTTTGTGAAAATGGGTGTCATAAAAATAGAGCTCTCCCACTCGCAAAATGGAAAAAGAAAGCCGCAAAAAGAAAAGGAGAGATGAAGCCACTAGCAAAATCTTATCACCGAGTTTTGAAAAAGGAAAAATTTGGGCAAATTTTTATAAACATCAAAAAAAATAATTCATTATTCATTAGTTCAAATTCAGTTTAAAAATGAAGTAAAAAAGTAGAATATATTAACCATAAAAGTTTTAAATTTGGACGTCTATTGCGAATTATCTCGGAAAACATGAACATACACTTTTTTAGTTTTTTTAACTACAGTTTTGGTGATTTGTAATCAGAATTATTGTTTAACATTTTTATAATGCATAAAAATTAAAATTATGATGACGAATACTTACTGGATTTTATTATAAGTTTTATACAGATTCTAAAGTTGACGTTGATATACGAGTACATACAATTAATCCAGTGGGAAACAGTTTTTATTAATCACTCTGTTTATACATCTTGGGATTATTCTTCGATAACTGTCGATTTTAGTGCCCATTAAAAAAACTATTTTGCAAAACAATTTGTGTTCCATTATAACAGTGGAATAACCATGAGGTTTTAGATGGCATTAAAATTAAACATTACTTACGTTGCGAGAGAAATCCAAGCGAATTGTGTGTCCGATTACAAATGCTACACTGTAACTATTAATAAAAAAATTAGTCGAAAGTTATTTTGACAGAACTTTCCTCTCCCTTGAAGTACAGTCCAACAAATCCAGTTTCTTTGAAAAATTTCAAAATCGATTTTGTTTACACACATAAAATTTCACATAATCAGACAGACAGACAGACGGAAACGGGAGACCTTTTTTCATACGCTCGGAAGGTAGGTAAAACGGTGTCTCATAATAACAACATTTTAATCTATTTAACAATTTTTGTTAGCTAAGTACCTACTATTTTACGCTTCATAAATTTTCACCTACTGCCACCCATCTACACATTGGTTAATTAAAAACTTCCATTTATATTTCAAAACGTTTTCATTATTGCTAAATTCTCAAATGACTGGATTTTCCACGCTGAGAATATCGCATTAGATTGAATAACACAACGAAGTAATCACGAAACACTTAAGTTTTTTACACGATATAGATTTTTAAACATTTGTTCATTTTCTGAAAGGTATGATTTCAGTAAAAATTTTGTTTTTTAAACTGACAAGATGGAAATTCCATCAAAGACAAATCTTCAAAAAACTATTGCTGCCTTTGCTTTGAACTTTTATCAAATAAAAAAAATCATTATAAAAACACTTCCTAAAATGCTTTAGCAGTATTGTTTTCTGGGTTACAATTGCTGACACAGCACACAAAAAATTAATACATAAGCCTTTCAGAACTTGGAAATAAAGTATCTAACTTTATGATTAAATGATTTTATGCCATGTTACACATATCATAATTAAAATATACCTTTACTGAATAATATTTATGAATGCAATAACGACAAAATTTACGAGCGTATTGTTTATTTGGCGATACAAAGTGAAATACTTTTTCTTATGTTCTGCCTCAACAACTTTCCACTTAATTACGTAAGAACCAATAAAATGTTTCATTTCATTCCTGGTTCACATACACCCTTCGCAGTTTATCACAGAATCCTTGGCATTCTTACAAAAGACGTTGTTAGTTAAAATTTGAAGTGGGGTCCGGGGTGAATAGCTATTTTCATGTTTTTACTTTCGTCTGTCTGTTGTCGTTAAATTTTAGATTGTGTTAGAAATATTGTGTAGATGGTGAAACACTAACCAAAATTTGTCTAAATATCCCCACTGACAATTTGATAACGTCATCGCAAAATTTTTCATAGTAAAGGCTATTTAAATTAACTTATTAACGAATTATGATAAAAGAATAAAATTTCGCAAAATCAAATATTATAATATAATTAAATATATATTATATAAATATATTATATAATTATGGTTTCTGTCAGCGTTCAAATAAACCTAGATATACAACACACAAAGGAATATATGCACACGATAATCACCTAGAGGCCATTATCAATTAGTAATGGTGCTTTATGTTTACAATACGTTACCCACAATATGTTTGACACACTATAAAGTAAATGTTTTAATTTCCATAAGACACCACGTCAATTTGTTTAAAACGATCCATGATATTGAAATTATTTGTAGAAAATAATATTACATAAATACCTAACTTTGCATTTATTTGGGTATTTAGTCCTAAATCTACTTTTGTACTGTCGAAATTATTAACTAACTCACATGAATGTAGCTGTTTAAGTTCATGGAAATCAGAATACATATATTAACATCTCTATATGTATTTATTTACATGGTCATTTACGTTAAATTTATCTCAATAATTTAATATTAACACTTAAAATTAAATATGGAATACACTTTCTATGTTATAATTTAATCACAAAACATTCTAATCTAAACCTGGAAATATTACACTCGTATCTGAACCAATATATCTAACATTAAATCTTCCGTACATTCTTTTTAGATATGCCAACACCTGACTTCTCTCCCAGAAGCCATATTCAGCGTAACACTCTGGACAGTTGTGTCTAGTTGGAAACTGCACTTTCAGATATTCTGGATCTTCAGTCGGATCTCCTTTCAGACGTTCATTAACAACATTATGACTCTCCCATAACCATAAGACCGAATCCTCCAGAGATGAAACGTTCATCATATTTCGTTTAGTAGCCATATCTTGAAAATGTAAACTACAGGCTTTACAACCAAAGAAATTTTTAACATAACTGTGCACAGTTTCCAAAATTTCTCTAGGATTGACGTTACGGTTGTCAGCATTGGCATCAGCAAAATTAACTGTTAGATAATGAAAAAGAGTCCACAATGAACAGGGGTATCCTCTAAAGGACGGCGAACTTCCTAAACATCCAATAAAACGTCGTGGTGAAGAAAATAAGTTATTTTCCTCTGCTTCTTTAACTAAATCTTGTATCTGGTTACCTCTAACTTCCTTCGCTTGTGATGTGACATTGATCAACAGACTTATTAAAGAGGAGCTTCTGTAACCAAAAGGAAAATATTTGTTAATAACGCTCAAGTAGTCTTTGAGGGTCTTTAGTTTTTCGTCTTTAATTACTTCTACTGATGACACTTCTTGTTGGAGTGAATATCGCAGAGCTGCTTCTAAGTCTGCCTGAAAGACGACGTCCCCCATTTTTCTGATATGTTGACGAAGCAGAGTTACAGGAAGACGATCTAAATGCAGATCTGTGTTATTTGAGGTTGTATTATCTTCACTAAGATTCATTTCCAAATTAATACCTTTACTTTGCAAAAAATCACTAACTGTACTTTTAATTTCATCACTAGTGGTGGCATTTTTGAAAATTTCTGACTTGTTATTTTTATCCAAAACAAGGACAGTAGGATAGTTTTCTATACCTAAATTTGTTTTTAGGATGGAATTGTTAACTGACGAGTATCTAACAGCAACAGCAGGAATTTTGTGTAAATCTAATGCCAGTTCAGCACCTAAGTATCCAGTGTCTGCTATCACCAAGAAAATGAACTCGACGTTGTCTGCAGCGTCGTCATATAAATGTTCAAGATGCTCATGATTATATGGTAATAAATTAGGATAATTGTTACGTCTTCCTTCATGAACTTCTCTTATCAAATATTTAAGAACTTTTTCTTTTATAGAAGGGTCTGTATCGTCGTCATGAACCAAGTCTACACCTACATTACGCGAACTTACTTGGTAATTTTCGTGGAAATATTTCACTGTTGGATACTTAAAAATTCCCATTTCTCTGCATAAAGGGGTGTTAATTTCATCAGAACATGCCACTGCACCTACTTGCACTATGTCTCTCCAGTCTAATACATCATTGGCGAAATCTTTCCATTTAGGGGCAAATCTTTGACAATCACCACACCAACTCGCGTAGAATTCCACTAACCAAGCACTAGTGGAGTTTTCAACTTTTTCCTTAAAATTACTAACGTCGAGGATCTTGATATTATCTGCAGGGGTATAAAGACTGACTGGTGTGGGTTTAACCTTAGATATCAGACAGATAAAAAAGAAAGTGACTGTTTTTTCCATTGTTATAGAACAGTAGATCACTGCTAGATGTCTAATACGTTAATGCGTCGAGGAAATTACTGTAATGTGACTTCATTTGAAAGTCAATGAATAAATTTACAGTCATAAGGAGCAATAATAAAAACGACGATGACTCATAGAGAACTGGGAGCACACTCGCTGAAAATGCGTTGGTTTTCATTATGTGTAAATGAGACTTGTATTTATAAAGAGAGAGAGAGAGAGAGAGAAAAAAAAAGAATTATGTGTTGCGTTTTTTATAATACGTAAAAGCAACATTTAAAATGGAATTACTACTCAGTTTTAATTATAATTATTTGATAACATACAAAATTATAAATTGTGTAAACATTGAAACAATTTATGCTGTCTATTAGTAAACAGTTCCAATTATTAGCAAATTAAGGTAGATTAATTTAAATAGACATTAATAAAATGTAAACTTTAAAGTTATGACCATCACATAAGTGTGGCTCTACGTATTAATGATTCATAAATTGTATCTTTTTTTAATTATACTGGTTTTGAAGTGTTTAGAAGCCTTTATTTTTTGTAAAATTGTGTCAAATTTACAAAAAAAAATATATAATCTGATTTTCCTTCCTAAGTCATTTCAATGCAGATTTGTAATTGATTCCAACATATTTTTTCATTGTTGATTAATTGGAAATAATGCCATCTGGGCAGTAACTCTTGAAAAATGTTTGAAATATAGGCGAGTCCAATTTACAAATATGAGAACAACAAAAAGCTTACATAAACCGCTTTAAAAATTGTTTTCAAATGATGGTTCAACTGAAATGCCTAATTTATTATTTTGTACCCAACACGAACATGTAATATGGAAAAAAAGTAAAATGATCTTTTTGTACAATGCCAGTACACATCACATGATTTTTCAGACGGAATGCATATTAAGAACACAAAGGATTTTTGCCCATACGTAATTATTGTAAAAACTAAAATTACTTTTTCAGAAAATATCGATGATTTATGAACTGAACAACTTGACGATGCCTTAGCTGCAAATAGGACTCAAAAGCATCATTTCTGGATAGCAAATACGTACTCAATTTGAGTATTTAATATAATTTCATCTGTTTACTAAAATTTGGGTTAAAAAGTCCGCCTTAAATGAAATTTTACTGTCTTACATATAACGCATGATTGAAAAAAATAATATTCTCACGAAATAAACCTAAGGACCGCGTTGATGTGCCACCCATGCCCGGTCCAGTACATTGCTGCGATGACTCATAAAGCCGCCGATAGCGTTTCGGGATGTTCGAGAAAAGAAAAGCCTAGAAGTGGTTTTCTGGAAGTGTCTAATGTTAATTGGTTTAAACAGGAAGCATCGTCGGAAGCGCGTCAGTCCACTCAATTAAAGAATCCAACTCGAATCATTCGAGCACGTTACAAGACAGGAGAATTAGTCGCTGCAGTTATCGCTATTAGTGGCGTATTGTATTACCCACCATGAAATAAATTAATGAGTTTTTACCCACGCCGATTTTAATCCCCGTAAATCGTAACATTGGTGTCAGGAGTGGGATTCAAGATTAACAATTGGCTTTACGAAGATTTACGGGCAGGTTGGACAAGAATTCTAAAGATTTGTGCCTACAGCAATGGAAGAACAAGTAAAGCAGATGATAGGTACGGTTGCACAAATGGACCCAAGAAACTAAGAATTGTACGGAAAAAGTGAAAAAAAAAAACGGTTTTCTGAAAGTGTCTAGCACCATCGTCGAATCGAGTACAAACACATTACTAAAACAGAAGAATTATTTATTATTAGTTGCTATATACGTACTACTTAACAGCTATTAGTTGTGTATTGTATTACCTACCAAGAAATAAATCGTTGGGTTTTTACACAGATTTTAACTCTCGCATACTTATACTGAACTTAACAGTAATTGTTATAAGAAGGCGTAGGCCTAATGCTGCAGTACCTATAATAAATTTCAAACGTTAACACCAACTGAAGACGTTTACAGCAGCTACTAAGTGTATGAAAGAAGATGCTTTTTAAAACGCCAGGTGGGAATGTTTAGATTTGGTTAAGAAGTACATGAGACTATTTTGATAGAGTACTACAAATAACAGTGCTTAAGAGAGCTACGCTTTTTACCCATTAGAAATCAAAATGTAACAACTAATTAAAATTCTGCTGTTATCTAAACTACTTCACGGTGAACGTTTGGTGAACTTGCGCTCGATGCAAAATTTATGATTCATTAATATAGTATAGTAGCTAGCGTAATTTCTAGTTAAGGCTGGCGTCTGAAGGCAAATTATCTGCCTGGTCAAAGTGAGAATAACACGACCTGGGAGATGTTGCCCTCTGTTAGTGAGTTGCGAAAATATGATCCGTAGAATTCTACTTTTTATTGTACAGAAATAAGTTTTGGTACAAAAGCCGGCTACCTGACTTTACCCTTGACCGTTCAAAACTGGAAAGATGTGAAACTCACTGATTCAATTTCCTATTTTGGCTACAGTTAATTCTTTCCAGTTATTTGTTTTGTTTCCATATTAATTATATGTAAATATTGTGACTCCTACTATCGAGGGATCATCTGTAGATATGTGAATTATTCCTATCAAGGATGTGTTGTTTGTCTGAATTACAGGAACATCATGTGCTGATTCATAAAATTTATATACGTAAAAATTGGTGGTGGTAAGGTACTTATACAAAAGGGAGGGATTTTCCCCTGGGGCGTTCTAGCACAAGTGGAGTTTGGGGCTACCGGTCGGGTCCCCCCACGACGGTGATTCTATCTTTCGCAAGCCTACCGCCAAGCACATCTCCATGACGAACATGCCGACGAGACTAGGCCGTTACTATCGCCGATCCGCAGTCTCGACTATTGGTCCAAAGAGACAGCGTTGCAACACCGGCGACCGCCCCTGACTCTATACAAACCTGCGGCCTTGTGCAGGGGACGCGATAAATCTCGCCAGCTCGACTAGGAACCGCACTTCGCTTCTGCCACGTTTTCTGTGTTATTTAACCTCGATTCCATTTTTTTTATGTTCAATTCCTTATAAATGATATTAACAACAACTGAACAAGTGTTAAAATTTCAAACGAGCAATAAACAATATTTAAATTCGCCATACAATGTTGTGAAATTTTAAACAACAAATAATTCTTATGTGAGATTAAAATTGGACATCAAATAATTGATACGGTGAATACATTCATCAACAAAATATTTACAAAACAAAACTTAGCAAAGATTTATGAAACAAAAGATCTGGTGTGAATAAACTTGTGCAAATAAAAATATTATGTGAGGTTAAAACTGCAGTTGAAACCCGCATCATTGTCATATCCATATTCTAAGAAAACTGGGGTGTTGGTGAATATTTAAAGTGAAAAGTAATATTTTCTCTGAGTTCCTTATGAACATTTGGATAAAATAACTACATGTTTTAGTATGCACAACGGGAATTTTTGTTTATCTTTGAGATAATCACAATGTCAGAATTGTTATTTATACACTAGTAAATAAGAGTATTTGTTGAATCAAAGTGATTACAAAGTGCTGAATTGTTTGTTTCTTGTCCCCATCACATTCCGTGATAAGAGCTTCTATTTTCCGCAATCTGGAATTAAAATCACATGTAGTATTACAAATAAGAAATATTTTTATTCTTACATACTTAAAAATTCACAAAAGGATTTGCCAAAAATTAAAACCAGTTAGTCTAAACCAGGAAATAGGACGTTCGTGTCAGATCCAATGTATCGCACGTTGTAATTGCCATACATCCTTTTCAAATATTTCAATACTTCACTTCTTATCCAGGACCCATCTTCCCCATAACATTCCCTACACCTAAGTTTGGTCGGAAATTGTTCCTTCGGATACTCAGGATCTTCGGTCTCATCTCCACTCAAACGCGCGTTAACAACATTGTGTGCCTCCCAAAGCCAGAAAACAGACTCTTCTAGAGAGGCAACACTTCCCAAATTTCTTTCGGCGGCCATCTTTTGGAAATGCTGGCTGCAGTGTTGGCAACTGAAGAAGTTCTTTACGTAACCGTGCATAGCATCTAATACTTCCCTCGGATTGGCCTTCTTGTTGTTAACGTTGTACAAAAGAGAGTTGACTGTTAAGAAATGGAATAAGCGCCATAAACTGCAGGGGTAACCTCTGTATCTCGAAGAACTGCCAAGACAACCTATGAACCTCTGAGGTGAAGAAAACTCTCGATTTTCTTCTGCTTTTTGTACCAAAAGTTGAATCTGGGGGCCTTCTATTTCTGTAGAAGTTGATGTTAAATTTGCCAGTTTGTCAATAAGAGAAGAACCGTTGTAACCGAACGGGAAATATTTCTTTATGACTTTCACGTAAGCGTTAAGAGCTTGCAGTTGTTCGTCTTTGATTAGTTGTATAGTTGAAACTTCTTGTTGAAGAGAGTACCTCAAAGCAGCTTCCAAGTCTCTCTGGAAAACTACATCTCCCATTTTTTTCACGTACTGACGTAAGATCGTTCTGGAGCGCTGATTCGGATCCGGGTCAACAGAAGAATTCTGAAGCTTAGAAGGTACAATTTCAATTAACTTAATACCTTTGTCTTTCAGGAAAGTACCAATCGTTTCTTTCAACTCAGTCCTCGTTTTAATCCCTTCCGTGAAAATTTTCGCGTTATTGCTTCGGTCCACGGCATACAACGAAGGAAAAGTTTCGACTTTCAAGTTGTTGATTAGTTCCGTGTTGTTTTGAAGTGAGTAGGTGACAGCAATTTCGGATGTTCTGTGTAAATCCATAGCTACTTCACCTCCTAAGTAACTATTTTCTTCAAATACGAGAAAAGCAAACTTAGCTTTTTGACTCGCATTGCTAAAAAGGTCTTTTAAGTCTGGATAACCGTAGGGTAACAAGTGTGGGTAAATCTGTCCGCGACCTTGGTATTGTTCAGCAATAAATGTTTCAATGGCGCTCTTCTTGTTGTCTTCCAAACTATACACACTTGCGTGAGGTACAATTACTCCAGAATGATTAAGGCCTGTGTGGTAATTTTCGTGGAAATACCTCACCGTTGGGTACTTAGTGATTCCAAAATCTCGACAAAGGTTTATGTTTTGCTCATCTGAACACTCCACCACTCCTATTCTAACTATGTCTCTCCATGAAGCAGCTTCCGTTGCGAATTCTTTCCATGATGGAGCGAATCTCTGGCAATATCCGCACCAGCTGGCATAAAATTCTATTGTCCACGCATTTGTTGAATTTTCAACGAATTTCTTGAAGTTGTTGCCGTTGAGAATTTCTACGTCATCGTCAGGGAGGTACAAACCACCAATAGGTGCAGTTTGAATATTGGCGATGAACAAAGTTAGTACTACAAACACTATAATTTTCATTGTTGGTTATAACACAGTTGGTTACTTACTAGACGGACATCGTTTGATGGCAGCTTTTATCAAATGTCTTGCCCATTAAGGATAGATAAAGAAATGGTAAATGTGGTTTACAGTCATTTGTGAGTGCAGACATAAATCGTGGCTTAGGAGAGGTACTGCACATGATTAGATACATTTATATCCTCAAGGTATACACTGACCACACGAGGTGTGCTGAGCATGTTTATCAGACGCTGTTACGCCATTTTAATTTTGTGTCCCATTTCGTTGTTATTAAGCTGCGACTAAATGTGTTGTATTTACCGCGTAATTACCAGCGTTAATTATAAAAAAAAATTCCACTGACGAAACTAGTGATTTGTTCGGCTCTGGGAAAACGTATTTGAAAGATAAAAAACATGTTCATAATAAAATATCGTTTATTCGTTTAAGCTAAAACTTTACAGTGATTCGCATAATCTTTTGGCGTTGTGACAATAATAAATCAACAATCAAGATTCCACATCAATACTCTAAAATTACCACTGCGTTTAACCACTTTTTACAATATTAAGTATAAATATCATACAGGAAATAATTATCGAGCCCGGCCTTGATTACTGGACAACTTGTGCTTTACAAACAGAATGAACACCACGTGAACAGTATCATTAGAGAAGGTACTTTCATTATAATAACTAATAGATTCACGGAAAACTGCGTGAATTATAATAGGTTTAACAATGTTTTAGAAATAATTACATACAAGTGATTCCAAAACATGACCTTCATATAAGCCGTTTACTGTATGTGATAATATTATTATTCTTCTTATTATATTATTACAAAGAATACGTCATTGTCGAGAATCTCCTTGTACGCAGGTAAAAGTTGTACACACTAAAATCACATACATGGCATACAAAAAATATACATTTACACATATGAAACGTTTATAAGGCTTGACCTGATTTATAATCTCGGAACAACTGCAGATTCATAAGCTACAACATCGTCAATCTTTTGAAGGCGTTTGCTAGATGTTAAAATTGGTCCTCAAGCCCCGGACGTCGTTGTCCTATACGGCATGGATGTTCTGGAAAATAAAAGTACATATATCATACTATTTTGAGGTTAAGTCGTAGCTTTATTCCAGAGGTTTAGTTCAAACGTGGAGTGATACAGCGTGACCAACTATTTCAGTTGGTATGAACAACTTTTGCTTGAAATTGGTAGACCTGTCACCCAACCTTACTTCCTGTTGTCAAAACGGGCTTGATTGACAGTAACAATTAATTTACATCAAAATATAGCGCCAATCATGTTAAATTTGATTTTGTGAAATTTTACGATTTTATAATTCATTGCTCGGCGTTACTTATAAGCTGTTACAAAATGCTATTACATATATAATTTTGATTTTTTTGTGAAAATCTGGATACTTTCGGTAAAAAATCAAAGCGGATTCATAAATCACAGATTCAGAAGTTTCGTATTTTAAAAAATTTAATTAGCAGTTGTCATTTTTTATTTCCTAAAATAAGCTATGAAATGTCGAGAAAAATAAACCAAATAAAGTTTATTAAACAGAAAACCGAAATTACAGATTGCGTGTAGATAGGCGCAAAACAATTTAAACAACAATGAAAGTGTAATCACTGACTAACAAGCTAATAATGTGAAATCAAATGGGATAGGTTTTTTTTGAATTTATGGTTTTAAATTTTAAAAGTGGTAAACAAATTAAGACGGAAGGAAACAAGTGAAATCAAAAGATTAATCTCTAAAAGAATTTTTTGCTGATTTTTACTAGAAAGTATCTCTACTTTTTTAAGGTTAAGGAAATTTTGTAACATGCCGACATTATTGAAAAATCACGTGTGATCATCATATGTTGTTATTACCTACCACAGAAATTTCAAATTGCTCAAAAATAATTGCATATCACAAAAAATGACCCCAGCCATTTCTCCATTTCAAGCTACCACTACCATCCGAAGTTAAAACAACTGATGAACATTTGATAAAAATAAATCAGAAAAGTCAATAATTTCTAGGTTCGAATTAAATATATATCAGTGAAATGAGTATGTAGCAACAAAATTTTTCAACTTGTAGGTAGGCCAAGAAAAATGTTGCTTCTCCGGTGGGAATCGAACCGCACGTTTACCGCTTGCCGGGCGGGTGCCCTTACCACTAGACTATAGAGGAGCTTATCTTTCTTCGCTTACTACTACGTATTATTGTGTCGCCACAAACTGTTCCTGGTTCTAAAGTGGGATTTATAAACTTGCTGTTGACGTTGAAGTTGCCGCTGCAGTTGCTGTTCCCGCTGACGTTGCTGCTAGAGCAAGGTTTCAAAGCATTCGGTTTTGCAGATTTAAAATTAAATTGCAAAATATTGTTTCATAATTTTTTGATTTTTTTTCCAACAATCTGGACGTTTCGGGTAAAAACTCAATTTGGAGTCATAAACTACATGTGTAGGACTATGTTATTTTATACAATTTAAAACCCATTTATTATGTACAATTTTGAACTGACGTCATCGCATTAGTGGTGGGGATGATTAGACAAATTTTGGTTAGCGTTTTACCATCTAGATGATAGTCCTAATATAAATACAAAATTTCACAACAATCGGTCCAGTACTTTCGGAGATTACCTATCTGTCTAATAAAAATCCGGGACGGCAGACAGACGGACAGACAGACGGAAATGGGAGACCTATTTCTTCGTCTTCTAGGGGTCATGAAAGATCGAGAAAACGTAAAAGTAGAGAGTCGGCCGACGGACTCGATTACAATACTTCCTTTGCTTACGCTCGGGAAGTAAAAAATCAATAACAAAAGGAATAAGATGAAGTTCCTTGGTCAACTGCGGCAATGTTAGCAGGGGGGATTTTAGCTCGAGTTTGCCTGACGACAATCCACGTGGAATACGGTCAATTATGGGAAACAGTCTTGCACCATGAGGATGGGTATTGTGGCTGGAAAATCTCACAACACAATGTAAAGCTGGAAATGAGGAGTTCCATCACCTAGATCAGAGCCGTCGATCTCGGTAACGGTGATATGCGATTTGGATTTTTTTTTAATTTAAATTTGCCATTTTTTTAAATTGTAACATTCAAATATTTGCATTGATTCAGAACATTTGTTTTGATTTAATTTTGAGAGCTAGGCAGTTGAGAATAGAGGTCTTCAATTGGCCCAAAGCTTTTTTTTTGGATACAATTTTAAAATGTGTATGAACACATTTTTTTGCTTTAAAATTCTGTTCATCAAGTCGCATTAATCAATTCCTGGAAAATTTGACCACCTTTGTGTACTTGCCGTAATGTTAATTAACTGCATGTCACACAAATTAATTTCATGAATAATTTACAATCAAATAATAGCTTTGCAAAATACCACCACGTCACGAATTCCAATACAGGAGAAGTGATACGTCATGGCTATGGGAAAGTTAATAATCGTAACAAAGTGCATCATTGATTTTTTAAATTAATACTGAAACAACCTAATCTCAATTTAGTCAGATGTGTAAAAGGATATTTGAGATTTTATAGTGGGTGAACCAGCTGTGGGTAGTTTTTACGTAAGTCTAGGCGACCTGTTTGGTCAATTTGTTTTAACGTCTAAGATTTTTATTTCTCTAAGTTTTTGTTCATATTTGTGTGACAAAATCAAAATTCTCCATTTTTCTGTGATTTACGACCAATAAAATGTTGTTTACGGTTTGTCGCTTTCATAATTAAGTTTTATGTGTAGTGGTATCAACATTAAACATTGTTCGTTACGATTATCGACAAAGCAGAATCATTCATTAAACTATTGGATCGAATTAAACTTTTCCTCTGCTGTTTTACTCAATTTAGTTTTTAATTGGTAAAAAAAATAACACTTACTTTGGCGATATCCACTCCGGTTAAATTTTTGACGAGTTGGGGGACTTTGTTGACGATTTCTAGTACTTCTCCTGTAAGTTTGGCAGCTCCGACTTCCCCTGTGCCAGTCGACACCATCGTAATTTTCTTAGTTTGTGATATCGGGGCAGCAACTTCAGCCGCAATCTATAATAAAAAAAAATTAGTCTTCACTTGCGTGTTAACCGTATAGGCACCTTACTTTTGGCAGTACTTCCAAAAACATGTCGATCATAGCAGCTTCCTTGTATTCCCTCCATGCGTCAGCCTTCTTTGCCATCTGCTCGGCTTCCGCCTTCGCTTTGGCTTCAATCGCAAAAGCTTCGGCTTCACCTCTCAATCTAACGGCTTCCGCTTCAGCTTCAGCTTCCAAGATAACTCTATTGTGATTGGCTTCCGCTAATTTCTCTAACCTGTATTTTTCAGCGGTTGCTGGCTGACGAACGGTCGCTTCCAACTCCCTCTCCCGCCTTTGTATTTCCTGCTCCTGGACTGCGATCTGTTGCGTTCTCTCCACCACCACGATCTGCATTTGTTCCTCCTTGATCCTCTGCTTCGTCTTCGCCGCCTGCAGCTCGTACGCCATTTCTGCTTCGGCGTTCTTCGTTTGGACTTCGACGTCGTAGGCTGCCTTCTTCAGCTCGAAATCGCGCTTGGCTTTGGCGATGTCGGTGTCGTTGAGGAACACCGAAGCCATCCTTTGCTCCTCGGCGATGGCTTCTTTGATTGTGGCGTCGCATCGGGCTTCGGCTTCGCCGATTCGGGCGTCGCGTTTTACTTCTGCGGTACGAGCCATTCCGAGACTTTTCAAGTAGCCCTAGACGGATGGTGCAGGGGTGAAAATGAACGAGCAAGACAGCGATTGAAATCATAGAATGAAGCGGTTTCTTAGTGCCAATGCGGCGGCTTTTTTTGGGTTGGTTGAAAACACTCAACGCCATGCATGTGATGGTTTTGCAAACGAGAAGAAGCATTGGATTATGTTCTGACGGTTGGCAAAACTTAACAAAAAATGAAGCCTGACAATTTTTGGGGTCTCTTATTTTGGAAGGTGTGGAGTGTAATTACCGTTCGGATTTTTCGTATGGTCATCGTCTTCACAACAACACGTTGTGGCGAGGATTTGTTCCCCTCGTTCACAACTTGCTTTTTAGGCATGTAGATCCACTGAAAAAGGACAGACATACTTTTAGCATTTTATGCATGCCTCGGGGATGGACTTTGTCGGATCTAAAGAAATGAGGAGGAACGTAAATGTCAGAGCGTGTTTTTGAAATATATTGTGGTTTCATTTCTTTTCAATCACACCCATTACAGTCAAAATTTTGTCAGTATGAAGAATCTCGAGGGAGTATATATTTCAAAAAACACCAAATACCTTGAACGAAAATATGAGAAGCACTGGAATGCGTGTCAAGTTTTGCCACCGTGTGGAAGAAAATAATCCCTCGCTTCGATATAACACTACCACAACTAAAAATTCCATAAACGTACCTTGGCACCCTTTTGTTGCAAATTAAAAAAACAATAATAAATAGATAAAGTAAATAAATAAAAACTAGCTACGCTTTTATAAAAAAGAAATTACCTCTTCATCTCTAATGTCTTTCAAAGTGTACGAAACTACGGTGATTCCCATATTAACTAAATCGGAAGAAGCTACTTCGAATACTTGTTTGCTGAATTTTTTACGATCTTTGTAGATTTCCTCGACAGTCATGGAACCCATAATGGCTCTCTGGTGACCTTCTAATGTAACTAAGGCAATGTGTTGGATTTCATTCTGTGATTTCCCTAGGAACTGCTCGCAGGCCGCCAACAACATTTCTTCGTTCTGACCTTGAATTTTTACCTATAAACCACATTAAAACCACAAAATATTAGATCTGGTTTTATTTAGTCAACATAAATCATAATTAAACACATTCACTAGAATCGTACCTGCGCAATTCCTGTGACGGAAATTGGAACTCCCTGACTTGTATATACCGTCGGACTGTCCACAATTAAGGTCATAGTATTTAGGCATATTCTGAAAATTCAACAGCAATTACAAGTGTGTTAATTAATACTTATAATAATTAATACAACTGGGTGATTTTTTAAATTTCTGCTCTAGTTACTCATGAAAAACACCATCTTTAACCCTGCGCCTAAAGCTACGTCGTGGAAAAGATTTGAAGAAAATTAGTTCTAATTAATTGCAATTTTGTAAATCTAATATTTGAAATAGACGCTCTAAAAAGCAAAGATGAATTTATGGGAGAATTGAAAGGGTTTTATAGAAGATTTCCATACCTAAGGGCAAGGGAAATTTATTGTTACTGGCTATTTTTGTTTAATGATACCAAGTTCAGCCTCAAAGACTTCATGACTTAGGGGAATGTGGAATAATTTACAGAATAAAGAAGTAAATGCTGCGAATTTATGCATGAGGGGTGAAAAAAACACCAAGGTAGGTGGTATCAGTATTGTAGGTTTTCTATAAATGTGATAAGAAAATAAATGATTGGACATGTTTTTTGTAATACGTAGTAAGACTAAAAATGTGACTTTTATTGAAGGAAAGATACAACTGATAACATTTAGGAAAGAATTTTCAAAAGAACCTTGAAAGAGATAAGATATCATCTGCGTAATGTTTGTTTGTATACCATACATTGTTCTTAAAATTTTCTGTTAGAAATGGAGATCGGGAAGATGCCATTGCTAAACCAGTACGTTGTTCATGAAAAGGATTGTTAAACATACAGAAACTTTGTTTCAAAACTAACTCACATAATAGGATCAGGTTATGGATATGCATAATACGCAAGTCTGATTCACATAAAACGTCACTAATTAATTTAACGGGTTCGGAAGGTGGAAACGAAGGAAAGAGATTAGAAATGTCAAAAGAAACAAGGGATCAACTTGAAGGGATGATTACATGTTTCCATTTTTCAACTAGGTCAAAATTATTTTTGATGACATTGTCGAAATACACTAAAAAACTAAAATCCTTATAAATTTTAACTTTGGTTTAAATTTTACGTCAATTTATTAATCAATTTCGCTGTGACTTTAACTTCTGAAATTCTGACCTTACTTTTCTTGTTTTCTTGCTTATTGGAGACGATAATTTTTATATTAAAAACAGTTCTTCTCCAAATTTTATTTGCATATTTACGTATTCAGTCAAAAATTGAATGTGTCTGCCATTTTTACTTTTACATTTGTGACATTTATCAGTGTGGTTTAATCACCGACATGCTATATTTTTCCAAGGATCACAAAAATTATGGTGCCTGTCTATGGCAAACCAGCTCAAAGTAAATGGCGGGTTAATTATGTCAGACGACTGAGAGTGACAGACAAAAATTATACCATCAAATCAGTTTGTCCAACATGAAGAAAACATACCAATGCCTACTTTACTTCGAAAATATTGCGAATTAAAAATTTCGCGTTATAATTAATTGCTACGTATAGGCGTGTGTTAAGAACATCTATTTAATTTCAATTAACCCTCATTACATAAGTATTACGTAAGTATACCTTTGTATCCTTTGAATCGCCGGCCATACAAACGCTCTCCCTCCCGGTATCAATAACGGTTTGCCGTAACAACATCCTGTAAAAGAAAAAAGTCATAAAAATGTGTCAGTTGGGGCTATCGTTAGCAGCCAGAATAATCTTTTCTACACTTGTAGAAAGCAGCTGGGTCGATACTAACTTAATTAATTAAAGCAAATTATCGCAATCAAGTTGAATCTGGTTAAGTAAATTGGTACAAAAGGTAGCGACTTAATTTTTTCGTCTTTTTAAAAAAAGCAATTGCTTGTAGTTTATGTTATCAGTCAGAAATGGCACCACATCTGTTGATGTCATAGACTTGGTATGCATTTCGACGGTGACGAATCAAATACAGCTGCTTGTTTGAACAATCAGCCAACGTTCGAAAGAAAGAAAGAAAAATCCTTATCCAAAATATTTCTTACTATGAATAATAAATATGCTTTCATATGTATTTTTCCAGGAGCTGCATTTTCGACGTAACAAATTTACCTTGCATATTCTTTGTAAACATCATAGCAGATTCTGCAACAACGCACTTCAAAGGAATGTTATTTAGTGCTCACACAGGACCGATACAAAGACATAATCTTTCGTCAAGCTTTGAATACGTTATTTTATTTCAAAAACTGTTTGCAATAGATAGATATTTCTCTCAGATGGCGCTTCACTAATTCCAGGCATAATAATTAATAGTGCAGAATTATTACAGTGCTCGGTTGCCTTGTCTAAGCTTTAGCTTTTTTAATTAATAGGTAAAATGTTAGTAAATAACACTTTAGCCCTACAAATTTGAAGTCAACAGAAAACAATAAGCAACCCAAATTTTACTTTTACCTTTCTATATCCAAGACCTGTGACTAGCTGAAGGAACTAAAAAAACTATTGTTGCTGGTTCTAAAAAAATTTCTTAGTAGTACCTTCTTCAAAGAAGACAATTCACACTCAAGTACTGCCTTCAGATTTATTGTCTGTAAGATATTAAAAATTGTTTTATACATGCTACTGAGGCAATTTAGCAGTTGGTAGTACGCATTTTTTTTTGTGTCAAATGTTATCCATGTAAACGTTCTTTTCAAAGCCGTTTGTTTCTACATCGTATTCTGGGTGTAACCGGAAATTAGACCTAAAACCGATTTGTTTCTTTTCATCAGGTCACGTTTCATTGATTCAAAGAATGCAAATTAATTGTACACAAACTGTACAATTCAGATCGATTGTTATAATTTGAGTCTATGAAAATCAGCAACATTTTAGTGCTGTTAATTTACTTTATCAAATTAAACCAACTGTAGTTACTAGCCAGTTTCCCATTATTTTAATTATAGATGCAAAACTGCTATCGGAATAGGGAATTAGCTAGATAACAGAGAATTAATCCACAAAATAAAAAGGGAACATCAACTACATCGATGTATTTTATTCAATTTCACTCTAAAAAACAATATAGAGACATACGTAAAACGTTATGACTAGTTCTGCTTTGGATATTACCAATCAATTTTGAATTTCCTTGCGAAGCTCTGGACACAGATTAAAAAATCAAGGCGGATTCATAAACCACAAATACAAGAATATGCTATTTAATTACATTTAAACATTAATGCGGTTGTATTAGATTACTACACTCATTTCCATTATTTAAATTGTTTTTTTGCCCTGCCTTATTTGTAATTGACATTTTATGTTGGCGTAAAATACAAACGAGGCATTTAAGCTTTGAAAACATAAATTGATTATCACAGATCCATTACTAGTAATTGATAATCATACCTCTAATGTTATTATAACAAAAAGTGGTTCGAAATATTAAAAAAAGTGCTAATTAAATTGTAATTTTAAATAGGGTAATTTGTTGATCAAAATTTGGGTTGGTACCAATTTGACACTTGACACTCTTGGCAGTTACGTTATGATTGATTGTTAGTAGTTTTTGTTAATTAAAAAAAGCCGTTTAAATTTTATTTAATGATGTTATTCAGAGTGTTCGCGACCTCACGAAGAATCATAATAACCACAAGACAATTGTATTGCGAGAAAACCTATTTATTGAATTGTACAACAAGAAAATGTAAACTAAACATCTCCAGGTAAGAACTAAACCACATTACCTACTTACTTTTTAGAATCGAATACGTTATCCACAGTGTGGAGCCTTTCATCATTTCCGATCTAATTTGGAAATAAGCCAAGAGCGTCGTCTCTGAAAATTCGCTTATTTCATTTTCTTCGCACCACTTGATAAATTTTTGGTATTCCACTTCATATCGACCAGCGAATTTTGCAGCCAACAAATTTGCAGTTGCTTTATCTAGAATTTTTTCAATATGTGCAGAAATTTCCGTCTCTTAAATTCAACTATGAATTTCAAAGCGGGCTCTAACAAATCGACAACTGACTAATTTCGGTTAAGTAATATTTATTTTTTTAGCGATTAAAAAATATTATTTTTCGCCAGCCGTCTTAAAAGATGTCACTTTTAACGTCAATTTTGGACGGAAAACTTGACGTTTTTGTGAGAGTAAAAAAAAGTTGCGTTACTAAAGTAACAACGTCATTTTTGCCTTTTTAATCCTAGCATTAATTTTTTTTTTTAATCCTAGCCTTAAAAAGTTAAAATTTTTTTGAGATTTACTTTTTGGCTGGCGAAAAAGTAGTATGTTTCATTCGGATTAAAAGTCAGTTTTTGACTCGCAATTTTGCATCCGCTCGGCTTCGCTTCGCTCCGCCTCGCAAATGCAAAATTTGCTCGTCGCAAAAAATGGCACTTTTAATCCTAATAAAACAATCTACTATTTTTCAAAAAGGCAGCGCAAAAAATATTGTATGTTATTCGTGTGAAAACTCCACTGTATGAGGAACGGGAATACGGCGCGAGACGCAGTCGAGCGCTATGTAAGTGACCGTTTTCAACACTATTAAACATATTATACTCCTTCATGGAATAACTCACTTACTATTACCACCTTCGTAAGGTAATATTATGTATGTAAATAACTGTTGCAATTCCATTTTATTACAAATATGCAATTCCAATTATGTTTTAATGTTATACATCAAGAATGTTTCACCTCCAAATCACTGGAAAATATCCGTAAAATTTCAATTATACTAAAGTCCCAGTCGAAAAATAAATTGGCATTAACTTGATATTATCAAGCTAACAAAAGCCAATATTGAGACCACACCTGACGAATTTCCACGTCACTTTCAGCTTATCGTGCTCAGACTTTGCATTTACTTTAAAATACGAACAATTATGTGCAAAATAAATTAACGCAAGTCGATTAGGAATTTTTGAAATCACGCTAAAAATATGTCAAAGAACTGATGGTATGTACTAATTAGTTAATTAGCTTACGTCTCTGGAATTATTCCAATTAGCATTGTAAGTTAAATTGTTGCTTTGATTGTTTTGAATTCTTGAGTAAGAGATTTGGTATTATTCTGTAAAGGTCTGTATTGTGGTACTCAAGAACAGTTTTTGTGCGATCTACAAAATTCTCACATTTATTTAAAGTAACCTCATTTGACATACACCTGTTAAAACTTTTATGACTTAAGCGGCTTAAGCCAAACCACCCTTATAAGTCAAACTGGCTATTGTATTACTTAACTCAGTTCACAGCTACATTATGCCAACAATGGACAGTCATAATTTTGCGGTTCGGGTCCACAGAGCTTACAATAGCCAGTTTGACTGACAGGGGTGGTTTGGGTTAAGTCGCTTAAGTCATAAAAGTTTTAACAGGTGTATGTCAAATGAGGTTTGTGTAGTTGGATGCAAAAATCTACAAAAAATCCTTGTGATTCCTTGGATCTGGTTTTGAAGACTGTCAGTACTTACTTCTAGAGCTGAAAACTACAACTACTTAAATTGAGACAGTGGGACAGTAATACCGCACAAAAAATGTATAGACTCACTGAATACTTAATTTGATTTGAGGAACTGACGATTTTCGTGAACTTATGGAATTACTAGACTGTGGACAAATAATGTAATCGAGTTATCAGGCTTGAGTAAAAAGTGTAATCTTCAACATTTTCAAATCGCCCATGCGTACAATTTATCATTGTGTTGTGTATGGAATCTTATTAAACGTGTTTATAAATAATAATACTTTTTTAGACGCTCCATGAACACCACCCCATTGCCATCGGTAGGTAGGTACTTATTTTCCCATGTTTTTCTACGTGGAACTGGTGACACTACAAGAACAAAAATTTGCTCTAAAGTTTTTAGATAGAACTTCCCTCGCTTCTGAAGTACAGGTGAAGAAATAAATACAGATTCTACGAAAAATTATAGATTAAATTTTAACAGAACTGTATATTTAAATTTTCTGGAAAATGGGGCCGTCATTTTTGATTTGATCAATAAAATAAATTTCCTCATTCATTAATTTTTTCTCTGTATAAGTATTTCTAAAAAATATCAATGCATTGGTAAACCATAAGTATAGATTCATAATATTTTGCATATTTTAGATAGGATTTATTAGGCAAAATTTGAGATGACTTCATCATTTTTTTGGGAGGGATAAACGGATAAATTTTGATTAACGATGTACCATGCTTACGATAACCTTAAAACCTATGCAAGATTTCAGAGCTATATCGGTTTTGCAGTTTCAAAGTTAAATTGCAAAATGTTGATTTTTTTAAAAATCTAGACGTCTAAGGTAAAAACTCGCACGGATTCATAAACCACAAGTACATCAATCTTATTATATAAATCTTATTAAATGTATATAGACATAATCTTATTACATAAAATTTAATCAAGATTCATTGTTGTAAATTTTGGAGATGACGTCATTCCGTTGTTGGTGGGGATGATTAGCCAAATTTTGATTAGAGTTTTACCATCTAACACGATATTCCTAACCCGAATGCAAAATTGTCTTGTTGTTTCGAAGATTAGCTATCTAATAAAATCGACAAGACAGACGGAAACAGGAGACTTACTTTTTAGTACTCTATGAGTTTTGAAACGTCAAGAAAACATACAAGTAGCCAGTCAGCCGATGGACTCGATTACAATACTTCCTTAGCTTACGCCCGGGAAGTAAAAATTGATCGAAAGAGTTTAAACAGCACTTCCCCCGCTCTCAGAATCGTGATTCAAGGGTTTCTTTTCACCAGATTTCTGTGATGGGACTTTTTAATACAATGGAGTCATTAAATGCATGTGTAGGATTATGTTATTTTATTCAATTTAAAACCCATTTACTATGTACGATTTTAAAGTGACGTCATCACAATATTGGTGGGGATGATCGGACAATTTTGGTTAGCGTTTTACCACTTCCATGGTATTCCTAACATAAATACAAAATCGGCCCCGGGACGGCAGACAGACGGACAGATAGAAGGGCAGACGGACAGATAGACGAACGGAAATGGGGGACCTAGTTCTTCGTACTCTGGGGGTCACGAAAGGTCGAGCAAACGTAAAATAGAGAGTCGGCCGACGGACTCGACAACAATACTTCCTTCGCTTACTCTCGGGAAGTAAAAATTGGAAACGCCACTGAGGATCGAAACAATTAAAACACGGCGGATTCATAAATCACAAGTATATTGTTTCATAAAATTGAAATGGCGTTTACTAAGCAAAATTTTAAGGTGACAGTGTGGGTGTGGATGATCAGACAAATTTTGGTTGGCGTTTTGTAATCTAACAGCAGCCAGGCAGACAAACCGAAACGGCAGACCTATTTTTTCGTACTCTCGAGGCCATGAAACGTCGCGTCAAGAAAACATGGAAGCAGTCATTCCTACGATATACTCTATTAAAGTTTGTCTAGAATTATAAGAATTTTATGGATACCCAGAGGGAGTTAATTCGTTTTTCAGCCCTTTTCGAACCGCAGCTTTTCCAAGAAATTTGTACCTGCCTGCCAGACTGCCCGGTGCGGGGCGAGCTTGGGTGCAGTAAACATCGGCTTCCCCTGACAGGCTCTTTAGCTGTACAATAAAATTGACTACAGGGCTATAAAAAGAATTAACTTTGGGAGTCCATAAAATTCTTATAATTCGAGACAAACTTTACAGTACTTCCTTAGCATAGGGAAGTAAAAATTCAAAATAGCATAACGAAATTTTATAAAGTATATACTAAAGTTTGCCCCGAAGTGGTTCTACCGCCAATTTTAAATTAAACCTAGGGTACAGGTGGCTTACTAATATTGCTTTACACCCTCCACGAACTTAATGACGTTATTTCCAAAAATTATTAACTAAATGTGTATTATGAGTACCTACAGGATGTATCGGTTGAAACTCCTTACCAAATTTTCCTCAAATTTTAAGAGAACAGTGTCTTGTTTGAAATGCATATTCAGGGGTAGGATCTTGTTTCTACCGATACGATACGAAGCGTTAAATGATAAGGACGAAAATATAAATTTCAGACGCGAAAGAAAAAGACGACCATATTTTATCGGTACCGATATTTTATCGTTACAGAAACAAAATCCCACCTCAGAACTATAAATTTACTATGTTTCTTCACACCAAACAAACTGACGTCATCATCTTAGAATTTTATTATGAAAAGCTCACCCGCACACCCGTATGTTACTTTTTAACAAATAGATGTAAAGTTTGTCCAGAATTATAAGAATTTTATGGACTCCCCACGTTAATTCGTTTTACAGCCCTGTCGTCAACTCTTTTGTACAGGTAAAGAGCCTGTCAGGAGAAAGCCGATGTTTATTGTACCTGAGTTCGCCCCGCTCTTCAGCTGTACAATAAAATTGACAACAGGGCTGTAAAACGAATTAACTTTGGGAGTCCATAAAATTCTTATAATTCTAGACAAACTTTACACAAATACGAAAGTAAGAACTAGGGTCCCTAAAATTCTGGCAATGACTAGTACTAACTGTAGTCTGTAGTAGTGATATACAGTGTCTAAATGCACGGTATATTAAAAATAACAACGTTAATTTTTGGAATTATTAAAATTTCAGACAACAAAAACAGGAAAACATCACTTGACCACAGATTATCGTTATATTTTTCTTAAAAAATCTTTAATACCATGAACTGATTAGCGTTGACATATGGAATAAATCCATAATCCGTATCTGACGCATATAGTCAAAACCAGAAATAACGAGTTACCCCATTTACATTTTACGTAGAAATTATGGAATTGGAATATCATCTCGTCTCCAGAATTTTATGTAGTGAATTTGTTTCATGAAAATTCCTTCTTTCTCTTCCGCTTATTGTAAATTCTTGAGCTTTCGTCAGTGTAATTGTGGTTTTGTAAAATAATGTGCTGGATAATGTCACTTTTGACATTTTATGCAATACAGCTGCTTGTAACCTGGATGTGTTTGTTTCAATTTTAGACGCCGGCGTCCAGGAACTAAATTAATTCTTAAGTTTAAGTGAATAAGTCAAAGGATGGCACAATTTACATAACAAAAATAACCGTACGATATTCTATACTTATTTCGATCCCATGGGCGTTCTAATTATTACGCCATTTGTGATAATCATAGCTTTCCAATATATTTTTAATGTTGTTATACCTAACATTATTGTTTTGTTAATTGGTTGTAAAATTTTCCAAATAGTGGAAAGAATTGTTGATTTTTCATGGATTTTATTCATGTTTCAAACGTCAATTACAATTTTATTTTATACATAGTGACGTCACGACTGACACATAAGCACCACGCGAATAAGTATCAAGTAAATTTGTTTAATTTTTTTCTGGGAATACCATTGACTGCTGAATGCTTTAATAAAATGGGATTCCCAGTAGAGAATAGAATTCTTGACAATTACATTTTAATATGTAAATTTAAATTTTAATTACGTTTTTAAGTTATAACATCACTTTTGAGTCAACCTATAAACGTCCATAAAATTTCAACTCTACTTAGTTCATCCCAGTCATAACTTTAATTGACACTAATAAGAGCCGATCAATATTATCTCCATTGACCGACAAAAAATCCGCACAAACACTACTTATTCACTGACCATGACCCACACGCCCTCCCCACCAAAAACGAAATCACCTATAAATACCCGTCCCCACGCGATATAATTACTAAATTTACGCAACGCCTCAGTTCCGATAAACAAATTTCGAATTTCGCGCCCCCGCTGTCGCATGCGTGTCACATAAACTTTGTGTTTTCGAGGCGTACCGTTCAGGTGCGTCAAAAACAGTAGCACCGCGATTCCGTCACTCAAACTTTCGCGAATTTGCCAAAACAGAAATTTACCTGAAATGACGAGAGCCTCGTTGGGGCCACACGTGACAAATCCCCACGTCATCTTCAGCGTCAGTCTAGTTGGAAAGGCCGCGGCGGCACAAACACACGCTTTTCCGACACAAATTTCTAGCGATGGGCTCGGTTTTGGGATCCGCATGCGCTGTCACGGCGAATCCTACCATCGCACACATTGCTGCATTGATTGATAAGGCGAAGGGAGCAGGTCGGCGCTTCGGTGGCGCCAACAGCGAGGGATGGGCGGTGGGAAAATGGGGCGACGGCATCGGGACTGCGGTCGTCGCGGCGGGATGGGGCTCTGGGTGTCAAGTGCTGGGTAAACAGCAGCCGCACGCGTTGGGTTGTGTTTGGAGATGTAATTCGAGGTGGAATTAACACATGTAAAAGAGCGGTAAACGTGTAGGAAATTTACGCGCGGAAATACGATAAGGGAATGCCGCCCACCCACACTGGTTGCGTAGTTGGGTTGGAATTTAGTGGCTTCTTTAGTGCTTTTGACTGGAATTGGGTCATTTCGATAAATGTGTTATTTCGGGTTTTCTTGATGTTTCGTTCGAAGCTAGAAGAATATGAAAATTTGTCTGTTGACGATTTTGTGCAAAATAATTCTTCCTGAAAACTGCCCCTCTACCTTCAGTATGTGCTCAATTTTTTGAATGGTTTAAAAGCCTTCATTTTTTTTTATAAAATCTTGTCAAAAAAATTGATCGAAGCTTAATTCGACAGAACTTCCTTCGCGCTTGAAATAGAGTCCAACAAATCCCGCTTCCTCGAAAAATTATAAAGCTGATTTTGTGATTTTTGTTTTGTGATAACCATTATAAAGTAAAACTCAGCTGTACAAATAACCCCCCACAGCTCCTGTGCCTAGGGACAATGTATAATATATTTAAAACAGATAACCAAGGGGAAAAATATTCTCTCAGTAATAATAACATCGAGTGTTTATGTTTAATTTCCAATAAACTCGACAATTAGGACGGTCAGATAGCGAGCGATAGTGAGATGGTTCAGCAGCAAAATTTTATTATGACATCATCAAGATAGATAAGACTAGTCACAAAGCATCAGCAGTGCAAGAGAAAAACCAGCGGCATAAATAACACTCCCGCAGCCTTTGCGCCATGGGGGCGCAGATTCCAAAGGGACGTGGTAGTATTTTTAAAGCAGATAAGTAACGGGAAAAATGTCCTTTCAGCATTAATAACATGATTAACGATTAACTTCGATTGTGTTTATGTTTATACAGGGACAGAATATCACGTAGAAATCTGTTTGATTTGAATGGGTTTGTCTTCTCAAAATAGAGTATTAAAAATTATTAAATAAGCCATAATCGAACAAAATGTTCTGAATAGTATTATTATTCTTATTTGTTCATTATTAAATGAAGAAAATAGGGCGACTCGTTCTTAATTTGATCAATAATAAAAAGAAGCGGCCAAGTTTGGCATCGAACGTCGACATTCTCCTAAATAACCAATAGCTTTACAAAAGCGTGTATCGCTTGTTATTAGTAAAATGTTATTATATTTCGCAAATGTTCTTTCGAAAATTTGGACGCGTAGGGAAAAAACTCAAAGCGGATTCGTACATGAATATATTGTTGCATAACATAAATAATTTTAAAATATAATTCTTTGAAATGACACCATCTAATTGTTGATGGGAATGATTGGTCAAATTTTGGTTAACGTTTTATCATCTAGTTGATGTTCCTAATACTGATACAAAATTTGACAACAATCGGTCCAGTAATTTGGGATATTCTTTGCCTAATAAAATACGAGACAGACCCCAGACAGATCGACAGACGACAGACAGATGGAAACGAGAGAGCACTTTTCTAGGGGGCATGGAACGTCGAGAAAACATGAAAGTGGCAAATCGTCTGATGGATTTCATTACTATACTACCTTAGCAACCGCTCAGGAAATAATAATCTACCTAGCTAAAAAATAGTGTCTAGGTTAGCCTTCAATACATTTTCAGATTGTAATATGGGCGTTACGTACAGATTATTTTGCAATTTGAAAGATAAGCTGTCTACTGTCAACAACTTCTTCTAAACACCATGGTACAAGAAGACATCTTCTTTTGCCATGCTAAATACATACCGAAACAACAAACATTGTAAGTATATCAAAGTATGTATTTTAGCAAAATCGTGTAGATCATAAAACGCCAACCTACGATTTGATGATGTCCCTTTCAATTTTTACTTCCCGAACATAAGCTAAGCAAGTATTGTAATCAAGCCCATCGGGTGATTCGCTACTTTTATGTTTTCTCGACGTTTCATGACCCTGGGAATACGAAAACATAGGTCTCTCGTTTCCGTCGGTCCGTCGGTCTGTGTGTCGTCTGTCGTCTGTCCTCGTCTTTAATTGTTGTCAAAATTTTGTATGCATATCAGGAATATCGTATAGATAGTAAAACGCTAATCAAAACTTCTCTGATATCCCACCAATGATGATATGACGTCATCTCCAACTTTTACAATAGTAAATGTTATTTAAATTTTATAAAATAACATACTCTTCCACTTGTAGTTTCTAAATCAGTGTTGAATTTTTACCCTAGACATCCAGATTTTTGTAAAAAAATCCAAATTGTATAACATTTTACAATTTCACTTTGAAATTGCAAAACCGAATGCTCTGAAACCTTGAAAAAGTTTTAAGGTTATTGGAAACGTGGAAAATGGTTAATCAAAATGTATCGGTTTACGACTCTCCTAAAAATTGATGACGTAATCTCAAAATATTGCCAAATAAATCCTATCTAAAATGTACAAAATATGATGAGTGAATACTGGTGATTTATCATTCTATTCGTATTTTTTTAGAATTACTTATACAAGTTGACGCAAACAATTACTGAATGAGAGAATTATTTTATTGATCAAATCAGAAACTGCAAAACCGAATGCTGTGAAATCTTACAGACATCTTATAGTTATTGCAAACATTTTAATGAAAATGTATCTGTGTATCCCTACAAAAAATTGATTTGTAAAGGAAAAACTCATTTGAAACATACGCGTAGCACCCTTCTTTAGATTTACTTTAACATTACATACATATATTAATTTTAACATATGAAGTTCTATCGAAATAACCTTCGATTATTTCTTTTAGTTCAGTAAACGCTTACGTCGGGAAGTAAAAATGTATAAATTTTGTCCATTTTTCTGTGTCGTTAACGCATAATTCTTTCAGTTTTTAATTTTCTTGAACCTATTATTTTTACTATGATTACTGTTCGAAATGTTAATCTTTTGTTAAATAATGAAAATAAAATTCAATACTTTCGCTCTTTTTTACTTCTCGAGTATGTTCATATTTTTTCGACATTTTATGACACCTAGAGTACGAAAAAGTAGGTTTCTCATTTCCATCTGCCTGTCTGCAGTCTGTCGTCTGTTGCCTGCTGTCTGTCTTTGTGTATGTATGATTTTTATTTTGCAATACTAAAGGCTATTCAAATTTTATAAAAATAACATTCTACTCCACTTGTAGTTTATAAATCCTTGTTGAGTTTCTACCTCAAGCATTCAGAGTCTTATATGTATAAAAAAAAATTAAAATTGTGTAACAACATTTTACAATTTAACTTTGAAATTGCAAAACCGAATGCTCTGAAATCTTGAAAACATTTTAAGTTTATGGGACTCTTGGTAAATCGTTAAATTACGCAAAAAATTGGAACTCTATGGACTCAGAGGATGGATGTCATAAATTCGTAAATTCAGTTCTCTGAAATGAATTTCGGGTACTATGGGGTGTGATTTTTAGAAAATGCGATGATATTTTATTATTCCATAATATGAAAAGAATCACTGACTTTTTTTGCATAATTATTCACTTTTTAAGGTTTATTAAAAACCTTAAAAGCAGGTTTCATTTTTTTTTATTCATTTGCACCAAAATTTTGATTTTGTAGTACCAAAATATTCCGATAAGTAGATCTTGGTTCAAATTTGTATGGCGTCGTACCTCTTTATTTGTTGTTATAATAATGTGTCCACATTCTTAACCTTAAAGGTACCTATTCCTAAAAACAATAAAATTTGTAAAATGAAACTTGCAGTTTGTCTTGGAACATGTAGAACGAACTTTTTTATTTTCATTTTCATCTGAACAAGTGAACAATAATCCGTATGGAATATGAAAGTAAGTGTTTGCCAGATGGATCCTATTACAATACTTCCCTAGCACCCTAGCTTACGCTCGGGAAGTAAATTTTGATTTTTCGATAATCTGTGTGTATCATTGGGCGTTCTTCAAGGTTCAGTAATTGGTATAGGTGTAGCAGATTTAGGATATTTGCAAATAACTTAAAATCTACGGAATCATTAAGGAAAATAATGAAATATTGATGTTGCAATGAAACTTTTAAATTGTTAATAAAGCTAAAAAAAAATACCTCCGGTATGCACGTGATATTGTTTAGGTATTAGAGGGTAAGCGACGTCTCATCTAGACTTTTTAGACCAGTTTTTTATTAATAATGTTTGTCTGGAACAGAAGATGTAGATCTCGTAGATAATATTTATTAAAAGTAGCGGTGGTTGATAAAGAAAATAGAACTGCGATATAAACATTATATGTATTTAGGGCGTAATTTCTGGGGCTTCTGTCGTACTTGCTACTGCAGATATTTTACAGCAGAAAATTTAGCAAGAAAGAGAATCCTGAATGGTATAGAACGGATTCGTAACAATCCTTGAGTTAGCCTGAATCAGCAACCCCGTTAGGGCGAACAAAGTCGTCTATTCCACTAAATGATCACCATTTAGAACATGGACTTTAATGAGCTTGTTTTGTGTCTTTGCTGCTTTGTTTTTTTTTATATACCTGTGTTTATAATTAAACTTCTGTTTTTATTCTCGTTACCCACGCTCGGAAAATAAAAATGTTGTTTAATTTTCCCATTCCATTTTATAATTTAACTTTTCAGAAAATTAGAAACTTCAAAGTGTACAAAACACAAGAAAAATAAATGTTTCATTAGATTGGTCTGTCTGATGTCCATTTTCAGGGAGCATTTTTTTTAATTCGATAAATATGCCGTTAAAACTATGTTTCAGAAATCAAGGCGAGTAAGCTGTTAAAAGCGTTGTTAAGAAAGTCATTTTCTTCTTATCTAATCTCTAG